TCGTCAAGAAAAAAAGATGGATCGCTCAGGATGTGCGTGGACTACCGAGGCCTTAACAAGATCACCAGAAAGAACCGGCATCCATTACCACGAATTGACGAGTTGATCGACCGATTCAGGACAGCTCGGTACTTCACAAAGCTGGATTTGCTATCAGGATACCATCAGATGCGCGTACACCAGGACGACAGACACAAAACGGCTTTCAGGACGCGCTACGGCCATTATGAGTTCAACGTCGTACCATTCGGACTCACAAATGCACCGGCTGCGTTCTCCAACATGATGCGCAATGTACTGGACCCTGTCTTGGACATATGTGTCGTGGTCTACCTAGACGATATACTGATTTACTCCGACAACGAGAAGGAACATCTACAGCACATCCGGCAAGTGCTTTCTCTCCTGCGTGAAGCAGGCCTCTACTGCAAGCTATCCAAGTGCTCCTTCATGCAGGACGAAACGGAATTCCTGGGTCATGTCATATCAAAGGACGGACTTAAGACCAACGCAGGACTCGTCAAGGCAATCAGAGAATGGCCAGTTCCTACTACCCAGCGTCACGTCATGCAGTTCCTTGGTTTAACAAACTTTTATCACCAATACATTGACCACTACGCAGATATTGCCCTTCCTCTCACCGCTCTGCTAGGCTCAACGACACCTTTTACTTGGGACAAACCCCAACAGGATGCTTTCGATACTCTAAAGAAAGCGGTGACCACAGCCCCAGTCCTCCGTATCTTTGATCCAGCCCTCTCCACAGCTGTCGAAACTGACGCCTCTGGCTTTGCCATCGGCGCTGTCCTGTTTCAGACGGACCACAACGGCGGATCTAGACCCGTTGCATTCACGTCTCGAAAGTTGAGTCCTGCGGAACGGAACTACCCCACACACGAGCAGGAACTATTGGCCGTAGTACACGCCCTTAAGACCTGGCGATACTACCTGGATGGCTCGCACTTCATCGTTTATACAGACCACGCGACCCTACAGCATTTCCCTACTCAACCGAATCTAACTCGCCGACAGGCGAGATGGATGGAGCTACTCCAAGAATATGACTTTGTTTTCAAGTTCAAACGAGGCAAGGACAATATTGTTCCTGATGCGCTTTCCAGAAGACCCGATCACAAGGCTGGGGATCCTAGCAGCGGCCAGCTCAATTCTCTGAATATAAGCATGGACACAGGATTACGGCAGCGCCTGATGGATTGTTATACTACAGACTCCACTCTGGGACCAATCTATGAACGCTGCCGCAAGGCAAGTCCATCTGACCGCTACTTTATTGCGGACGACCTACTTTGGATCAATGACAATGGCACACAACGACTTTGTATCCCTAAAGATGCTGATCTCCGCTCGCAACTTTTTCACGACTCCCATGACTCTCCAATGGCCGGTCACCTTGGATTCGACAAAACATACGAGCATATGCGACGGACATTCTTCTGGCCACGGATGGCGCGGGACATTAAGGCTTACATCAAATCATGCGAGCAGTGCCAACGCAACAAACCCCTACTACAGCACCCAGCAGGGCTATTCAAGTCTCTCGATATTCCTAGCCAGCGATGGGACACCGTGTCAATGGACTTTATCGTATCTCTACCCAGGACAGCCCGCTCTTTCGATGCAGTCACCGTATTTGTGGACAAATTATCAAAGCAGGTTCACTTCTGCGCCAGTCGTACCACGGATTCCGCCTCAGACGTAGCTCGCCTCTTCTTCGACCAAGTATTCAGACTGCATGGCATGCCACGTACAATCATCTCCGACCGCGACTCCCGTTTCACAGGAAAATTTTGGACAGCGCTAATGAAGCTGATGGGAACCAAGCTGAACATGTCGACTGCATACCACCCTCAATCGGATGGCCAAACCGAGCGAGCCAACAGGACTCTAGAGGAGATGCTGCGGTCGTATATTTCTTACCACCAGAAGGACTGGGACCTCTTTCTACCGATGATGGAATTCGCTTATAATAATTCGATGAACCCGACAACTGGATTTTCGCCCTTTTTCCTTAACTACGGACACCATCCTCTCGTTCCGGCATCACTAATGAAACCCACCGCCACCAACGCGCCATCAGTCTCGGACTTCGTCGCGTCCCAAGCAACAGCACTTGCTCAGGCCCGGGATGCAATCATTGAAGCACAGAATCGGCAAAAGCAGCAAGCGGATAAATCACGCAGACAAGTACCATTTGCTGTCGGCGACATGGTCCTCCTGAGCACTGAGCACCTTTCTGTCGCAGCGCACTCTAACCGGCCCTCCAAGAAGCTGGAACCCAAATTCATTGGCCCGTACAAGATCGTCGAACAGGTGAACGATAACGCATTTAAGCTCGACCTACCGCCTTCCATGCGTCAGCACCCCGTCTTCAATGCTGATCTATTGCGATTACATGTTGAATCACCGCCGGAATATGGAGACCGCACTCCGCCTCGACCGCCACCGGAGCTCATTGATGGCATGGAAGAGTACGAAGTCGAACGCATTCTCGATTATAAGGTGTTCGGTAAGACACCAAAGTGGCTCGTACAATGGAAGGGATACCCCCTGGAGGACGCTACATGGGAACCAAGATCAGCACTCACCAATGCCAAGGAGGCCTTGGCAGAGTTCAAAATCAATAACAAAAAGTAGACTTTTTTTTCAAAACGGGAAGGATGCAACAGGTTTATGCTCGGTTAAGTGCATTATGATGTCATCAGCGCTTCGCCCATCTTTCTACGACTTTCTAGAACACTGTTGCTATCTATCCAGCCAGTTTATATAAACCCCATCCACACGTAGAACTAGACAGCAGCATTGATACGAATAAAGCCTCCTTTCCACCCTAGATCCACTTCCACCTGATTTGACCGTTTGCAAATTGCCCTCGTGGACATCCCGTCGCGCAAACTAGAGCGAATCGAATCGACCTTGCTTTGGCTCAGCTTTCGCATCGTCTTGAATTGTTGCAGTTACCGGAGGAGGAGTCTAGGAAAAGAAAAGAGAGAGAAAGAAGTAGTTTCCGGGGAGAACCGGTAGTTTTGTTTTTTTTTCAGCAGGTGCAGAAAGAATTGAGTCAATGCAAAGCCACCAGCAAATACCGAATAAATATCCAACTGTGAACGGTGCCGGCTCGGGGTGCCGGGCACTTATCAGGCACTACCTAGAGAGTACCTATTGTGCTTTAGGAGACTGTAGAGGCCCTACAGCCCATATTACAGGTGAAGAATGAAGAAATTGAAAAACATTGACTCAAATATTATTGTCACTGTATGGACGGATATCCCTAGCCATTTTCTTCGAGAACTGTATGAAAGTATACCCAAACGCATGCACTTGTTGCATCGCTACAGAGGGGCCGCTTTAGATTATTGAATATCTAGCATAGCAATGAAAAGAGATAAAAGAACGAACATGGAAAAAAAAGGATGAAATGAGCAAATTCATTCTGGAAAGCAGTTTCATAACGATGACAAATTTTATTTTTCATTGTAACCGACTATGAATGATGCTGTGAAGGAGAGGAATGTCTAGTATGAATTATGCAGAGGGTTAATGAGATGTGGATGGAGAAAAGGAATGAGAATGTTATAATCCTTCACTCCGTGAATGTATTTTTTCCAGGACTGTCGAACATTCGAGCTCCCCCCACGACTCGTAAGTCTTGTCAACTTACTCCTGATCTTGGTCCGTGATTGACTCGACTCTTGATATCCACACCTTCCTCGCTCAACCGCGTCACAGTTCTGGGGTCACCGCCAGCTTTAAAGCGTGGCATATTGTAACAAGACGAGGAGTGGAAACAAGAACTCCTTTAATAATATTGCTGTGCACGGATATATATACTACGTATATGACTACTGTTGCCTCCTACTTAACTTCCGCATACTTCTCCAGACTATCATGTAAACGTCCAAAGATACCTCCATGCCAGCCCCTCGCCTCCTCCCACTCATTCTCTGGGAGAGTGGCGCGCATCATGCGTAGCCACCCGCCGACGATTAGATCGGCATAGCTGGCCTGCTCACCCAATAAGAAAGGCCCACTGGTGTCCCTCAAAAATAGCTTGCCAAGGTCACCCAGCATGAGACGGAGACTCTTTTAGCTTCTCTCGCTTTTCCCCCTTAACCTCGAAATCGTCCCAAGATTTTACGCCAGCGCGCCGAATAAATTCGGCCTTGCTAGCTTCAGCGGTGGCTGGATCAAAGGGGAGGTTATGTGCCATAAGAGGAACATGAGCGCTGAATGCCGCATCGACGTATGTATTGAATCGGGAGTACTCGTCATGTTCACTCTCTTTCCGCTCTGACAGTGGCGCAAGTAGTGCAAGATCGTGGTTGAAGACGAAATCGAGTTTTTGAGGGGGAAACAAATTGCCTGAGCCCGAGTTCGGATACTTGGTTTGCAAATAGACGGCAATATCGAAGGAGTCCCCGATTTTGAAGTTTGTATTGGAATCAATCAGAATGGGGAGTGTATAGAAGTTCGTGCCATCGCCAAACTTGCGACAGGCGTCCACACCGAGAGCGCAACGAACTTGAGCAATGTCGGGAAGAGGAACCCATGTGGTAGAATAAGCAATATTTTTAAAGTTAAGCGCCAATCGGGACTTCCAGGGGTTCGGTCCGCAGCAGGTAGAAGCAATTGGTGGGCGCATAGCAATGTCATAGAAGATCATGGCTTCGGAGGGCATGGATGGTGCAGCCATGGCAGATGATGAGGAGAGGAAGAGAAATTGCGTAATTTTGGGCCAATGAATGTTGCTTTTTAAAACGAGAACTACGTAAGGAGAAATAGAATGTAATCATCACGTGGGTGTGCGTGACCGTACACACAAAATGTTAAAGTTCTTTGGCCAATTTTCTTGGACGTTCCTGCTGAGTCGAACTGGAGGTCGATCGTTTTTTCCGAGATCGAGTACCACCTGTCGTTGATGCGGTGTTATCCAGGCAATCTGGACGAATACAATGTGTGATACAAAAGATTTAGGTGGAAAGATGACTCTGGTTCAGGTACCAGACCGTTTGTTCTTTTATTCTGGGGGCGGTGCTCTTCCCCGCGATCTAATATTAACTTTGCAAGAACAACCAACTGATTCTCATTTACTACACCACAACACCGGCACCAGCATCAGCACCAGCCTCAGCCTCAGCCTCAGCCTCAGCCTCAGTATCAGTATCAGTATCAGTATCAGTATCAACATCAGCATCGGCACCAGCACCAGCACCAGCACCAGCACTATCAACAGTAACAACATCTGTCACGAACCTATGCTTATTCAGAGTCAAGATGACCTTCTTAAGCGTGGCAGGACAGAACAAGGGGGAGGAGATGCAGTTTGGGAAACAGGGTCAAGAAAGCGTAGATATATTGAAGTTGCTAGATAAGGAATAAAAGATACAGAACTACGGGATATATATATGTTTCTCATTGCCTTCGTGTAACGGTCGTACGCGTTGCCAACAGTCGACCGATCACTTGCCAAGTATCGATCGATCGTGTCGTGGCACGCGACAACATCCCCACTGCGATCTTCAAAGAGGAAAAGCAACCGAGCTGGAGAGCAAAGATAAAGTCAGAGTCATCTACGTACTCCCACTCCCACGGCAGCCTCTCTGATTTCCGGCGACGCCTCGACTAGTGCACAAGGTCTTCGCCACCCTATGTCGTCTATGATGGACCGGGAGCTAGCCCAAGCGCGAAAGGAGTCCGCAAATGCTGTACTGAGATCAATCTTGGCTGATAAAGATGCGAGCTCCACTGTAAAGCAGTCTGTTCCGTCCAGACCCCAAATTAGGACTGTACTGGGAGTGAACCTTCATATTTAGGCCACTTCCTTTTTTATTCATGAGACTATTAAGCTATCTAATACTCCAAGCCCCAGATCGGGGCTATAAAAACCCCTACCGGGAGCATAATAAACAACAACGCTCTTTTGTCTCCTTGACTCATACTCAGCTACATAAAGCATCACAGAATCCAATCTATAATCCTTGTCCTTCCGGCCCCCCCGATGACATAATGCTGGCGCGATCTATGCGCACCAACGCACTCCGGATAGTTGCACAGCACCAACTCACTTAAAAAAAAAAAGAATCTTAACATAGACTCCAACTACATGTCATACGTGGCTTTTCAGTATTATTCACTGCAATGTTTTACCCTTATATCTACTTACAGACAATATGTCAACGAGACAAGAGAGGGATCTTTATTTCCTGGGCAGTGAGAAGTATATGGGACGATAAGTCTGTGAAAAACGATATGCCCTTTTAATAGTGGCAGATCGTGCCTTATATAGACAGCAGTCCAAGAAGGTTGTACGAATCAACCGCAGCATCCTTGCGCGCTCAAGATCAAAGAACACATTGGTGTACATTGATGCCCATGGTCTTTGCGGCAAGATTTACGGTATGCGTGCAATCCAAGACATTTACGGGGCATCCACAACCCTGGGCAAGATCTGTCTGCCATCGAACAAGTTTGAGATGGACGAGTTCCTGTCAGGCCCTTCCTTGCTGACTCTGTTCCGGTACAAGGTGAGCACAGTTTATTTTACCTACACACGTGGGTTCGGTTTCTAATGTAGCCCTTGCTCTTGTATTTTTAGGTTCATATGGTAGAGTTTGCGGAGGAGATCTTACTGCAGAGAGCACTGGATAGAGTGCATACTCCTTCTAGCTCACCTTCGCTGCAACTGACAACCCCGAGTCTTTTCACGCCTACGAAAAAGAGAGCGTTGGCAACCAAGGTCAAAAGTTCCACAGTTCCTGACTAGCTTTCGCGACGAAAAGCAACAGGAAGGCTAGTGAAGACAACTCATCTGGAGTGAATGGCGGAAAATCGCTACTCTCAGGGTTTCCATATTGAACACAATCGTACATATTGCGGAATAAACATACTATCATTCACCATGCGTGTGTGCTCATATTATACCTAGAAGGACCGTTGACCGGTATCGGCATTCATACAATATTTCGATTGGTGGAATGTGTGGGGTTGAATAACGGTCGGCTTTCAAAAAAAAAAAAAAAGACCCATCTGTCATGATTTTCTCGAGAACTGGACGTCTGAGCATCTTGCTACTGGCACTGCAAGGATCCTAAGCCCTGGAGAACGCTCTGAAAACGAGTGATCCTCGTGTTTAGAGTAATCAAGATGATGATGATGATCAAGCCAAGATCTGTCTGGTTGTAAACACAATAGTACTTTTTAGAAGGGATGGAAGCCGATAACGTATTCAGGACGCCGATGAGTTATCCTTATATATGTGACACTGGGGTTGTCGCGATGGTGTCTAGACTTTATTATCTTCCTGACGCTATCCTGAGGCTGTTTCGATGATATTGTTGACACCAGGGCTCCTAATTAAGTCAACTACTGTTACACTGGTGTGCGCTAATATTCATGTGCATCCACTCCATTTGTAATTAGCGATTTCGTCCGCATGGGATCTGAGGCCTGCCAAATGCGTGAAGGGTCACCAAGTAAATGATACTCAAGACAATCCCCCGGGGGTGGTTCCGTGCAAAAACGCAAAAAAAGTTGACGCCAGGCACCACCACTGACCTCATACCGTCCTAAAACAAGGAAATTCAGGGATCAGGAACAAAAAAAATGTTACCGATGGCGAAATGCTCTGGACGCATCGACATTGACGTTCAAGTGCAAAAGTTATCGCAAGTGAATTCATGTCCATGTCTACAATTGTGGACAAGGTGACACGGTGTGATTTCCATGGCCATCGTGGCCAATTTTTTTTATTTTCGACTCACAAACTATACATTTATACATTCATGGACGGCCAAACCTCTTCAAACATCACTGCGTAATATCCTCCTGCAATCACCCCGACCACCGCCCCAGTTATAACCGTAAACGGATTAAAAGCAAGGGTCGGCACTGCCCCCAAGGCCTGCATTGTCGCCACGAACCCACCTCCGGGGGTGTACCCTCCATGACAGGCCATACACGTTGCCGCGCACGACCCCGCATAAATCCCTTCGACGCCGAATCCGAGAACACAGGGGAACAATGCTATGGCCGAGGGTAAGGCCACCGCGCCAATGGCTCCTCCCACGACCGCATACATACCTACGGACCAAGTTGGGCCTAGGTAAGGCTTCACGGTCGTCCAAAGGTCCTGGCCGTTCACTTTTGCCCAAGTCCAGGATTGATCAAAGGTCGTTTTAATCCAGACAAAGGGTTCCGCAAAAGTCGTCCCGATCCATTCCAAGAGCTCGTCCAGAGAGGCTTTGATCCTATCAATCAGCTTTCCGCCATCCTTGTCCTTGTCCTTATCATTGTCATCGTCATCGTCCTTGTTCCTATTCTTGTCATCGTCACCCGACGGTTTTTTTGGAGGCAACACCTGGCCTGATAAAATGCTTGGAACAAGATCATCACGAAAGATCTGTTGATCCGACTCGTCTTCGTCTCCAGCATGAAGAACACCACTCTCTGACCAAGTTGAGGTCTCGCCCATTGGAGTGTCCTCCACAGGATTCAATGGTATCTTCGGGACAGGGTGTCGAGTCCCTTTCTCGGGAATAACCGCACCATTCTCTTGGTGTGTCTCCAGAGTAGGATCGGCATCTTGCACGAAGGAGAAGGAAAACAAAAAAGGCGCATTGTCAAACAATTGCAAGGGCCTTCAAGGGGGGGGGGGGTAATAAAAAAAATACAGCATAGCAATTGCCAGGAAATTTGAAGAGGCAGTGTATACAGAGCATAGACGCGTGCTTTTTTTTTAAGCTTACAGTGGTGTCTTAGGGCTGAAAGCCCATAGTACAGGCCTCCGAGGACGAGACAGAGTACCAAGACCCGGACCGAAAGACACGTCCTCTTCTTCTTCTTCAGGGGATGATAAATAGGAGAGGCGTTTGTTCCTATCGGGGCCGAGTACACTAGGTGGTTGAAAATAATTAGAAGCGAACGAACGAACGAGCGATCGAAGTTTTTGGTTTCTTACACTACAAGAGCTCACTTACTTCTCTCGAGCGACGGTAGAAGAGGTTCGCGCAGACCTTCTTCAAGGCTCATTTCACGGTAATCATATCTATAAGACTGAAGTCCACTGCGTCCGGGAACACCTGATCTGGCCATGACAACGTATGGTGCACAAGCTGTTTATGAAGGGGGGAAGAGGAAAGGAAAGGAGGGGAAGGAGGTATGAGAAAAGCGAGATATGGAAGGAAGAAAGAAGAAGAAAAAAAAGGGAAAAAAAGAAAAGGTTGAATGAGAAAAATGGCGAAGGAAGGAAGGGGGAGGCTCGGACCTGCAGAGCTCGAGAGGCAAAGTAGCGTGTTTACCAGACGGACAGATAAACAGACAAATGGCGAAGGCTGCATGATTGCATGCTGCATAGACTAGCAAAGAAAAAAAGCAACAAAAGAGGAGTTGACGCTACATCCCCAGACAGAAGGTAGGAAGTAGGTGCCTCCCCCGTCTCTTGACACTTTATCGCTCATCCAAGAAAGTAAAAAGCAGAGAAAAAACGCTTCTTTCTAAACTACGCATCCATCATTTAGAGAGAGGCTGGGATGTGTGTTCATAGGTCTCGCTTTTTTTTTTTTTTTTTTTTGTAACTAGTCCTTCTTCCAAATAGCTAAACATCATCGCCGCCATCCAGGACACTCACACACACCCGTCCCCTCCACCCAACGGCCCTCAAGGTATACAGTGTCCTTCCCTCGAGTGCACACCAATGCCCATCTTCCCATACCACCGTCAACCGCATCGCCCGCACGAACTTCTCTAACGACGACGCCGCCGACAGTGGCACTGTAGAAAACCGCCTTCCGATCTTTTGCAAGTCTTGGATCTGGGCCTGGACCCCTAGATCGTCATCGAATGACATGAGTGAGCCGTGGTAATGAATCTCTGACATGTCCATCTCCATAAATGTGGTGCTGGAACTCAAACCCGAAGGGACCAATGCGTAAGAAGGGGACGGGGAACGGGAACGGGAAGGGGAGGAGGGGCTTGGGAAAAGAGTGGATGGGAGGGCTTCATATTTTTCAAGGTGTGGGAAGTGTGATGAGCCAATGGCATCGAAAACCCGGGCCAGGAGGATGAGTGCGAGTGAGAAGAGGATCGTTATTAGAGTATCCATACTGGTTATGCGCCTGCTTGGATCAAAGAGAAAAAAGAGTGTCTGAGAGAGTGCGAGAGAGTGAGAAGAGGCGTGTTTTTTTTTTTTGTTCTTGAGTTGATGAAGACTATGAGGGAGTTGTTTTGATGGTTTGTGGTTGTAGTGGTGCATTAAATAGGTTTATCAAACAACTATGAAGGAACCGCAGCACCTGGATTTGGATTGCCATAAATATAACTCACGGCTTTCTCACGGAAAAAAAGGGAAACAAAGAGAAACGCGCAAGAAGCACCGTCGAAAAAAAAGGGAATGAAGGAAGCAGTAGTAACCCACCAAGTACTCAAGCGATTTCGACGTGAGCCAAGGCAGAGAAAAGCACAGCAGGACGCGTCACTATTTAAGGAACGACCAAGGCTCAGCCTGTATATTCATGCAGAGAGTGCACTTGCACAGCGAATGTGGCTAGAAGAGGAAAAAGGAAAAAAAGTGATACATCAAAAAACTATCTTTTATTCCTTTTTTTGAACAGCCGCCCAGGTTGGACTTATGGTATCGTCCATAATCATCCTGTCGCGTTCAGATGAGCACGTCAACCATGAGTAATCCAAAGGTTAGTGCTTCCGGTTCTGTCTTTAAACAAAGGAATAACAAGGTCGCCGCGACGTTGCACATCCTGGGTTGGGGATCAAGGCCGTAGATTTAATTTTAAAGGTTGTCCATAGCCCTTGTGAACTATCAGCTTTGTTTCCATGCTTCCACCCCATTTTCAAACATACGAACAAACAAGCGATGTGAAGAACATTGTTCTTGGATATATAATACATTCTTTTATTTATCAAGAAAGCCGGGGGTTCTCTCACCTTGCTCTCCCTTTGCTTTCTCGCTCACAAATAGTCTGTTTGCGCTTTTTTTTTTTTTTTTTTTTTTTTTTTTTTTTTCATCCACCGATCAAAATCATGGGCCGGTTCTTCATATGAACAAGGTTCGACATACCCGCATGCTGCTTCTTCTTGTTCTTCACCGCCAATTCAATCACCTCCCTCAGCTCCTCATCCGTCTTGCCCTGGCGCATCATATCCCTTAACGACACTTCCGTGTTCCCGAACAAGCACACCTTCAAATTCCCGTCCGCTGTGATCCGAAGACGGTTACAGGTCCCACAGAAATGATCCGACATCGAGGTAATGAACCCAACCTGCCCCGCAAATCCTGGGACGTGGTATGCTTTGGACGTGTCATTCGGGTCATCAATCAGCTTTTTGAACGTCGGATGGACAGTCTGGATATTGTCGATCAGCTCCTGATATGGTACCAGCTTATTCTCTTTCCACTTGTTACCTGTTTCAACAAGACACACACATAGACACACATACACAAAAAAAAAGATATATGGGTTAGTACATGCATTTCTTATTAATGTATCAAACCCATGTTGCACTTGGTCGGAAAATTTGGTCCGCTACCTCCAAAGGGCATGTATTCGATGAACCGGACATCGACCTTCTTGTTCCGTGTGAACTCCACAAAGTCCAGTACCTCCTTGTCATTCGTCCCACGCATGACCACACAGTTGACCTTGACGGGCTCCAGTCCCAGGGCCAGGGCATCATCGATCGTCTCTATGACTCTCTCAAACCCCTTTCTACGGGTCATCAGCTCGAATTTGAACCGATCCAGGGTATCCAGACTGAGGTTGAGTAGGTTCAAGCCGCTCGAGACCAGCGATGGCAGCTTGCGCTTGAGTGCGATGCCATTAGATGTCATCGCAATGGTCTTGAGTCCCAATGGTTGCAGCTCACCCAGTTGTTCTATGTTGAAGCAAATGATAATAATAATAACAATAAAAGGTAAGTGTGCGATCGACAAAAGGACAAAATGCACGAGTCATCCAATCCTCTTTGGGCGCGAAGCAAGGACTATGAGTATTTCTGACTGAACAGAAAAGGGTAACGACAGATGGATGCGGGCCTACATACCAACGAGTTCATTAATATCCTTTCTCACGGTGGGTTCACCTCCAGTGAGTCGAATCTTGGTCACTCCCTCTTTGACGAACAAGCGAGCAAGACGAATGATCTCGGGCGTGGTCAGAATATCGTCCTTGGGTGACAGATCTATTCCCTCGGCGGGCATGCAGTATGTACCTATAATACGTAACAACAAGAGAACAAAAGCGCGGTGAGAAAGGGGGTGGGGCTTTTTTTTTTTTTTTTTTTTGAGTTTATTCATCAAGAGGCGCAAGAAACGACTACGCAGTTTGAGATTTCCCACCGCTTCCGTTTGGGCTCCATGTTTAGGTGGGCCTTGAATGAAACGAGGGTCCGGAGAGAAGTGAGACTTACATCGAAGGTTGCATTTTTCTGTAAGTGAGATCCGGAGATAGGTATGTTGCCTTGAAAAGTTATCCGTCAGGACGGCGGAGAAAGGTCGTTCTTGATCTATGGCGGCAATTTTTGCCTGTTTTTTTTTAAGCAGCAAGGACATTACAATGCAAAGCAAGCAAGACTCGACTCATTAGAGAAAACGTAAAAGAACAAGAAAGACTGCAACATGAAAAAGAAAGATAGATCCGTAGTGCGTTTACCTGCACTTTGCTCCTAATGGTCTGCTGCTGCTGCTGTTGTTGTTGTTGTTGTTGTTGTTGTTCTGGTAGTGGTTGGCTGACTGTGCTGGTGTCGGGGTTCTCTTCCTCGGTTGCAAGGGCTGGCAAGGAAAAGTATCGATAGCTGCGGAGTGTGATCGCAGAGGCGAATGCGGTGGAATGTCGACTGGGTGACCATGGGAGGTGGGCTCTTGCGAGGGATGTGATGTGCCTTGGCCGTACAAACAGGGACATGCTGTAATTGTGAGATGAATGTGGAATGAATGGAGAAATGAATGAGCGGATGAATAAATCGAGGGTATGCCGAAGGGAAGAAGAGAGTGGTCGAGTGGAGAGGAGTGAGAAGAGAAGAGGACGATGGTCCAGGGGGGGTAGGAAGTGGAAAATAAGGTGTGCAAGGCTGAAGTAAGGTTTAGTCCGAGATGGCCGAAAAAGTGGGGCCCTTTACAAAAAAGTGGGTGTATCGGACGTCCTTGGTCCATTAAGTGGCCACTGAACCCATCGAAGCAGGGTCAATCTGGAGCTTAGTGCGGAGAACAAAGGCAAGGGGACACAGCCCTGATCCACATGTGCACTCTGAGGCAGACTCCAAGTCTCCCCACTGTCGTTTCCGGGAGTGCGACTGGAACTGATTCACTTGGATCCTCTCATTCTCCTGGAGCAAACTCAAAATAAAGAGTCCACTTTGCCGCCAAACTCGAGTGAACGGGTGAGCGAGTACCCTCGGAAGTATATCATGCCCCCGGATACATATTCTGACGATTACCCCACCTTTCCCCACAATCTTCAATTGTTCGGTTTCAAGGTTCCCGCCGTTCAATTGCGTAGGGCCGTGTACTGTAAAGCAGAGCAATCAAGGATGCAAGCAACTCAGCCAGCGTCCCCTTTCGTCCTCTGCCATGTAATGTCTCATGTAATTTATTCGATGGGTGCGTATAGGTGGATATATAAGATGGACTGATCCAAAGAAGGAAGGGTGCATCCGAACAGCGCCTGTCGGCCAGGGGCAGCAAAATTGGTGGCACAAAAAGTGTGCTTCAGAAGTTTCAGCTCTACTACATCTATCCCGACCAGGTGAGACTCTTCTTATTATCGCACTCTTCTACTTGCCTCACCAGCGCCATTACGCGCAACAGGACACGCTGTTATTCTCACTCTGAGCCACCCAATGCTTTTTTTTTTTTGGAAGTTGTGGCGAGGACGTGGGAGTAGGTGAACACAGGAGAACGGACCGGTTCTCATCGTCTGCAATGTGCGACATTCGGACCAGACCCACGTTCGCGCGATTCTTACTCTCTATACCATTTGAATCTGACACAGCTTGCAGCATAAAAGTGTATGTGTTCATGCAGGAAATGGACACGCTCGTGGTGTCGTTTTCGAAATTAACCACAGCATTCGCTTTGCCATATTACCTTACTTACTTTTGCGGAAAAAACGTGGCTGAAGTACTCTGCGTCACTCATAGCCTTTCTCTAGCCAATAAACAGCACTACTACAAGCTACGCAGGCGATTTGTATATCTGCATCGACTAAGACTTGTGGACCGAAGGCCGCAGAGGTATTCATCAAGGGATATATACCGTACAGATGCTCGAAGCATAGCAGCGACGTCTGTTACTCCATGAACAGGTCGCGATAACAGCAGCGGCCAGGGGTAAGTCATGAGATTAAGAATGGTATTGTAGCAAGAGATAGAGATGTATTCCTTCTTTTGGTTTACAACAATATAAATCGTCCGGCACATAGGTCAGTGGTGCTTTGGATTACCCTTGCTCGAGTTTGGGGACATCTTCAAAAAGAAAAAAAAAAAAGAGGCGCCTGTGTATGAGGCCATTTTTACGGATCGATCTAATTCGTGGAATAATAAAGAAAAAACTCCTTGCTGTGTTGTACACAGACTGAGTTGGACAACAAAACGGTAATTTCGTGAAAAGTGAGCAAAGGACTTTTGACACATTTACGAATTCATGGCACACAGCACGGGTATGAACTCGGTGTGAACGGACTACTCTTTCTCTTTGATGTCGGTCCAATGAAGCCTCGGTAACCGTTGGTAGTGCATGGGTTCTCTCGCCGTGGCGGGTTAAATGGTAAGCTTTTTTTTTTTTGGAAGATCTATGCAGACTGGTTGATTATTTTTAGGGCTGCAGTTTAAAAGCACTACGAAAGGATACGTTGTCTAATGATGTTCCTACTCCTCCCACGATATTTGATATCATGTAGATCTTTTCTTGGAGCAAAGAGGCTTCCGACTTCAGCTTGAATGAGTCGGAGCAAGCGCGGACATGTAATGCGGCAGTGGCGACAGCAACTGAAACAAAGAGTGGAACTGGATATAAACGAGATGTCATGCTAATACAGAAGCTTGTAATGAAAACGCAGGGGGTTGCCGTTGTTCGGTATGGACTATGGACTTGCATGCGCGCATGGGGAATCTAAATGTGCGTAGGACCTCTTAGCCAGGATTGCAGGGTGTCAGTGTAAGAGGTTTGAGCTGGTGTAACATTGGATGAGATAAAAGAACTTCGCCTCTCCCTCCGTCGAAATTATTTGTAGGCTATGCATGCACGCAATATACAGCGCGATGCCCGTCCCATCCCACCTGTCCATCGGTATTTTCAAAGATTCAAAGATTTGTGCTGTGTTTGTCTCCTTCCCCTCTTCCTCCAGGTTTATATTTTTATATTATTTCCTATTGTTTGCTCGGTTTGTTCCGACACAAACAGGGGTCCAATCCCCCCTCAAACCCATTACACATTCGACCATGTCGCTTTTCTTTTCTTTTCTTCTCTTTTCATTGTTGTTGTTATTGTCGTTGTCGCTGCCAAGAAATTTACAACAAACTCGCCAGACTGTTTATGCTTGCTTGATGGACGAATGTTTGCATACCCTGCACTTTTCTTGTCAACCGTCGAGTCATTTCCCACTTTTGCACCCTTTTTGTTCTTTCCCCCCTCCCCCCTCCCCCTTCTTCCTCCATCCCTATCCTTCGGTCCATTGCACCGACTTCCCTCTCTCCCTCCATTTCCAGCTACATCCTCCTCTGCACACAATTCCCTCTTTGTCTCTCAGGACTCCATATATACTCTTCACTGGCGATGTCCGTGACCACAGTGGTGATTACGGGCTTGCTTCCCAATACACAACCCACCACCGCCACCGCCACCACCGGTATAGATGGCCTGACAGCTGGCTTTTCAGGAGTTCAGGCATCCACTACAGTTCGGGGCACACCTGCTCCAACATCTATCAGTACCATGACCGTGGCTGCGTCCCGCCCAGCGAATAACACTTTTCCCACCCAAGTCAACCCTCCAAATTCCAATTCAGTACCATTCTTCAACAACCCTACTCCTTCGCCGATTAAACACAACACTGCAGCTCTCGTTGGAGGTGTTCTCTGTGCGGTCGTTGTCGTACTCGTTGTCGCCGGCCTTTTCTTCTACAGACGCTACAATGCCTCCAAAAAAGGACTGACCGATACCGAGATGGACCCAGCCGACAACCTCAACGAGAGCGCACTTCATCAAGTCAAACCTTTCAAAGTCGAGTACCATACGACCGACCTTCATAAGACACAGACTGCACCCTGGAACAAACAACAATTCAACCCACCACCGCAACAGCCGTCGAAGGAGCAGCAGCAGGATATCATGGATGAGAAGGGCATTACAGGCCCTTTAATTTTTGCCCGATCTCCGCACGCAGTTATCGACTATTCCAACCACTATTCAGCCCACGCCTCTTCATCTTCATCTTCAACATCGCCACCAACAAGACAACCACCATGGTTACCCCCACGCACAGTCGTCCGTCCGCTCGACCTCAGCGTTCCTGACAGCAATGATATCGAGCTAAGCGACAACAGTTCCTCCAAAAAGTCCGCATCCGCCGGGCGATCAGCCGAACGGTCCCCCGAGGCAGACGACAGCGGCAGCTACCCTCGGGAGAGTATGATCAGCGCTTTGGATTATATCAACCGACGGGCATCGTCGCTGGATTACATCAACCCAAAGGCTTCTCCTACGACTCAACCTCAGCAGCGCGTCCGCCGTAATCCCCAGTGTCTGGTGTATACCCCTTCATCAGAGACAGATTCCCAGCCGTATGTGGCACCACCAACGACTACCTCGGCGGCGGTGACTTCAATTGTTCAGCCTTCACAGCGACAGAAGCAGAGGGATTCGCAGAAGCAGCAGGGAGAGGAGCCGGTGGATGTGATATTAGCGTCATATGGGCACAGGACCAACAGGCGGAATCGTCGAGGACCACGTCCATCAGCTTATCCGTCATCGCATTCGACACTACTGTCATCCTCTAACACAGCAACAAACCCAGCATCAACATCGACATCAAAATCACCATACGTCCCACCAGCATCATATTCATCATCATCTTCTTCAACACTGGCATCTCCGTCTTTTGCATTACTATCACCACCTTATTATCCACCACCAGTATCTTCTTATTCCTCACCACCGCCACCATCAGTATCGGCATCGTCGTCATCATCATCATCGTCAGCAACAGCACTATTGCCATCCACAAAATTCCAATCACCGACAACCATCCCAAGAACGCCCTCAAAAGCCCTGTCCCGCGGCCGGAGACATGTCTCCAAGCGCAATGGGATGTATGTACAAGATGATGAGGAGCTACAGATGAGGCTGGAGCGACAGATCGCGGAGATTAAGGCGGAACATGAGCGGCAGTATGAGCTACAGCAGCAGACTCTGGAGCGACTGCGGGTAGAACACCAGCATCAGCTGGAGATGTTGATGCAGCGGTTGACGACGAAGAAGATTTAACGACAGAGAACGAGCAAAAACAAGAAACAAAGAAAAAGCGCGAGCGCGAACTTTATAGTGTATATATGGATATCTTTTTTATTTTTATTTTCCTCATCTTCTTGTACCCTAATGTAAATAGTAGAAACGACTTTATATCTTAATGAGAACTAATATATATTAATACGACTTAACAGAACCGACAGAAAAGTAAAGTTATGAAAAAAGAACAAGAGTCTTTGTAGAGCGAAGGGAGAAAGAGGGAGGATTTGCCGCTTGTTGTTGTTCCCACGAAAGAGAACCATGGGTGGTGTGTTTGTGGATGGTGATTGGCTGAAGGCAGGTCGGGGGATCACATTCCAGCATTCCGGCTCTAGTAGGCAGGCGCACACAAATTGCCAAATATGGGCGAAGCAACCATGGCCGGGACATGGCACTACAACTTCGTCGCTCGCTCTGTTGTGTTCTCTCACTCCCTCGACAGATCCTCCAGACAACTTTTTCTCATCATGGGGTTCTACGATCGCTTGTTTGTATTTGGCAAAGCAGGCAATGGTACGGGAAAATGTGCTCTCAACTGTGGATATGCGAACATATAGAAGCCAGTTCCAGCTGGACTTGCTCGACTACAGTTAGTGTATATGATATGTGTACATTGGTCCCTTGCATGTAGGTTGCGCAACTGCTCCTTTTTTAAATTGTGTCTTTTTCCTCAGCAAAAAGAAGACCCCATTGGCATTCCTGCGCCTGTCGTTTTTTTTTCTTTGTTTCCTTTCTTGTCGGACCTAGGCCTCGTCTTATGAACCTAGGAGGAATTGGCTCATCTGTACATGCATGCACTACAGTTCTTCCACTCACTGCTCGATCATTTTCGGTACTATAAAAAAAGTATTGCCTCTTTTTCTTTTTCTTTGCTCTGTCGATCGTGTTTATTGTTCCACCTTCTATACCCTATACCCTTCTCACCTTTTTTTTTGCACTTACCGCTTTCCCACTTCCCTTGTCGAGAAAAGAAAAATGCGTATTGCTGCATCGATGATGGTCATGTTGGCCCTGGTCGTTTCGACTGCTGTGGCTGGTTCTCACCACAAGAAGCATCACCGAAATAGCAAGAAGAAGGATGCCATTATCATCGACAAGAAGGTCTTCAACACCGCCAATTTACCCTTCATCCCCCACAATGTAAAGTCAAACGCAACAACAACAGAGGATATGGTCTCTTCTAAATAGATGTTTGCGCTTGTTATCAAGTTTTCCAAACGGCTGTTTATCCCAATTAACAACTATGTTCATTCTCTCCAAAAAGGGCACGGCCTTGTTCACGAATTGGGTGGGTCTGAACGTGGACTACCAATACATCCAACCGATCTTCAACCTCGTCAACTCCACAGCCTCGCTCTCGAACGGCACACTCCTCTCGCGGGGTGAGTCCCACATCACCGTGATCCTCCCTCCAGAATACGACAATATCCTCCACCCCGCCGGCGTGACGATCGAGGAACTCAACGCCCTGGCCACGGCCGACAACCGACTCCAGCGTGCGAGGTTCGGGATCGAATGTCTGGGTCGGGTGCAGGCGGTGTCGGAACCCGACAAAGTCTTTCAGCAGGCGGTCCAGATCATCCTGAAGAACTATCGAGAGGTTGTCGCGTATCGCGAGGAGGTGTTCGGGCTGTTCGTGAGGAAGGGTGGTAATCCTGCGTTGTTTGATCCAAACAACTTTTTGCTGCATATTACGTTGGGATTCCGGCGCCGGAATTTGTTTGTGGAGGATGGGGTGTTCAAGGGCAAGAACGCGTGTATCCATAAGATGGTTGCCAGGTAAAGAAAGAAAGAACATAATAGTAATAATAATATACGACGGACGCGTTTTTAACGAAGACGCAGTATGCAAGAAAAAATCAGGTAGAATTATTACAAGTTCGTTCTTATTCATCCCTGCAATAGATAGATTGTTGCTTGGTATACAATATATATGATATACATGGGTCCTCCACGTCCGTTTTCGCTTTCTAGGAAGCAAAGTCCCAGATGAGGTTCGTCTCAAAGAAGGGTGAGAGCTGTTTATCAAACTTGACAAGATGGACCTCGTTCCTGTTCTGGGACCGGATCCTCGCCCTCGAGTAAACGCCCAGCTCATTCTCGAGCATCTCGATCCCCAATCCTCTGTACAACTGCAGCCGCAGCACTGCCATCGCATGGACCGTGTCATCAAGAACATCATCCTCATCCAGCATCCCGTCAATATCGCCTTCTGCTCCTCCTGTCCTTGATGAGTTCTTGTCACTCCCTAGTCCTCCTGCTGCTGCTGCTGCTGTGGCGGAGGTATGATTCCTTCCATTGTTCGTACTGGTTCCGGGAGATTTGTAGTCGAGTTCGAGAGAATACATCCGGAGCTGGTGGACTTCTGCCTCGAGAGAGGCGATATTCTGATCGAGATTCTGGATCGATTTGGCGACGGAGAATTTCTTTTGGTCCATTTTCACCATCCATTCGTCGTGGTTCAGACTCTCGGGATCGACATGTTCGCGCTGGCCCTTGGACCGGGACAGCTGTAGGTTCCTTGACATCTCTACAACGTTTACACACACACACAAAAAAAAAATATAACCACCAGCAGTAATTGGGTTAGGATCATAAGCACTTGTTGTTTTTCCTATTGACACTTGGGTCACCCCAAGAGAAAAAAAAAAAAAAAAAAAAAGACGGTAGAAAACAATACGTTACTTTGAAGAAGAGAGCGCGCGTCTTGGAGCATCTCGCGACGGAGTGTCTCGGTCTCGCGGATGTGGTGTATTGTTTTCTCAAAGCTCTGTGCGTCTGAAGTTGACTTTTGAGAGAACTGGGATGCGACATCCTGGATCAGCTCGACAAGGTCGTCGTCCAGGACGGGACCTGATTGTTGCTGCATGCGATGTGGGTCGTTTGAGAGGCGAGAGCTGAGCTGAGTTGAGTTGAGCTAAGTTGAGGGGGGGTATATGAACAATAAATAGGGTATGGACACGAAGCGCGTAAGAAGGATGGGCTAAGCAAAAAAGGATGCGAAAGCAGGGAGGATGAGGACGGAATGGAAGAAGGAGGAGGGAGGAGCAAGGATGCAGAAGAAAGGATGTCAATAAACGCGTATAGGGAGGAGGCGATGTGGGTGTGAAAAAAGGGAATAAAGGTGTGAGGGATCAGCTCTCCAGGCTGGATTCCTTTTTTCTCTATTACTTCCCGCCAAAGAACCATCCCCTGCCCCTGATCCTCTTCGTTTTTTTTTGTTTCCTCACAAGCCACTACTTCGTGTCTTCATTGTCCCTGGCATCCCTCCTTGACTGATCAGATTCCTCCTCCTATACCACCTCCCCATCCAGCTCCTTTTCCTCCCTACACCTCCTCGTCGGCTTTTCCTCTTTCTCTTTCTCTCTCTCCCTTCCCTTGGTGGCGATCGTACCTCTGAGGAAAGAGCCCAGGGATCCTCGCGCCATCAAGCAATGAGAGCAACCGCGTTCAGGCGCGTGCTGACCACTACTCTCCACAGCAACCACCGCCCCCCTTGCCCTCCTCGGATACCCACCCCGACTCTTGCGCCGCAACATCAAGACGACTTCTGGCACCAGTGCTTCCAGCGTGCATACGCGCGATCCGCACTCTCCAAGCACCTTTCATCCCAGGAATATCTATCAAGACCGTTATCATGTTCTTCACCAACTGCACGATCGACAGCAACTCTCAGGAGGCACCATCATCAGCACCACCGCCACCCACAACAGCGGCTTTTTACTACTAATACTAATACTATTGCACAGCCCATACTCAAGCACCATGGCGGCAACACCATCGAATCTCCTGCTGGAAGTCCCTTACCACAACCGCCACAGCAAAAACGCCGCCCCTCTCGAACGACCAAGACCATCATGACCCAACTCCACCAGTCCTTACAGTCCCAAGACCTCAAATCTGCTCTCCCTTTATACCTCCACCTCCGCCACCGGACCTTGCCCTCCGATCAAGTCCCAGTCTTTTTCCGGTACCAATTACGACTCGTCCAACTCTTCCATCGCACACGGCTCGAGATACTCGATAGCAACAGCACCACCACCGCACAATCACAGCAACAGCAGCCGTTGGCGCACGTATTTCAGAAACGACTCGACTGGCAAGAATGGCATCGACAGGGTGTGTTGAAGGATGTGGCCAAGAGGACGTTGAAGGAGACCGAGGATGCGGAGTATCTGGCGACACTTGTGGATGCTCTGGGGAGGAGTCGGGCCATGGTCCAGTACTCGTATGCGAGGAAGTCGGACACGAAATTGAAGGATTGGAGGGAAGCATTGGCGGTCCTGGAGGATTGGGCAAATGCAAGGAGGTTTTGGATCATGAGCGAGTCCAGAACCACCAGCACCAGCACCAGCACCAGTTCCGATACTACTGCCGGCATCACCCACACCATCACTAATATCGTCGGCAGCGGCAGCAGCAGTGCAGAGGACCAGGAGAGTAGAATTGGCTGTGGACCACAGGAAGTGGAGATGGGACCGACAGTAAAGACAGCAGCAAAAACAACAGCAACAGCAAAATTGGGAGTAACGACTCTTGAGACAGAGTCTGCGTTCAAATTGAAGAGCACGATGTTGGAGAAGGAGTTGGCGACGTGGCTGGCAAGGCTGATGAAACGCCTGGTGTTCAGTCACACGTTTTTGATCCGATCCATGCTCGACACCATACCCACACAATTCGGGATCAAGACGACCGTCGACATGCACCTTGTATGTTTTATCTTTTTGTTTCCGTGGTGCACATCTTGAAATGCAGCTTGATGAAATGGATATTGACTCTTGTTTTATTTTGGCGTGTCCGCTATTGGACAGGCATTACTGGAATACTACGCGATGCTTGGAAAGGACGGTTACAAGGACACGCTCGCGATCGTGTCAAAGATGAACGCCGACAATATCTTTTGGAAACGCGAGGTAGCCGTGTACGATTACCTCCTCTTTGCGCTCAGTCATATCTCCGGAAACGAATCTCGCGCCAACAGGATTATCGAGGACATGCTCGCGAATGATCTCGTTCCACGGGAGGAGACCATGAAGGCCGCAATCCTGTGTGCGGCACGATCGGGTGACTTGGAGGCTTGCTCACGGTATATTCGGAGGATGCATGAGGAATGGAACTTGACGATTTCGGAACGGATGAAGGCCATCCTGCTGTATGCTTGCGCGAAGCGTGGAGATTTCGAGGGCGCGCTTGAGATACTGGGACAGCTCGGTCGGGCGGGCACGTTGGTCCATTCGGAGCAGCGGCCTGTAAGATCGACGATGGCGACGGCGACAACGCAGATGGCAAAGAAGGAGGTGGAGAAGTTGCTGAGGGAGCGGGATGTGGTCGACAACTCGAATGTGCTCATGGCGCTGATTAACCAGACGCATGCGCGAAGAGGACATGGGCAGCAGCTGACTCAGGAGTACGTCAAGGAGGAGGTGTCGAAGGTTTTGGAGCTGTTCACAGTGATGACGAGGGATTCGAAGCAGGTCGATACACAGTTGTACACGATCATGATGCAGTACCTCTCGACGTTGCCGTCGCCGTTGCCGGGGATGATCTACCTATACAGGGAGATGCATTCGTCCGAGAAGGCCAAGCCGAATTATGTGACGTACCGGATCATGCTCGAGGCGTGTGCGGAGCATATGGACATGGATCTAGCGAAGCAGTTGTGGAAGGATATGGAGGCGGCTAGGATCGTGAAGGATTGTCGGGTGCGCGCGAGTTTTGTCAAGGGCTGGGGACGGACCGGGCATCTGAAGACGGCGGAGCGGTATACGCAGGAAGGGATGATTGCGCAGAGGGCGATCGAGAAGGAGAGGATACAGTATCAGGTTGGGTTCGTGGTCAGGAACAAGCGCAGGCGCGAGCAAGGGCTGCCGATCCTGGAAAAGATGCCGAGATTGCCGCGACGACAGCGTATAACGGGCGAGATGATTGATCTGGGAGTATTGCATGAGCTGATGAGGGCGAATCGGCAGCATAATCAGCCGGAGAGGGTGTATGAGTTGTATCGGGAAATCGATGCAGGCGAATGGGGTAGGAAGATCCGGCCAAATGAATTTACGCTATCGATTGTGTTGGGCGCCTGTGCGTCTGGCACTACGGCGACGGAGCTGGTGGATCGAGGGATTGAACTCATGGACGGGTATTTCAACCATCAAAGATATGGATTTAGCGGTCATACTGCTCCTGATGGTAGTGCTCCCGATGAGATGCCGGACCGTGTTCTCGATCACGGCCACGGCAGTGACAATGGCGACGATGATGAAGACAAGAGTGAAGCTGGCCGGGATCGACAGCTTGAATTACTTGGCTCGGAGACGATGCCCCGAAAGCATTTTGCGCCAGGCGAAGGAGGCGTAAAGACTCGACTGCTATCGGATGTGAACTACCAGCTGTATTTTGCGATGCTGGGACGACACCATCGACAGCGCAAGATGGTGGAAGTGTGGGACGAGATGATGGAGACGGTTGAGAAGCCGCCGTCGCATCTGACTGTGAGCCTTGTGACGGAAGCACTGGAGAACGTACAGTGGGGAGCTGGACCGATCAAGCGGCTGCAGAGGCAGTTGCGAGAGAAGTGGCCAAAGGTCGATTGGGATGGAGCTAAGAGAGGCAAGAGACTTGGCGGTGCATCAGGGGCAGGTGGAGGAGAGGGCGAGGAAGGGTATGAGGATGATTCTGTGGGTGCAGGTGGGCGGTTTTGGAAGTGAGCGAGTCTCTATGGGGGACAGGACACCGGAGGAAAGCACAGGAGGGTCTAGTTACGTCTCTTTTTTTTTTTTTTTTTTTTTGCGGATTGTATCCGTTGAGATCAGAACTGAATGCACTTGGGAATAGGCGGGATTGTAATAGAACATAATAGCATGTAATATAACGGCCGTTGGCTGTTAAAGCAGGGTGTTTTACGGGCTAGGCCAGATCGGAAGGCAGAACTAGCTTAGACAGAGAAATCGACGATCGACGATTGTTACATATAAACGATATGAGAAGACTTGTTTTTTTGCAAGCACAAAGGGGGTTTCTATCCGTCTGTCCTGTCTCTGACCCACTTCATCCACACACACACACACACGCACGCACACATCCCTCCTTGGACCATCAAAGTCGACTACCGCTGTTTGCTTGCATTCAGCGCGTATTTTATTTTTTTGTATTTTTTACACTTGGCCAATCAGGACAGCCCCACATAGCACAGCACAAACTCTACAAACACGCGCTCGACTTTATATTATCCCGTTCGCCCTCTTTACACACACCCACTTACTTAAAAAAACCCTCCCTCCTTAAACAAGGCAAGGAAAAAACCAGAAGCTCGATCATATTTTAGCGAGGAGAAGGATGAGGAACTTTGTCGGCGTCACCGCCGCCGTGCTGCTGGTAGCAGCTTCGAATACCGTCCTTGGCGTTGGATCTGGAGCTGAGGCTGGAGCTGAGACTGGAGCTGAAGGTGTTGTTGTTGTAGGGACTATGAACGAGATCTTAAAGTACGTGACACCAAAAAAAAAAAAAAAAAAAACTCGGTTGAGCGACAACGAAGTAAGCGTAGAAAGCGGGCTGAACATGTTCTGCAAGAACCTTTTTATTTTATTTTATTTTAAAAAGTACTTTTAGGGTCCCAATCGAGAAGATCAACGGCACCGCCAGGCTGTCGACCGTGTCGCGGTGGTCACATACCCTCCGCAAGTATGGTCTATCACACCGACACCGACATCGGCACCGCGCTAACGGACCGCAAGGACACCAACGTGGTCAACTCGAAGGCAATGCGACCAATCTGGCGAGGATCCCACTTGTCGACCATGACTTCGATCGTGAGGTAGAAGAAAAAAAAAAAAAAAAGACGAACAAGAACAATGAATCGGAAGAGGTTATGGAACTCAAGGTGAAATAGAAGGGTAGTGCGATGACTACTAACTGAAGTACTCACTCAGAATAATGACTTTTTACTCTGTTGGTCGTTGTAGTACTACGGCACCGTGATGATCGGTCAGCCCCCACAAGCGTTCAAAGTATGTGAGGAAAAAAACTAAGAAAAGCAGCAGCAGCAGCAGCAGCAGTAATGAATGTACCCAGGCTGCCTACAATCGCTCGTACTCCGACTACTAACCCTTCCTTTCTTATCATTCTCTCTCCATTCTTTGACTCCACTCTTTCTCCCCTCGAACAGATCGACTTTGACACCGGCTCATCTCAATTCATCATCTCTTCAAAAGGCTGCCGCTTCTGCTCGGGCATCACCCACTATGACTCCTCAGCCTCCAGTACCTTCACTCCGAACGGTAAGCCCTGGAAGATCACCTACGGCGATCTATCCCACGCCGAAGGCATTCTCGGCTACGACCTCATCACCCTCGATGGTATCACCGTTCACAACCAACAGCTGGCCCTCGTCACCAACGAATCTGCGGGCTTCGATGATAAAATCGATGGGATCATGGGTCTAGCCTTTGGGACGCTCTCGTCCAACATCGCGGCAACCCGGACCGTGTTTGAGAATATGATGGACCAGAAGGTCGTCCGGAAGGGAATCTTCTCATTCTATCTAGGTAAGGAGAAGTTGCAGGGCGGCGGAGAGGTCATCTTTGGAGGGATGGATATGAGCCGAGTCAAGAAGGGGCATAGAATTGTGTGGACTAAGGTCACGAAGGCAAAATACTGGCAAATTGATGTTCAGAGCGTGCTCGTCAACGGAAAAGTCGTCGCCTCCTCTTCCTCGTCCCCCTTGTCTTCCTCTTCCCCGTTGTCGTCGTCGTCGTCGTCCTCGCTTTCCTCATCTTCCTCGTCTTCCACTTCCCTCTCTTCCTCCTCCTCTTCCTCCATGTCTTCCTTCGAAAACATCAACGACGATGAAGAAGTAAATGAAGACGAGGACGGTGACAGCAATGAGGACATCGAGGGCGACGATATGATGCCCCGTTCCCTGAGCCGCAAAAAGCCGAACAAGATCCAAGGGATCATGGACACCGGTACAACACTCATGGTCGTCCCTGTGCACCTCGCCCGCTCGATCCACCAACACATCCCGGACGCCAAAGCCTCTGACTACTCCTGGACCCTCCCATGCAATCTCGCTGACCGATTTCCGGAAGGGAAAGTGGAGCTCCAGATCTCGGGCAAGCGATTCGGAATCCCTTTTGAGGATCTAATTAGGGAAGAGGCCGGCCAGGCCGGAGTCTGCTATTCAGGGATTCAGACAAGTTCCGCGGAATTTATGATCATCGGAGATGTGTTTATTAAGAACAACTATGTGGTATTTGACCAGGAGAAGAAGCGGGTCGGAATTGCGCCATTGAAGTTGGAGAAGCGTCGCGGAAGCTAAAGAAGCGATGACAAGGCAGGGGAAGGGACGATTAGGAGGAGTAGGAACGATACCAGCAGGATATGGTGGAGAAGGTAGCACGAGGTCGTGATGGGAGAAGTCGCAGGGAATGTAGGGGGGTTAAAGCGATAGGAATCGCGCGCGCCCTTTTTAGAACGGCCGTAAAAGGAGGAAGCTTTATGAATATCCATTGGTCTTATTTTTCTCTTTTAACACCCACCATCCATTTGTCTTTGTATTTTTTTACATCGATCGAATACCCTCGATCATCTCAACGTGGATTTTGAACAAGTGCCTATTTGCCCAGATTAAAAACATGGCCTTGTCGTTTTTTTTTTTTTTTTTTTTTTTTTTTTTTGGAAATCGACTGCAGCAGCGAAGTAAAGAGACAGGCAAGAAATCGGCGAGCAGGTGGCAGACTGATAAGGTGCGCCATGGCGCCTTTGTCTCCTCAGTAGTCATACTATTGTTCTTATAGGTATAATACGGTGGATATAGGAATGTACCTTTATAAACCAGGTTTTTCTAATATCCGGAATAGGTACAACCGACTCGCATTGCCTTCGCCATTTGTTTGGTCAATTGGTATCGCATCTGCAGGCTACTAGGCATACAGTATGGTGCAAAACTGTACGCCAATAACTACTCGTCGAAATGACTCTAAACTTTACACAAAGGTAGCAATGGCATTGCTAAACATTGCTATCAAGTTTTGTATTGGCAGCGCGTATTATTGTTGTGCTGTCATGATTTTACTACAGCTCGGCATTGGAACAGTTTTGCACCCTCGCCAAAAAAAAAAAAAAAAAAAAAAAAAAAACTTTTTTAATGAATAACGACCCAAACTAGTATCTGGTGTGCTTGCTCATTGCTCTATGGACAGCCTGGAGCCGCCTAGGTATGCTCCTGATGAGTTGGTGACAGTATTCAACGGGGATCCTGTACCATTCCATTGAAATTCGCTCCCATAGTTCCTTGCAGCTCGTGGAGGACCATACCATCACGCTGTCGAGATCTAGCCAGACGGAGATAGATCAGAAGTGTTTAGAGTGCGGGAATAAAGAGTGAGCAAGAGAGTACTGGACAAGAAGATATTGTATTGCAGACTGAAGAGCTATGGTTACATTATGCAGGGAACTGTATACCCCCGAAGGTGATAGGATGCTGGAGGGCCTGTTCCACATCGCGGTTGTTTTTGAAGCACACTGTCAGACACCGGCCCACCCCGGGGCCAGAGGAGTGCTTCACCACCAATAAGGTCCCGATCTGCCTCGCCACAAGAGTTGTGGCCTGGAATGGGGTCAGGACGGCTGGGAGATTGGTGTAGGTAACTGAGGGGCGAGATACTGCACTCTAGGGGACCTTGGCCTGGTGGGCGAAGCGACCCAGCTCAGAGTGGACGAAGATGGGGGTTGGAAAGAAGCTTGGTTTGGTACCCCGAAGACGTTCGGAGTGTTCCGTCCAAACCCCAAATTGGGACTGTACTGGGAGTGAACCTTCACATTTAGGCCACTTCCGTTTTTATTCATGAGACTATTAAGCTATCTAATACTCCAAGCCCCAGATCGGGGCTATAAAAACCCCTACCGGGAGCATAATAAACAACAACGCTCTTTTTTCTCCTTGACTCACACTCAGGTACATAAAACATCACACGGAGTACGTGGAGCCGTCACTGACTCCAGGAGGGGAGATAGAGGGTGGCCGCCCTGGAGGACGGCCGGAAGTATCGCGTAAGCTTTCACCATTTGACATGGTAGGAAGAAGGGGCGACCTGCCAGGTAAAAGTACTAACTGTAAATACGTTGCTCAATAAAAGTCTACTGGTCAACGAAGTCTCTAAATAATAATTGTCTTACCGTAAATGTATGTCGCGAATAAATGAGCGACGGCGAGAACCACAATCCGTATAACAAAGGACTACAGAAATAAATTGGAAGCAAAGACCTAGAGATAAGTTGCGGGACTACAGTAGAAACAAATAGGCTCCAGACGCAGAGAACATTTACAATGAGATCCTTCGAGGAAGAAGCGCTTGGTCCTTAGCAGAAGGAAAAGAAGGACAGTGTGCCTAGACGAGGACATCGAGGGGGTGCCGTTCTTGGTCCTCCGCACTCATTCGTTATAAGACCATGGCCGTTGCCTGGTCGAGGGACCTCCAGGCCATGCGAGGCGGACTCACTGTGGCATATGGCCTATTTTCCACACTGCCTCTGTGTGCGATAATTCCTGAAGGTATCTTAAGCCACCGAGCAATAAGTAATCTCTTGTTCTCATTGATTCTGGACACAGTCATATTTCTCACTCACAGGTGAAAGATATGACTGTGTCCAGAATCAATGAGGACAAGAGAGAGATCTTTAATTACAGCGACCGAGCAATTACTTATTGCTCGGTGGCTTAAGATAATTTCAGGAACTAGCAATACGCCACAGCAGGAACACTCGATTGTAGAAGTTCAGACGCACAGGTCGCGTCTCTACTCTTGCTGGGCGATGCGCTATGATGACCAGCTATGGCAGAGTATACCAACTTGGGGTACAGTGTAGTGCGACAATGGGTGCGTGGAGCGACTTAGGGAGTCGTACAGGGCAAGTGCTGTTCAGAAATATGGGAGGAAACAGACTAGGAACCATTTGGTCCCGTCTTTCCTTAGTATTTATTGACCTAGCAATTGACTATTCTATAACTGCACATGCTCCCTACTTGCACATCTCATAATTGGACGTGCAGCCTGCGCTTGATATGACTGTAGGGATGTCCTGTACCTATTCCGTTCATCGCGCCAAACGTAGCTGGGCCTTCCATCGCGGATACCCTGTCTGGGTCCCACGTGGATCTACCACACCACGCCGGGTTCATCCAGGCGTACAAGGACAGAAACTTCATAGAAAAGACGGGACTGCAATATGGTAATGGTAATGGGCGATACATGCACACTCCACAGCATCCGCTCTAAACCCTTACGGGTACCTTAGAACCCTACAACTGAACAAGGCCAGATGCTGCTTTTGTTGGTTGGTCGTCGTAGTAGAAGACCACAGTGCCGACAATTGAGTGCCACGCATACCCCATTGGAAGAACAGCACTCACCTGTGCACGCTGTCTTCTCAGCCATGACTCTAAACCCTTGCGGGTATCATCGCACATCCACATTGATCGCAGATTGTTTGCCATGACTCATGTCTGATTTCTCTGGCCGATGGGTCAGAAGCGAAGAGAGGCACACAGGTAGTGCGAAGGAACAACGAGGCTTGAGGGTCGCTTGAGGGTCGCTTGACTTGATGAATGTTGATTGTCACAAGTTTTTTTTTTTTTGAGAATGAATGTGAATGAATCAATGAATGAATGATAGAACTTGCCTGGATGATGCTCGTCTCGAAGAACGATGCGGTGGCGAAGGTCCAGAACCGATACGGTGGACTTGATGGGCGAAAAAGGGCGGGAGAAAGAGATCGATGATATATGAAGGATAACAGATCAAGATCAGTCCGTGTTTATCTTCGGTCGATGGTTCGATGGTTCGATAGCTTAGTTATCGATGTGGATGGTGCGAGGGGAGAAGGGGCTACTCATGAGACGGAGACCATGGCAAAAAGTGGAGTAATGGCGGCACCGGCGGCACCGGCGGCGGCGTAGGCTGAGTCGGCGGTGGGGTCGGTGGAAGTGGAGGTGGAGGTGGAGGCGGTGTCGGCGTAGCGGGCGAGGGCCATGACTCTGGCGCGAAGGGGGAGGCCGAAGGCGGTCATAATGGTCATGGGCATGGAGAAGGTCTTGATCGAAGGGAGCATGTTGGAGAAGGACGACCTCCAGATTGCGGGCGACGCGGCGAAGGACATAGTTTAAGGTGATGAGCCAAGAGTGATGGTTTTTTATTCTCGAAAGACTGCTAACGTCGACGACATGGACGCGTCAAACCTTATTCACAGTTCACATCCTGCTTCGCAATCAACATCTATAATGTCAAACACTCAGCTCTCGTGGAAGGCCCTCGGGGACATGAGGGTAGGGATCTTTTTCAAGGTCACTCCCTGTCATAGCTGGAATGACGCGTTGACATTCTTTAAGGTCTCGTCGAAGCAGGAGACGGTTGAGGCGTACTTTGGGACATACAGAAATGGACTGATAACTATCGCAGAAGACGTGCAGGCACCAGAGGGGGTCAGGGAGCGGGCTAAAAGCCTCCTGTCGACCACGAATGTCGAGCTATTCCGCCGTAAATACGAGGCATGGCGGCTCCAGTCGGAGAAGGATGAAGCCAAGCAAAGTCTCGCAGAAGGCTATGCCTCGCTCGCCAAGGGGGCCGGGAGCATGTTAAAAGGTAATCTTCCTTGCAGCACAAGCGTGTTTTGATGTGTGAGTGGTCAATGGTAAACCCCCTGTACTCACGCTACAATATGGTATATAGATGGTGAATCATCATCATCGTCATCACCACCATCATTATTATCATCATCACCAAGTTTCAAGAAGCGGAAGCGAACGACCACGGACGGAGGCTCGACGTCGACGACGATCACGACCAGTACAGAGCCCGATCTGAGCAGCCGAAAAGAGGTATGCGCGCCGAGTCAACAATCCAGGGTATCCTAAGGAAACTACATAGTATGAATACATAGTTCCTGGAGATAGAGACTAACAGGTGCTCTGTGTTTACTCCTACGATAGCGCTTTGCCGCGATGGATCAGTCACAATTCTGGGAGCTCAGAAGCGGCAGAACTGTTGAAGAGATCCTCTACAATGCAAGCCTGAAGCGGGAGGCCAATTTCAAGTATGTCTTCTACTCTATAACACGCATTTCTGTATTTTGTGCGGTGTATTAACAGCGTACACTGTCTTCACGCATTTTACACGTGTTATAGAATGCGGTCATATACGATTGACTTTGGCTGTGAGAGGACGAGGGAGCGGATAGAACAGGGGTAAGGACTTGAGTAGGGACTGGTGCATGGACTATGTCAGTATAATTGGATGTGTGAATGAAGGTTAGCAAATGAACAAGCTTACAAGCTCATTTACAAGACGTCAGTCAATAAACCATTACGCGTTTACTGGGGACGTGGATCATCTCGTCAGGTCCATAGCCAAAGACCTCAGAGACCTTTTGCATTGCCGCCTTTAGTTTTTTCTTGTCGTTCTTGGGTATATCGGTGAGAAGAATGGGCAAGTCGTCGTCATCGTCGTTGTCATCGTCGTTGTCATCGTTGTTGTCGTCTGCAACAGGAATCGAGACGCGCCAGAGGGTGAGCTCATCGGAGGCGACATCATTGAATCGAGGTGACTTCTTGGTCTTGATGAGGTCCTTAAGTTCTCCCACTGTTATGGCAGTTGAGGGAAGGCGTTGGAAGTAGCCTCTCCATCAACAAGACAGAATAGGATCAGGTGGACGTCGGTCATGGTGTTTCGAAGCATCAAATGAAAAAAATAACTGCAGGATAAAAAGAAGGCAAGGGAAGGGTAAGGAGGAGAGAAAGAAAGTGAGGATGAAAAGAAAAAAAAAGGGCGTGAGAGTGTTGGCAAAGGCGATGAAGAAAATAAGGGAGTGGTGACAAAGGCGATGAAGAAAAAAAATGGTGAGGGAGTGATGGCAAAGGCGATTAAGAAAGCGCGTGGGAGTGGTGGCAAAGGCGATGTTAAAAAGGCGTGAGAACGGCGGCAAAGAGAGAGAGATGATGGTGTAGCATCACCTCTCTTGCCAGGAGCATCACCTTTCTCGCCAGGAGCATCACCTCTCTTGCCAGGAGCATCACCTTTCTCGCCAGGAGCATCACCTCTCTTGCCAGGAGCATCACCTCTCTCGCCAGGAGCATCACCTTTCTTGCCAGGAGCATCACCTTTCTTGCCAGGAGCATCACCTTTCTCGCCAGGAGCATCACCTCTCTTGCCAGGAGCATCACCTCTCTCGCCAGGAGCATCACCTTTCTCGCCAGGAGCATCACCTCTCTCGCCAGGAGCATCACCTTTCTTGCCAGGAGCATCACCTTTCTTGCCAGGAGCATCACCTTTCTCGCCAGGAGCATCACCTCTCTTGCCAGGAGCATCACCTCTCTCGCCAGGAGCATCACCTTTCTCGCCAGGAGCATCACCTCTCTCGCCAGGAGCATCACCTTTCTCGCCAGGAGCATCACCTTTCTCGCCAGGAGCATCACCTTTCTTGCCAGGAGCATCACCATCTTTCGTCAGCCGCATCACGCCTGCCATATTCATTGCTACGCTTCATTATGGCCGACCAAACCTGGACTTGCTCCAAGTGTACACCAACACGAACCTTTGAGTCTTCTGATCAGTGTCGAGCTCATTCCTTGAACTATCATGCGTCCACTTTCGCCATCACCGTCCTCACAAAGGCTGGCTTATCGAAACAGGCCACTGTCACGCAGATTGATGGTGTTTACCCTTGTCCTTTCTGCAGCGTTACATTCAAGACCAAAGGAGGATGCCGCAAACATCTGGCCAACTTGACCTGTGCCCCTGAAGAGCAAGACAATGACGAGCCTGGCCAACAACCACCAGTCATCGCCATGCCGAGCCACCAGTCCCTTCCAGTCCCAATAACGGCCGACTCAACACCTCAGATGCGAGAGTACAATGATGCGGTCCTGTACAGCTGCAATCAGACACACGTCTCTGACGCGGAGAAGCAACGGACACTGGGCATTGTCGATGCACTCGAACTGAGGCCTTTCGCCATGAAAGATCCTGACGGGGCAGAGCAAAATGGTCTAGCCCATATCTCGGTCATTGTCAAGCTGTCCGCTGGTCAAGGTCAAGTCGCCTCAAATATGCCTCCACCCAAAAAAAGGAAGCATGCCCATCACGATACCTGTCCCATTTGCACTCCAACTCAAGCACCTGGACTGGAGCATGTGTTGTCGACTTCGCCCTATGCAGCATTGATACAGAGGCGAAAGTACATCGAACTCGACAATGGCGTTTGCGAGCTTTTCAACCGAGACTGGGAATTTTCTCCCCATCTCCGATTTGCCTGCGCAAAGATTCTTGCTGGATGTCTCCTCCTCAACAACCAGAACGGTCAGGTCATCATTGCCAACACGATTGAGGCTTATGGCCGGACAAGACTAGTCGATGCCCATCGAGAGCCCTTCGTCGTACGCAAGGGTCAACCTGTTGCCAACTCTTTGCCGCCGTCGATCAAAACGCCATACAAGAACGTCTGGCCCACGACTGTTTCAGCACAGGACGGAGAACGACTGATCATTGGCACATTATCTTTCGATGCCCTCGTCACTTCCTCGCTTCGTTTGGATACAAGGATGAACGCGTCTGTCGGTTGTGCCACACCATCATTTCTACTTTCCAGTACAAGTCAGTCACTGGCAACAAGGATCTTCCTGGATCAGGAATCATTGGACGATGGTCTTCAGCTTGCCCAAGGAAAAGATACATGGTCCGTCTCGAGCAGTAACCTCATGTGGCAGCTGCGGCAAACAAAAACAAAATTCCACGACCCATCTACCTACTACCTTTGCCGTGCCAGCAGTCCGTTTGCCAACAAGCACCCTTGTCAGCCATATACGATATTCACTTTGGTGGCGTTTGATCAAGCTCACAACGGCGACGGAACAGTTTTGTCACGTCTCTTTCACACTCTCGCCAGTCGCGTCATTCGAGATGCAAGAGAAGCCGTGATCGACAGACAGACAGTTGAGGAGCTTCGGAACCAATGCACCGATCAAACCAATGCATCCAAGGGTCTAGACAAGTTACTTTCACTCTTCTCTGGCACTCAAACCTCTATTAAAATCCTTGGCAACCTTCATCTCAACAATACCCTGCAGGTTTTGGCCCCACTCATGTCAACGTATATCACCAAGGCTAATGCCTCTGTTGTGGCCTTTGTCGAGAAAGAATTCACGCCAATTCCTTAGTATATTTACATTCGGCATGAGCTTCATACTTCACAATCATAAATATCCTCTTCTTTTATCTAATGTTGCCTGCTTCAATCACAGTACATTATGATGTCTAGAATAAATCCTGAGTCATGGCTTGCAAGAGATGTTGAAAATTCTGTGCATGTCTAATTTTGTCTCGTTGCTGTTTCCTCTGTTTCCTCTGTAACTATGCTAGGAAGTTGAGTACATCCCCCAGCAACAAGAGGATCTTTTTTTTTTTTTTTTTGTACTGAAAAGCCACGTATGACATGTAATTGGAGTCTATGTTAGGAATATAAAGATTTTTTTTTTTTTTTAAGTGAGTTGGTGCGCATAGATCGCGCCACCCCAGCACTATTGATAGGGCTGTCATTCAACACAAAAGCATAATGCATATCCCATACGGCTTTGACCCCGCATGCCACCAACTGAGGCAGGTTGATGAAGCGGTGGAACTCTTGCTGGATGGTGACGCGTGGCAGAGACAGCTCAAGTAGGGGATCAATGATTCCAAGGCCACCTTCGGTGCGAGGGGAGCAAATGGTGTCCCAGGAGGCTGCCGGCTTAAATGGGCAGGCGAAGTTACGGATTTCTTTTCGGAGTGCAGTCATGAACGCTGGGGAAGGCGATACCACCCAGAGAGCGTGCCAGAGTTTGGAGAGGACTAGAGCATTAAGGATCGTGCTTCGACCCAGAACAGAGAGGGAGCGTCGTCCCTGCAGAAAAAGAATTTTCTTGATTTTTTCTAGGCAGGCGTTGAAAAAGAGATTCACTTGGCCTTGACAGATCGGGACGGGGTAACCGAGGTATGGCAGATGTGCAGGCGTGTTTTCATCACGCCAATCGATAGATGTGGATTGGAGAGCATTCTGTAGGGCAGCATCGGGGTTGCGAGTCATCGGAAAGGCTTTTGTTTTGGAGAGGTTGACTTTAGCGTTGGACGCTCTGCCGTATGTCTCTAAGATCCCATGCAGGACCTGCCATTCTGTGACAGAATTCAGTGCCGTCAGTAAATCGTCCGCATAGGCTAGCAGCTTGATTGGCCGCTCCGGAGCAGGCATCGGACAGCCAGCAAGCCCAGGCTCCTGTAGGATAGATTGTAGAAGGGGCTCGAAGGCAATATTGTACAGGAGTGGCGAGAGCGGGTCACCCTGTCGGAGTCCACGTCGTTGGGTGAATGGTGTCGCTAAAAACCCTGTTGACGTTGAGTGCGATCTGTGTTGCAAAGAAGAGGGGTTTGATACGTTGAATAAACTCCTCAGAAAATTCCAAGGCGCGAAGAGTATCCTGCAGGTACCCTGGATGAATCCGGTCGTAGGCTTTTTCTTGGTCAAGGAGCAATCCCACTTGGTGTCCTCGCTGCTCCCGGCAGTGATCCATAAGGCTAGAAAGAATCAAACCGTTATCACCAATAAAGCGGCCCTCAACAAATCCTGTTTGGAACGGTGTGATGAGGTGTGAGAGGCATGGACGTAATCGATTTGCCAGCAGCTTGGTGAATAGTTTGGCGTCGCAGTTGATCAGCGAGAGAGGTCGCCAATTTGCCAATAGTTCGGGGTCACCCTTCTTGAACAGCAGCACCATGGTAGTATGAAGCCACGATTTTGGGTAGGTCCCTTGGAGGAGAGCGTCGTTGAGGACTTGGAGAAGAAGGTGGGCCGTCGGTCTGTGAAGGAGAAGGAGTGAGTACAGCTCAAAGGGTAGACCGTCCTGTCCCGGTGCACGTCCCCGAGGGGTGTGGTCAATCAGATCCTCTATGCCGTCCAGAGAAAGAGGCGCTAAGAGATTCTCGTTGTCTTCCTGTGTCATCTTGGGCCGGTTTGATAAAGAAAGTAGCATCTGTGTGGTGGCGTCTGGATCGGCTGGCTCAGGGGAGTATAGGGCGGAATAAAAGGTCCTACCATAATCGCTTGTTGTTTCTGGTTCCATATGGACGATGTCCTGCGCTGGGTCCCGTAGAGACGACATGCATCGTTTTTGATTGCGGTGTTTGATGCACTAGAAGAAGTACTGGGTGCTGCGTTCGCCTTTCTCCATCCAGCGTAAGCCTGCTCGTTGTGCCAGGCCATCCATATGGGAGTCTACCATAGTTGTCAGAGACGCCTCAACCCGGTCTAGATCCTTCTGTATCAATGCAGCCAGAGGATCCTGTCGGTATAAGGCGTCCTCATGCTCGTCGAGAAGTGCCAGACGCTGTTCCTGGAGACGCTTTCCCTCCGAGGCGGTGCGGGATTTATGAAGGATCGAGAATGAAATACTTGCCTTCCGGACATGCTTGAGATGTTTTGGGATTCAGAAAATGAGTGAGAAAGAAATGTGGCTCCACACACCACACCGATTAGGTATTTATTTGTATTATAAATATAATAGTGAGCTGGAGGTACACTTCTTAGATTAAATATACAGTGAACTCTGGTGAAATATGCGACAATGCTTTTTGAGGCGATCCCAATGCTGATGGGGGGTTTCCGATGTTCGAGGAACGGAAGCCATGTCTAGGGTGGTAGTCAAGTAAGTGCGGAATTCCTGCTGACGTAGAAGAGAAGTGTTGAGGCGCCAAGTACCTTTGCCATGACGGATCTGGGAAGGAGGTTTGATCTGGAGAGAGAGGAAACCGTGGTCAGTGAAGTTGCAGGTGTAGGTTTGGGAGGCTGAAGGGCTGCGGGGGGTCAAGTCTGGCGATAGGAAGATGTAGTCTATGGTAGATTGGTGGCGCTGCGAGCGGTTAAAGAAAGTTGATCGAGGGGCGAGACGCGAGCCCAGCATGCCGTCGACCATGTGGGACTGGAGCCAGCCTTGGAAAGCTGGATACCGAGTTGCCGTGTGGTGATGCAGATTAAAGTCGCCCAGGAGGATGGGTTGAGGAGTAGGGTGGATGAAGGACGGTCGTTGTAGGAGGGTATGGAGGAAGCGGGTGTGTGGTTGGTGTTGAGCGGGTGCATATATTGTGCAGACTGTCAGAGGGCTGGTGAGGGCGGAGGACTGGATTGTCGCCACTATCGACCTACGATCTGGGGAGATGGTATGCGTGGAGAAGGAGAGGTCAGGGTGACAGATCAGGAGGGCGCAAAACGGTATCCAGATGGCGTCATGGGCGCCGATTGCGGTCTTCAGCCTGGTGTCTAGAGGGGAGTCGGGGTCAAATTGTAGTTCCTGGAGTCCTATGATATCCAGCTGCTGGTCTTTCAGCCAGCGATGGAAAACTGTGGACTCCTTTCCAGAGGTAGGGTGTCAGAGTTTAGCTCTGATTGGTGTTGTCATGTGACGCTAGACGCGTCTAAGAAAGGATCAACGTCGCCCTCATCACAGAAAGCTCCATGATGTAAAGTTGAGCAAAGGCAGCACCGAAATGTCTGGAACCATGAATTCTAATCAAGACCTTTATTCGTCTGATATATATAAGGAAGGACAGACTATATAGTTGAACCCCAGTTCATACACTCACAACAGTCTAGTCAATAAACTATTGTCTTCACATATTCGTCCTGTTCATTCACCTTGTTCACTCGTCTCCCCTCGTTTTCACCTCGTTGTTCCTCGTTCACCCACAAGTCTTACATAGGGCGTATCTTTCGAATACCCCGGACGTTCAGTGTAGCGATTTTCAGCATTGGAGTAAATTATTGTTGAGATTCGCCCCTCTGGGGTCTGTTGCGTTTGGTGGAGCGAGTGGAGTGGACCGATCGGATGGAGCTGCTATCCTGCGTGTCTCTAGCGTAAACTTTTTTGCTACGTCCGACGAGGCGATTTAAAGTCTGCATCACCCCGGAGGTGCAGGATGAGCCAGTTCCGGCTGGCCGGGAAGAACCCGGCGTACCAGACAAGAGGCTCACTGACCGATCACTGAGAGACAAGGAATGTGAGCGCTTAGATTTGACTGTTTGCCAACTAATTGATTGGGTGGATATCTCTGAGGAAGACTGCATTCCGGTGTCTTCTTCATCGGTGAGAATATTGAAAGTAGGTGTGGGGGCGGCGGAAGAGGTACCCATAGAGAAGAATTGGCTAGGAACTTCGTTAGTGGGAATATCATCCTCCTGGTAGATCTGGGGGGGGGAGGGGACTGCGGTGTAGGGGGTCTACTAACGGGTTCTATAACTTCTACCATTAGTTCTATTTACAACAGGAGTTACCACGCGAATAGGACTTCGGCAAGGCTGTGCTTCGGTCACTTACTGGTTCGTGGTGCAGGGTCCTCCTTTAGATCGGAATGTAAGAACACAACGGTAAAATAGACTAGACGTAAATGGAAGGAATAAATATGGGGATCTATTTAGCTAAATGGTGCGAGCTAGGACTATATTCCTTTGGGAATGACTGGGGTAGTTGCAAGGAGTTCGCATATTGTGATGTCCGATGAGGTGAGGAGTCGTGACAATGAAGTCCACCCCTCTGGAGTCGTTGTATGCCAATAGTCGCTGATCAGGCCTCCGCTGTACCTTTATAATGCCGTTTCACGAGGGTGGGCCGATGACGGATGCTCAATGAGACGATCGGTGATCGGGAAAGCGCTGCGGGGCAAGTACAATGTCTAAATAAGAGCGATTGATGGTGCAAAGGTGGCGAATGATCAGGATCGGCATTCCCTGTTGATTGTATCTCGTTGCATGGGCTATTGACAGCGGTAGTCAGTACCTGTCGTTGATGCGGTATTATCCGGACAATCTGGATGGATACAATGTGTGATGCAAAAGATTTAGGTGGAAAGACTCTGGTTCAGGCACCAGACCGTTTATTCTTTTATTCTGGGGGCGGTGCTCTTCCCCGTGATCTAATATTAACTTTGCAAGAACAACCAACTGATTCTCATTTACTACACCACAGCGGGAGGCGATGCGTCGGTCTCGCTCACCGTAGCGGGCACAGTCTTGAGCCTCGTGGCCATCGACCTGGCAGAGGGTGCAGTGCTGGCGAAGACGGGTGGGGCAGTCAATGACGGTATGACCAGGGGTTCGGCAGAACGAACAGGGAGGGTTGCCGTCGGAAAGGAGGTGCAGCTCACGGTGATCCCAAGACGGAACAGTGATGGTCTGCGGGAGGGGAAGTTTATTTTCTTCCACGGACAGGTAAATATGAGCGCCTGGCTGGAACCATGAGAGCTCTCCCATTTTGACCGTTGGGAGGGTAATTTTGGCCACAGTGCCATATGCAGAGAATGTGTGGTTCAGCACAAAAGAGAGGCGATCCTGCCAGTCATCTTCAGCTGGAATGTCGATATTGGGCACGAACACCCGGTGAATAAGGATGTTAGAGGGGGCAGCAGCATACGCGGGGAACTGTGTACCCTCAAATGTGATAGGATGCTGGAGGGCCTGTTCCACATCGCGGTTGTTTTTGAAGCACACTGTCAGACACCGGCCCACCCCGGGGCCAGAGGAGTGCTTCACCACCAATAAGGTCCCGATCTGCCTCGCCACAAGAGTTGTGGCCTGGAATGGGGTCAGGACGGCTGGGAGATTGGTGTAGGTAACTGAGGGGCGAGATACTGCACTCTAGGGGACCTTGGCCTGGTGGGCGAAGCGACCCAGCTCAGAGTGGACGAAGATGGGGGTTGGAAAGAAGCTTGGTTTGGTACCCCGAAGACGTTCGGAGTGTTCCGTCCAAACCCCAAATTGGGACTGTACTGGGAGTGAACCTTCACATTTAGGCCACTTCCGTTTTTATTCATGAGACTATTAAGCTATCTAATACTCCAAGCCCCAGATCGGGGCTATAAAAACCCCTACCGGGAGCATAATAAACAACAACGCTCTTTTTTCTCCTTGACTCACACTCAGGTACATAAAACATCACACGGAGTACGTGGAGCCGTCACTGACTCCAGGAGGGGAGATAGAGGGTGGCCGCCCTGGAGGACGGCCGGAAGTATCGCGTAAGCTTTCACCATTTGACATGGTAGGAAGAAGGGGCGACCTGCCAGGTAAAAGTACTAACTGTAAATACGTTGCTCAATAAAAGTCTACTGGTCAACGAAGTCTCTAAATAATAATTGTCTTACCGTAAATGTATGTCGCGAATAAATGAGCGACGGCGAGAACCACAATCCGTATAACAAAGGACTACAGAAATAAATTGGAAGCAAAGACCTAGAGATAAGTTGCGGGACTACAGTAGAAACAAATAGGCTCCAGACGCAGAGAACATTTACAATGAGATCCTTCGAGGAAGAAGCGCTTGGTCCTTAGCAGAAGGAAAAGAAGGACAGTGTGCCTAGACGAGGACATCGAGGGGGTGCCGTTCTTGGTCCTCCGCACTCATTCGTTATAAGACCATGGCCGTTGCCTGGTCGAGGGACCTCCAGGCCATGCGAGGCGGACTCACTGTGGCATATGGCCTATTTTCCACACTGCCTCTGTGTGCGATAATTCCTGAAGGTATCTTAAGCCACCGAGCAATAAGTAATCTCTTGTTCTCATTGATTCTGGACACAGTCATATTTCTCACTCACAGGTGAAAGATATGACTGTGTCCAGAATCAATGAGGACAAGAGAGAGATCTTTAATTACAGCGACCGAGCAATTACTTATTGCTCGGTGGCTTAAGATAATTTCAGGAACTAGCAATACGCCACAGCAGGAACACTCGATTGTAGAAGTTCAGACGCACAGGTCGCGTCTCTACTCTTGCTGGGCGATGCGCTATGATGACCAGCTATGGCAGAGTATACCAACTTGGGGTACAGTGTAGTGCGACAATGGGTGCGTGGAGCGACTTAGGGAGTCGTACAGGGCAAGTGCTGTTCAGAAATATGGGAGGAAACAGACTAGGAACCATTTGGTCCCGTCTTTCCTTAGTATTTATTGACCTAGCAATTGACTATTCTATAACTGCACATGCTCCCTACTTGCACATCTCATAATTGGACGTGCAGCCTGCGCTTGATATGACTGTAGGGATGTCCTGTACCTATTCCGTTCATCGCGCCAAACGTAGCTGGGCCTTCCATCGCGGATACCCTGTCTGGGTCCCACGTGGATCTACCACACCACGCCGGGTTCATCCAGGCGTACAAGGACAGAAACTTCATAGAAAAGACGGGACTGCAATATGGTAATGGTAATGGGCGATACATGCACACTCCACAGCATCCGCTCTAAACCCTTACGGGTACCTTAGAACCCTACAACTGAACAAGGCCAGATGCTGCTTTTGTTGGTTGGTCGTCGTAGTAGAAGACCACAGTGCCGACAATTGAGTGCCACGCATACCCCATTGGAAGAACAGCACTCACCTGTGCACGCTGTCTTCTCAGCCATGACTCTAAACCCTTGCGGGTATCATCGCACATCCACATTGATCGCAGATTGTTTGCCATGACTCATGTCTGATTTCTCTGGCCGATGGGTCAGAAGCGAAGAGAGGCACACAGGTGAGGCAAATGAACATGAATAGATAGGTTATGGTAATGGGCGATACATGCACACTCCACAGCATCCGCTCTAAACCCTTACGGGTACCTTAGAACCCTACAACTGAACAAGGCCAGATGCTGCTTTTGTTGGTTGGTCGTCGTAGTAGAAGACCACAGTGCCGACAATTGAGTGCCACGCATACCCCATTGGAAGAACAGCACTCACCTGTGCACGCTGTCTTCTCAGCCATGACTCTAAACCCTTGCGGGTATCATCGCACATCCACATTGATCGCAGATTGTTTGCCATGACTCATGTCTGATTTCTCTGGCCGATGGGTCAGAAGCGAAGAGAGGCACACAGGTGAGGCAAATGAACATGAATAGATAGGTTATGGTAATGGGCGATACATGCACACTCCACAGCATCCGCTCTAAACCCTTACGGGTACCTTAGAACCCTACAACTGAACAAGGCCAGATGCTGCTTTTGTTGGTTGGTCGTCGTAGTAGAAGACCACAGTGCCGACAATTGAGTGCCACGCATACCCCATTGGAAGAACAGCACTCACCTGTGCACGCTGTCTTCTCAGCCATGACTCTAAACCCTTGCGGGTATCATCGCACATCCACATTGATCGCAGATTGTTTGCCATGACTCATGTCTGATTTCTCTGGCCGATGGGTCAGAAGCGAAGAGAGGCACACAGGTGAGGCAAATGAACATGAATAGATAGGTTATGGTAATGGGCGATACATGCACACTCCACAGCATCCGCTCTAAACCCTTACGGGTACCTTAGAACCCTACAACTGAACAAGGCCAGATGCTGCTTTTGTTGGTTGGTCGTCGTAGTAGAAGACCACAGTGCCGACAATTGAGTGCCACGCATACCCCATTGGAAGAACAGCACTCACCTGTGCACGCTGTCTTCTCAGCCATGACTCTAAACCCTTGCGGGTATCATCGCACATCCACATTGATCGCAGATTGTTTGCCATGACTCATGTCTGATTTCTCTGGCCGATGGGTCAGAAGCGAAGAGAGGCACACAGGTAGTGCGAAGGAACAACGAGGCTTGAGGGTCGCTTGAGGGTCGCTTGACTTGATGAATGTTGATTGTCACAAGTTTTTTTTTTTTTGAGAATGAATGTGAATGAATCAATGAATGAATGATAGAACTTGCCTGGATGATGCTCGTCTCGAAGAACGATGCGGTGGCGAAGGTCCAGAACCGATACGGTGGACTTGATGGGCGAAAAAGGGCGGGAGAAAGAGATCGATGATATATGAAGGATAACAGATCAAGATCAGTCCGTGTTTATCTTCGGTCGATGGTTCGATGGTTCGATAGCTTAGTTATCGATGTGGATGGTGCGAGGGGAGAAGGGGCTACTCATGAGACGGAGACCATGGCAAAAAGTGGAGTAATGGCGGCACCGGCGGCACCGGCGGCGGCGTAGGCTGAGTCGGCGGTGGGGTCGGTGGAAGTGGAGGTGGAGGTGGAGGCGGTGTCGGCGTAGCGGGCGAGGGCCATGACTCTGGCGCGAAGGGGGAGGCCGAAGGCGGTCATAATGGTCATGGGCATGGAGAAGGTCTTGATCGAAGGGAGCATGTTGGAGAAGGACGACCTCCAGATTGCGGGCGACGCGGCGAAGGACATAGTTTAAGGTGATGAGCCAAGAGTGATGGTTTTTTATTCTCGAAAGACTGCTAACGTCGACGACATGGACGCGTCAAACCTTATTCACAGTTCACATCCTGCTTCGCAATCAACATCTATAATGTCAAACACTCAGCTCTCGTGGAAGGCCCTCGGGGACATGAGGGTAGGGATCTTTTTCAAGGTCACTCCCTGTCATAGCTGGAATGACGCGTTGACATTCTTTAAGGTCTCGTCGAAGCAGGAGACGGTTGAGGCGTACTTTGGGACATACAGAAATGGACTGATAACTATCGCAGAAGACGTGCAGGCACCAGAGGGGGTCAGGGAGCGGGCTAAAAGCCTCCTGTCGACCACGAATGTCGAGCTATTCCGCCGTAAATACGAGGCATGGCGGCTCCAGTCGGAGAAGGATGAAGCCAAGCAAAGTCTCGCAGAAGGCTATGCCTCGCTCGCCAAGGGGGCCGGGAGCATGTTAAAAGGTAATCTTCCTTGCAGCACAAGCGTGTTTTGATGTGTGAGTGGTCAATGGTAAACCCCCTGTACTCACGCTACAATATGGTATATAGATGGTGAATCATCATCATCGTCATCACCACCATCATTATTATCATCATCACCAAGTTTCAAGAAGCGGAAGCGAACGACCACGGACGGAGGCTCGACGTCGACGACGATCACGACCAGTACAGAGCCCGATCTGAGCAGCCGAAAAGAGGTATGCGCGCCGAGTCAACAATCCAGGGTATCCTAAGGAAACTACATAGTATGAATACATAGTTCCTGGAGATAGAGACTAACAGGTGCTCTGTGTTTACTCCTACGATAGCGCTTTGCCGCGATGGATCAGTCACAATTCTGGGAGCTCAGAAGCGGCAGAACTGTTGAAGAGATCCTCTACAATGCAAGCCTGAAGCGGGAGGCCAATTTCAAGTATGTCTTCTACTCTATAACACGCATTTCTGTATTTTGTGCGGTGTATTAACAGCGTACACTGTCTTCACGCATTTTACACGTGTTATAGAATGCGGTCATATACGATTGACTTTGGCTGTGAGAGGACGAAGGCGCTCTTTACCAAGGATGAGTGGAAGGAGATGAAGGAGCTGGATGACTTCCAACTCCCCAAATTACCAGAGTCGACCGAGAGGTATCTGCGTGACGTCAGGAAAGCTCTTGTCAAAGGACAGCATGTCGCGTCGGTGCCTGTCCCGGAAGAAGACCGTTATTCGTGCGAGCTGGTGCTGAGGTCTTTTCTGTCATGGCAAGTCAATTGTTCTCCCTATTGTCCCGTACAAGGCTGAGCATCTTTATATGTAAAAGCAGGCTAACTAACAGAGTACTCTACGGATTTAGGACGCAGCTGTACATCACAAAGCCGTGTCCATTTGGCAACAAAGATCTGTCAGAGTCGTTCTGGTGCAGGGAGGCGTGGCCGATCATGAAGGGCTTGTTGTCGGATGTGGACGGGCTGACAATGATTGATGGAGAAAAGGCGGGTCTGGAGTCAGGGAAGAGGAGGAACATGGGGCGCAAGGTCGACATGGAGGCCCCCACACCGCGCAAACAGAGTGGACGGAAGCTGGATCTGGTAGCCAGAGACACAACTAACAAGCGCGACTGGTTTGTGGTAGAGAGTCTCAAAGAGTGGGATGAGGTGTCGACCAAGTTCTTGCGCGAACTTGATGTGACGCTGTTCAAAGACCTCCACCTCATCGCATTCCACCGGCTACAGGAACAGCCCAGTTCCTTATTCTGCAGCCAGGCGCGTTTCTTTGCAATATACTCTGGAAGTAAGCCAATTCAACACCATTGGCCTGTTTAAAAGGTTGTAGCTACAGTCTGCTAACACAATTCATACACTTTCTTTAGGCCGAGGTTTCAAGACGATGGAGATGAGGGCGTGCCCCTCCAGTGCCTACATCATGCTATTGCACTTGTACGACTCGCACCTGCTACCCTCCACTACCGCAACATGGAAGCTTCAGGCCCAGGGACTCGCCCACCTATTGCAAGTCAGGGTAAGATGAATCAATAGGTAGTTTCTTGTCTTGTATCTATACATTGTTGTTACACAGTGATTTAATGACGTGGTTTCGGTGTTCACTTTTGCCTTTGCTATAGGGCTGTATCATGAGGACGGTGGAGATGTATGAGGCGTATTCGAGAGAGGAGAGTGAGGACGACAAGGAGGATGAGGGCCATGATAGCGATGGTGAGTGGCTGTACTCTTCATCAGCAAACCATGTTTTCGATGAGACTCTCGGTAGCTCTCCCATGGGTCCTGCGTCATTAGTCTTTTACTCTTAATAAAGGGTCGAAACACTTTCGTGTGAACAACCGAATCGTAATAATTCTCTGCTCTAAAAAAAACCGCCTCATTTTTAATCAAATTGCCAACACCCACCACAGCTCACACAAATGTAAATGTTAGTAGTCTTCCAGTGTAATTGTTCCTCCTTCAGTAGGTTTTTGTCACGAATTAAGGTTCGGGATAGACTTGCACTCCTCCCAGTGGCCTGTGCTTACCTCGCACTGCCACTTGTACCTGAATCACATCGCGTCCTCGAGTCCTGAACCATAGGCGACTACAGTCGTCATCCAGTAACCTCTCGACTATCAAGCACGACTCTGTCTACGGTTTCTAGAAGGACGCAACGGTGGATAGCGTTGCTCCTTAAATTCCGGCGTCCGCATGAAAGTCATGAGTGCTCTCTTGTCTGACCAAATAACCTTTTACGATGCGTTCATCTACACACGCATCCCTATAGTATAAACTCTGTACTACACGCGTGTTTCTAGTCTTGCTCCGAGTCCCAGTCCCCATAGAACATATAAATAGTCCCATATATCATAACCATAGCTCTTCAGTCTGCAATACAATATCTTCTTGTCCAGTACTCTTGCTCACTCTTTATTCCCACGCTTTAAACATATCTGATCTATCTCTGTCTGTCCAGACCTTGACAGAGTGATGGTGTGGTCCTGTATGTCGTGTATGGACCTGGATATGTTGCCAAGATCGATGAGGCTCTGGACTCGCAGCTTTACATCGAAATCCTCTTTGAAGATCTACAGGTGTTTGATGAGGAGTGAGGCATGGCCAAAGACGAGTTCATCTTCCAATATGACAACGATCCTAAACATACAGTAAATGTCACAAAAGCGTTTTTGGAGTCGTCAAACATGACTAAGATGGAAGGGAGGCTTCCTTACTGGCCTGCACAGTCGTCAGACCTCAACCTTATCGAGCACATGCGGGCTTACCTCAAGGTTCAGCTTGGCAAGTACCCAGCACCCCCCACGAGCTGCAATTAACTATGGGAGCGAATTTCAGTGGAATGATACAGGATCCCAGTTGAATACTACCACCAACTCATCAGGAGCATGCCTAGACGGCTCCAGGCAGTCCATGGAGCTGGAGCAGTTGCACTTCCAATCTTTGGTACACTATCAACATTTTCATCGGTCGCCACGCCTGCCATTTCTACCTCTGCGTCCTTCGCTTGTTGACAGGATCGATAAGCGAGTTAGTTTTGCGCTGGAAGCATTCGCGGATCACGCGCGTAGCGGCCACGACAGCTTCATCTACGGCGGCTGTGGCAGCCAGGGGTGTGAAATCGAGTCCGGTGGACCAGGCCTAGGCCCTTTTCCCATTCTTAGTTTCCTTGCATGATTATTCTTTTTGTGAGGATTGACGTGGATGCTGTGGCCGTTATCTTTCACAATAGTCGCCATTATTTTTCACAATAGCGTCCGCCTTAGTGTTGCTTTCATGGTGCGTCCAGCTTCTTTATGGTGTTCAAGGACGGAAATGAGAAAACAGCGGGCGGGAGAGACTATTAGCGAGAGATTGAGGAGCTCAAGAAAATGGCGCGGTCGGAATATTTCCTCCCTCTCTCCGTGTAAAGCTCAAGTGGTAGCAACGTGCCAGCAGCGCATCGAGAAACAACCCACGCCTGGCGTTTCTTATGCTTGGTCTTTTCTCACCTCTTGCATATCTGCCTTTTCACAATCAAATAAAGCGCGTTGACCTAAATCTTCATATTAGTCGCGATTTGTCACAAAGGCAGCACGCATCGAAATGTACTTCAATCCCAAGCTGTGCGAATCAACCCCCGCAATAATACGCTCGCAGTGAACTGTTAGGATTGGAATCTCGCAAAGCCAGATTCAAGCACGCCACTTACAGCCCTTCACAAACAGCTTTGAACATTGTCTTGTCATTATATTTCTTCTCTAGCCTTTATTGTCATAATGTACACGCGCAGAAAAAATTACAAAGCAAAAGGTGCATTCCCGCTTTCTTCCTTTCTATTACTGCTGAAGTGTTGTAGTCTTGACTTCCTTGATCAGATTGCGGAGTCTTGCCAATCTATCGCCTGTTGATCCGGCGGCGGTTGTTGACGATAGCGCGGGCGAGGATGATGTTCCTCGACTTAAAATTGTTGTGAATGGTGTGGACACCAATGGTTGGGATGCAATAGATGAGCGAGGCAACAAACTTGGCGTCTGAGAAGTGGCAGATACAGTGGCAGTGGTCCCGAGAGCCCCAGGAAGAGTGCCATTCCACGAAAATGACGATCCTACTCCTGTACCAAACATAAACTGAGCTGCATTCCCATTCGTGATGGCTGGGAACGACTCGTGCGTCGCCAGATGGGCCTTGACAGTACCAGTGACAGGAGGAGCACTGGAAGTAGTCGAGGTAGCGTCCCTGGGCGAAGGTGCCTGTGCCAAATATAAAAGGTCGTCGCTCTCGACCAAATCATTCCTTACAGCGCGCTCGACCTTGGACTTTTTCATGGCAATCCTATATACATTGACCATGAACATTAGAGCAGTTTTTGATTAGATTTGCGTGTCGATATGTGATCATGGCATGAAAGCACATTGTAAGCTTGTCACAATCTCTTTTTACCTGGGCCTCTCTGGCGCACGTCTCTTGCGGCCATCTCCAATCACTATGGGTCCGTTTAGTCCCGCTCTTGTGTGGAGGTTATCGCCTACGCTTGAGGACCCTTGTGGGACGGCTGAAGCGCGCAGCTCACGTTCATACACAAGGTTTTCCACCATCTTTTCCCAAGGAAGGGCCATCTCTCGGATGGCAAGGTCGTATTGATAAGCGTTGCCCGGTACATCCACCTCATCATGGATCAGCATGGGCGTAAACACCTGTTCCTGTTGCTCCATGGTTGAAGTGAGCTGTGCCGATGAGGGGTCCTGAACATCGCTCTCTTGGTCGCATTGGTCCTGATGCTGGCGTTGATAATGCCCTTGTTGCAGTCTGAGGTCATGTCGTTGCTGCTCCCATTTGCGAATCCGGATACTGAATCGTTCGGTGTCCAAGATGCCAGCTTCGACCCACTCGAGAATTTGACGTGTAATGATCAGGAACACCTTCTCCAGCGGCACAAGATCTAAGAGGTATAATCCATAGAGGCCAACGTATTCAGTGATGACTTCAAGGATCAAAGTAACTGTGTTTCGATAAACACAGAAAGTACAAGCGGGTCCTTACCATCCTTCGAAGACGTCAACATTTCCCAGATCTCTTTGCGCATTGCAACCTTAGCCTGCAGATTGCTACGCTCCTTGGCCACACCACCAAGCGAAGCAACATAAACATCGATGAAATCGCAGATTGCGCTAAACAATCAAATGAGATGCGGGATACAAGGGTCGTTAGTAGCAGTACCGGACCATTAAATGCCCAAACAATAGTACGGTCGAGATGTTACCTCTTCGGATCCATTCCATAGTTGATGCGCTCTTGAATCGCACCGATCTTCATGGCTGGCAACTCTGCTTGTCGGATAAACCGTGCCATGGCGTCCTTGACTTTGCCCTCTTGCTCCGCCCCTTCCCGCGTCTCACCCTGTCCCTTGGTCTCAATCGTCTCTGCGATGCTGTCCAGTTCCATGTTGAACATTTTGATAGCCAAGCTGAATCCTGATTCAAATATCTCCACAAACATACCTCTTGCTTGCTGTCTTTGTGGCTCAGTTGATCCCCTTACATCCTCCGTAAGCCCATTCTCCCGACGCTGCTTGTCCTGCTTGCTTTTCAGTCTCCACAAATGCGCCGCTTCCTCGTCATCCTCGTCAAGCTGCGAGTACAATGGTGCATCCACCAGAGTCATCCTGGAAAGCATCCATTCATAGTTGGTTCGATACATCTCCAACAGGCGTTTCAATACCACAGATGGATCCTCAATGAATTCCCTTGTCTCAGAGGCCAGCCATTCTAGCGAACCGACAATATATGGGTCCAGTTTCATGTTCGCCATATTCAAGTTCAAAAACCGGTATCCAAGAAGTGGACCTTGGGGTGACTCAACCATCTGATCCAGCTGAAGATATTCGACCATGCGTGGAGAAATGCGCTCCCAGATTTCTGACGCATCTGTCCACACTATGAATACAATCGGCTGCTTAACTTTGGGGAAGCACGCGAGGAATCGCACCAGACGATCGTGTTCTCTATCCCAGTATCGGCGACTATTTGATCGGACACAGACAGGAGATGTTAGTACAGTTGATATCCTGACATTCTGGTTACCAAGTGTCCGAATATTCATTTCCGACACTTACATGGCATCATTTGTCGCTGCATGGTCGGCCAACGTGATTTTTGAGAACTCGAATATAAACGCCCCGGCCTCCATAATTGAATACTTTGACATGCCCAAAAGGCTCTCCACAGATTGGTCCTCGCTGCCATGCACAACTACGTCGACTGCGTTCTCTTCTGTCGAAAGACTCTGATGTACGGCGACCATGATTCCGGACCGCTGTTGTGCCCGGGTGTGCCGTCCCATGTCGATACCCAATTTCGTCAACAGCCATTTCGAGCTTTTGCCCTTGAAGCTCGGCGTATTGACAAACAGCCTCCAGCGTCGCTTCATCAAGGCGGGTCCTTGTGTGGAGGTATCGAGTTGCTGTTTCTGCTGTTGACGTCCTGAAGACTGGTAGCAACTGTCCACGATCTTCCAAACTGGGAGCGGGGCCCACAACTCCCGCTTCGGCGCCATGACTTTCTTAAGTCCAGCGACCAGTGCCAGATCAGGACTTCCTTCCTGACCAATGCTCAGTAGTCTCTTGCGCTTGTTAGATACGGCCGCGATCATGGCCTTGATGCTCCCGTCCGCACTCCCTTCATCTTTCTGCAGGGGATACTGCTGTAGCTGCTGCAGTGCATTGTATTCACTGATCTTGGCAGCCATTGGGTTCGAATCCACCAGCCCTGCTCGACTCCCCATGGCGCGTACGTTCATCAGGAAATGCTCTTGTCTCCTCCGGAGCTCCTCTGCCCGCTGACGGCGCTTGGCGGTGAAGTCTTTCCATTGTGTAATAACTCGTCTTCCCAATGTACGCTCCCGACGAAGGTCTGCCAAAACCTCCTTAGCCACGTCTTTCGTGAGCTGCCAGGCAACATCAGACAAGATCGACGCCAACTCTTGCTGAATGACCTCCTGACGCTGCTTTGCCCGACGAATCGAGCGCTCCACTGCCACTTCCTGAGACATCTGTGCCGCGGTCGCTCGAATAAGACGGTCCGTCTCTCTCTCCAGAAACTCCAGCATGACGGATTCCACCAGCTGCCGTGGGTAGATCCTTCCTCTCTTGGTCACAATCTTCATGGAGTCTGACTTAGGTGCCACTGGCGTCGTCGCTGGTAGTGGTAATGATGGTGGCCTGTTGAAGAGTGCACCCACAGCTGCAGGAGTAGCAAGCGCGCCTGCGGCAGCAAGAGGCACCGTAGGCATGATGAACGTATTGGATGTCGATTGTGAGGAAGATGGCGCGGCACTTGTATAACTTGCCGCGGGTGCCTGATTCGTTCCTGTAAATGCGAATGGACTTGCAGTGGCATTCTCGGCCGTACCGACATTGTAATTGAAGCCGCTAGTAGGAATAACTGTTGGTGCTGTGAAAGAAAATTCTGGTTGCTGCGATGCTGGTTTGAAAGAAGGTGCTGCAGAGTTTAGCGTGAGAGGAGCCAAGCCAGTACTCGATGGCGGTTTGCTGATAGAGATGCCTCCCAAAGATGCGAATGCTGTTGATGGTCCCGATGCTGACGACGGAACAGTAGGCAGTTGTGTTGAGATCTGTCGTATCGATGATGTAGGTGCTTGGAATGATGAATTTGTATCCAGACCGCTCCTTCCGGTACTGAGAGAAAAATTGGGCCCTGTAGACGCCGGTGATGTCCCTACTACAGCTATCGAGGGACTACTCACGCCGAAATTGAACACGGTGGTCGGTTTTGGAGTCGCAGCTGATGCTACTGGTTTTGCTACAACGCTTGCAAATGTCGGCGCTCCTGCTGCTGCTGCGGGAAAGCCGAGTCGTGAGGTCGCGATTGAGGAAACTAATCCCTGAGATGGTCGGCTGTACGTCGAAGGAGCCACTGATGGCGGACGTCCCATAGCTCCAGGAATGTGTTCCTGATGAGGTCCCGGTGTTTCGCCATAAACAATTTGAATTGTCGTATAATTCCGGCGCTTGGCTTCCACAATCCTCTCGTTCCTGTGCTGTTTTATCGAAATCGTACCCTCTATAGCGTTGGAATTATAACATATTATAAGATACCTTTCCCAGTCAAGCGAAAAAATAATAATATAGGCACACGGTATTAAGCACAAGCGCTCACCCTTGAAAATGCGACGACGGGTAGTTGGGTCTTTCCTGCCAAAGACGACTGCAGGCTGACCGTATCTCGTAATTGCTAGGCCGTACTCCTCACAGTTAGCTATACATTCTTCCATGTCGTCGAATCCTAAGATATTGACAAGGTACTCCACAGAAAATCCATCGTGCTGTTCCAGGTAGCATTTGTTGAGAGCCTTCAGTGCGCCCTTGCGAATCTCGACAAAGTTGGTCTCCAGCAAACAGGCCATCAGGTACGATATCCTGGGCCCCTGGACCATATTGAAAAACAGGGAGAAAAAGTTCTGCGATGCTTCGGACTGTATTTTTGCACGGCGTCTAACATCGTTGTTGCGTCGCGTCAGGGCATGAACTTCTGCGGCTGTTTGTATGTAGGAATCCCTGAAAACGTGCAGTGGGAGCAATTGCGCCTGTCGAATCATATCCGGGTCCCTCAAATGGCTTAAAATGTGATACGCTCGAAATTCGGCTTCATTAGGACAAACAATGCCTTCCGTGCACATGTCGTCGTAAAACTCTGTCAAGCTTGTCAGGACTAAGATAGCAAAAGTTTAAGTTAATTGGTTAGAGTCGTATTGGTCGACGGGAGCGACGAGACTACCAAACAAAGCTGGTTGAACGGCCCATACCTTTCCGCAGCTGTTCCATCTCCTGTTGTTCGCTGAAGTTCTTGTTTTCACAAAGCTGGTGCATGCACATGATATGATAGCGAGCAATGATCTCATGAGCTTGCACCGCTTCAATGCCACGGTTGTTTTGCAGTGTAAAATCTTGTCGAATTGAGCGCGTTCTGTCGCGAACAAATGCATGCGAGTCGGCAAGGTCGCCTCGGGCAACAATTTCCCTCATAAGGTAGTCTAGCGTTGACTGCATAAAAGGATATAGGAAAATAGAAGTTAGGAGAACGCTTCCAAGCACCGCTAATCCTAACAGTACAACTTACTAGTAGCACATCAGGAGGCCGAACGTCGGAGGGCAAAGGTTGTTCAACTCCTGCGGCCGGTCTTGCGTACGCCTTGACTGCTCGCGAATGGTCAATCGATTCTGTTCCTGGGATCTGCAGTGTAAATGTCGTTGATCGTTAACAGTGGCCCCTCTCTTCTGACATCAGACCACCACAACGAATGCTGACTATTTCGTACCTTTTCAAACTTTTCGACATTCTGCTGATATTCGCGCTCATGGCGCTCAAATTCTGGGCACATGTCCCTGCAGGTACCGACGAAAGTGATCGCATCCTCCAGTCGACGAGGCTTGTCGGGATCTGGGATGGCGCCTCTCCTGATGGCATCTTCTCGCTCCTTGACTCGCTTTTCTTTAAACTGGTATATCAATCCATGAATCATGTGGGGCAGTTTGGTGTGTTGACAATGACCGCATATAGCAAAGCGAGTTCGGGTATTTGCAGCGTAGAATATCGGGTAAACAACCAATGTTGGTGGTTGAGGGCGTTCAGCGAGTCGACGATGAATTCAGCGCCAGTGCAAGTAGAGAAAGAACGATTGTTGTTGTCAGCGATCCGCACCCGTTAAGTTATATGCTCCGAGTGGCGAGTCCAGAAACAAACGAAATGAAAAGGTGGGCGTTGAATATCATCCCGAACATGAGAAGCGTCCCAATCGACAATCGACCATGAGTGAAACGGTATCGGTCGATAACATCGCATCCGGTTCAGCCATGCCAAAATGGGACATTTTAAAAAGGAATCAATAAAGGAGAAGAAAAAAAAACTCAAAACGATCATCGAGTAATCTCCAAGGTAACCAGACAACATCAGGAAACAAAAGTCAGACAACAGTAGGCAAAAAATAAAAATAAAAAAAATAAAAGATAAAGCGTATTTACGAACCTCCTCAAACCGATTTCCGATCGGCACGGCAGTAAATCGAGCTAGTCGGCTTTCGTCCGCATCCTCGGTGCTTCCCGGCTCCTGCTTCGATGATGCTGGACCCTTTGTAAACGAATTGGAAGGCAGCGACTTTTGCTGTGCAGCGAAAACCGGTCCTTGAGAAGCTGGAATTGCAAATACAGAGTCTTGGTTGCCGCTATTCGAATTGCCACCAGGTCCTCCGAGTCCGAATGCTGATGACGATCTCTGATTGGAAGTGTCACTTGGAGCAGCAATAAAGGCGGACCTATGCGGTACTGTCGAGGTTCCCCCTACAAATGTATTTTGAAAAGATCCGTTTGGCTGGTATCCTGTTGTTCCGACCTGTGAGAACCATTGACCCTGTGATGATTGGCCACCAGGAAAGGCCGGCCCAGTCTGGTTAAAATCCGAGTTCTCGTTCTGTCTTTGAGCGCCAAATGCGGACATCGACGAAGAATGCTGCTGTTGTTGTCCGCGCACTTGGCTACTAGCATTGGGTCCGGATTTAAATCCTCCTGCCGTGGTGACACCCATGCTCGAGTCTACCGACATGGTAGAATCTGCTTCTTGGGAAGTATTCTGATCAGCACGCCACTGTAGCGACCGATATTGTCCGGGCATACCTCCAGTAACCCCACGGCCTCGAGCTCCCCCTCGGCCACCCCGTGATTGATATCCTCCACGTCCACGTCCTGTTTTAGCTCCTGCGGATGGTGATGTGAATGAAGATCCTGTAGCATTTGTATTCCCTGATCCTGCAGAGAGCCCATGCTGTTGGAGCTGCTGATGACCTGTCGACAACCCAGGAGCCACATACGTCTTGTTGGCGCTCCCTCGATGACTTGTGGAGGCACCACGACCACTGTTACCACCAAATCCACTGCCGCGATAGCTGTTACTGCCACGACCGCCTCCACTTCCCCGTGTCGAGTGTGTATTAGCCATCAAGTTTCCGGATCTATCAAACGTAGCGGCCTGGTTATAACTGCTGTTGTTCTGCCTATTTTCGTTCGCGCTATATCTACCACCGTCACTGAATCCGCCACCGTTTTGATTGCTACCGAACGCAGATGTGATTCTGAATGCGCTGTTGCCGCTGACTCCGCTTGGATTACTGCTATTAGTGTTGACATGGTTGGTAGTAGCGGTGAATGCGCTTCCACTGCTGCCTTGGCTCCCGAATGCGCTCTGAAAAGGATTTGTGTTCATGTCGATAAGATTAGTTTCCAAACGTCACCGCTGAACGGGTTTAATGCCGAGGAATATCCTTCTACGGCGTCGTGCAGGTCGTCCCTAGTGGGGGATCAGACGCTAGAACAGATCGTGGTTAGCATCAGGAAAAAGTTGGCATTCACCATTCAAGGGTGTGAATCTGATGGGATTCTCTGCAGAATGCCCCGCTCACCTTGGAGAGGGTCGAATACTCTTTGAAGAGAGTTTGCAAGAGACACGACTTGTGAAAAGAAGGGAACGCGCGAATCAACTTCCTGTTTTTGAAGGGAAAGTCATCAACAGTAAGAAGCAGGAGGAATGATGAGGAATGATGAGGAAAGACAAGGGATGAAAGATAAGTGAATCGATGATAGCTGCCGCGTTGAAGAGTGTAATGTACAAATACAAAGGCCAGAATGTGTTCACAACGGCGAAACAAAAGAGAGAAGGGACGAGAAGATGATGCACCACGAATCGCGCGAAGCATCCAAAGGCCGCGCACATTTTTGCTCGAGTGGCTTAGGCCATGCCTTTCCACGCGCCGCGACACGACGCGACAAAAAAAAAAGGTTTGCCGGCTATGCATGTACCACGTAAATTCCTGGGGCCCCCCCGACACAACTTGTGTTTTGATCGTGGTCATGGATATACTGGCGCTCAATGAGTTTCCCCCATACACCTCTCCCTGCGTTCAACACGTTGAGTAAAAGCACTTGCTGCACTTGTCCTTTCGTGCTCAGGAGCCTCTATCTAAGCACTTGGCATTTAGCGCGCATGCAAATCTGCCAATCTACCATATTTAAGCGCGAGGACTTTATAGAAGAGAATCTCCGATGAACATCGAAGAATTTCATCGAACCGCTCTACCTAAATTTATAAATATTGTGCTTAACTGAGCAGCTATAAAAGGCACCTCGTCCCTTCAAGGAAGACCCTCCTGTTCTCATGCTTTCAGGTCAGTGCCACGTTGATATCATGAAAAGATGCCAAGTTTATCTTTTCTGTAGTTTCACTGTCAATACTTGCCAGATCAGCATAGACTTTGGTATAGTTGTAGCCATTGGCACCACGAATAGTATCATCAACTACTGTAAGAAATCGGAACAGTTTCGGAACTTGATGTTGGAACTGCTGCTTACCCTCCACTTTACAGCGAAGGATCCTTCGAGTTTTAGTATTCTACAAAATAACTTCCTTTAACTCTTTGAAGATGTACAGCTGGAAAAAAGAGTGATCAGAAGGTTTGCGCTGTTTATCATTCCCATTCCCGCCTCCATCCCCAACTCAGCAACCCACAACGAGGTTTATGCTAGACATACGTCTATTTCGCAACACAATTCGTCGCAAGCTGCATTGAAAATAAAGCGTGGTTCCAATTGAACACGTTTATACGATCACTTTCTCATTGTTTCGGTGTGATCTCGGTTATAGATAGTTACATGCTTTCAATTGCTATCAAATCCTGCCAGCGTGTTCTATTGCAGTTCAACATTCTCTAAAAGTTTGTTGTCCTTACTCTACTTGTTCACCATCATATGTACGTGATCTCACGCAGTATTACTATAAAATAGGACACTCTCGATATGCTGTAGGTAAACCTACTGATCACTTTTTTCCAATACAGTAACTCTCTGATGGCGATCGAAGACGTTTTTTTTTTTTTTTTGTGGAAACTGGATAACCTGTGATATTCCTCTCAACGGGGTTACAAGTTCTTGCGTATTGTGATCCTGAAATTGCTAGAAGAGGGCCCTCACTGCCGGAGCGACGCTTCATTTGGATCGTACTAGAACAGAGAAGGATAATTTTACCGTCTATTCCACTCAACTAGTCTCCACAGAGGAACCCACTCTGTATAGAAACCGATGTCTCTGGGGTCAGTGATGTTATTTTGCACAGAGTTAATTGTGCGTACATAAACATGTTCATGGGTGGCGTTTTACTTCCTTTCACCAGGAAACAGTGAAATCCAGGCAATCTGGGGGTTAATGTAGACTGCGGCAACTATCACCCAGCAATGGCTCTGGTAGTCTAATTATGGTCGACTGTGTCCAATCAGGTGAGAATTTTGACCGAGATAGGATTTTGTCTCATTTAGACTATCTCCATGAAGTCCATTTGGAGGGTTCACGATAATCGGACTTTGGAGCCAGCAGTGGAGCTGTTGGAGTTCTGAGAAAGTTCATCTCTGTCAGCGCTATAAAAGGCAACGGATGCCTATGTTGCCTATGTTACACCCATCACTGCATTGTAGAACATACATCCCAATGGAGGACTCAATACCGCCTCATCTCTCGATGCCTGACACAAGTCCTTCTCCAACAACTGCGACACCAATCCCTCCTACCATCCCCATCCCACCTTTGCTTGGCCCCGCGGACGAGGTTGCGACCTTATCTAATTACCCTCGAGACACAGATGAAAAGCAAGATGTGGTCGGGAGAGGGAGTCAAGCCGACACGGAGCGACAAGAAACCATCACCGAGCGATCCTCAGCACCTCCTCGTCTGACTCGTGTTCGACTTGCGTTGTTGTTCCTTGGGTAAATTGTCATGGCAAACGGTGTGTTTTATTTTCATTTTCAACCGACCCACATTTAGACTGACAAACGCCCCCTTCTCGATGCCGCTCCTTGTTCCTATCTACAACAGCATGTTCACCGGCGCTATGCTCGCCGCGCTTGACATCACCATCATTGCCACCGCGCTCCCCCATATTGCCTCGGACTTTTCTGCACAGACCCAAATGTCCTGGGTCGCAACCGCCTATCTCCTCGCCTACACCGCTTTTCAGCCCGTCTACGGCCGCTTTTCCGACATCTTTGGCCGCAAGTACATGTTTCTCTTTGCTTGCACGATCTTCCTCGTCGCGTCTATTGGCTGCGGTGCCGCTCCTTCCATGACAGCCCTCATCCTCTTCCGTGCGCTCCAGGGTCTCGGCGGCTCAGGACTTTTCTCGGTCGTCATCATCATGGTCTCGGATATGTTTGAGAACTTAGAAGAGCGCGCACGATATCAATCTCTCATCTGGCTAGCTTTCGCAGTCTCGGGTGTCGCTGGGCCGCTCTTGGGCGGCGCCTTCGTCGAGCATGTCACCTGGCGTTGGTGTTTCTACATCGGTATACCCTTGACCGTCTTACCTATGGTCCTTGTCGGCACCTTATTTAACGTTCCATTCGAAAAGACCCAGCTATCCGAAAAGATGCGAAGGGTCGATTACTTGGGCGTGCTTTTCATTGTTGCTGCTGTGCTCTGTCTACTGCTCCCGCTCAGCTGGGGTGGAACCACTTACGCCTGGAACTCTGCGCCAATCATCATCCTGTTCTGTCTGTTTGCAGTCCTCCTTGTTGTCGTGTACTTTATTGAACTCCGCGCAGGAAAGGATGCTGTGATCCCGCCAGCGCTGTTCTTGAATAGGAATGTGGCCCTCGCGGTTCTGATCAACGGCCTCATGGGCATGTGCTACATGGGCTGCACGTACTACATGCCGTTGTACTTCCAAGCTGTCCAGGGCACGTCAACAACGAATTCGGGTCTGCGTATGATGCCGAGTACTTTTGCAATTGTATTCAGCACCATAACCGCGTCCTTCCTTCTCAAGCGCGTGCGAGATTACCGGGTGTTCCTGTGGGTAGGAACTGCAATTATGACGCTCGGAGTCGGGCTGTTCATGTTACTAGACGCTGAGGCTGGACTGGGCAAGCAGCTGGGGTTTGTGTTGATCATGGGATTGGGACAAGGACTGATTTTCCAAAACTGTCTGCTGACGTGTCAGGAGTGTGCAGGAGATGAGTACATTGCGGTAGCCACTGCGCTGTGTGGATTTATCAACAGCGTTGGCAGTGCGGTTGGTGTGGCCATCTGCGGTTCTGCATTCAACAACGCCTTGGTGAAGAATGTGGCCAAGTTGAGTCCCGAGATCCAGGAGATTGTACGCGAGTATGGGGTGATCGAGAATATGGACGCGATATCCAAGCTGCCTGGGGACGAGATTAGACGACAGGTCGTGCAGACGTATGCGGATTCGTTTCGGTTCCTGTTCATGGTCCTGACGCCGATCATGGGGGCCTCGTTCATTATGTCGTTGTTCTTGAACAAGCGACGTCCTGCACCTGCTGCTACCGAGAAAGAGACATAGAACATATACCTAATATTCAACTACAAATCTAATAGACATCCATGTGGAGTACATAGAGATGTACTACGTATTGAAGCCTCTTTCAATGTGCTCTTTGCATTTTTATTGTACAGTTATTGTAATTGATCTTACTTTGCAAGAGATAGCCCTTGATTAGACACCAAATTCGACCTCGACAACCTTGCGGCCTGAGATGACCAGATTAGTTAATACACCCGCTGCAACAAGCGAAGGCATTGGCTTTGGCTGGCGGACGGTCCTCCGCAGATTCAGGAACAAATATGTCAAACACCACGCTGATCAAATATGAGAGAGATAGAGAATCGAGATTAGTCAGTTTGTCGCCATGGTACGTGCGTCAAATGAACAACAGCAATATGTGGAAACGCGTGTATACCTGTGGTGGTTCCCGAGCCGTTATCAGGGTCCTTTGCGTACTTCATATACCTATCATCGACCAAATGCATTCAGATCCTTTGGTCAGAGACGCGGGTAGTAGCGATCGGCGTGTCAATATTCAAGCTGTAGGGCGTCAATGAGGGAACATACCCCGAGCCAGCCCAGATAGCTGAGAAGCCCATCATAACACCAAAGTGGGGGAAGCCTGAGCCTGCTTTTGCGGCAATTGGGACAGATGCCGCGCCTGTGAGTAGGACCCATTGGGTCAATAAAGAAAATAATCTTGCGTCAGATATATCAAGGAAGTCAAGAAGGACGCGAAGAAAAGGGATCAAAGAAGAGTTCAAGAACAGGATGTCTGTTTTTGAAAGATACTGGGTTATGTGCTGTGCGGTTCGTATATCTAGGATGGTATAAAGTGCTTACACAGGGCTGACAGAGTCCACTCCGGGTATGGCGATGCAGCCAGCTTGTAAAGGGATGAATTCCTATAGGCCACCGCCGAGTCTGAAGACTTCTCTCCGCCTTGCGATAATTCAGATGACATGGTTGTGTGTGAACCGGGAGAAATATGAGGAATACAGAAAAGCGTGTCAGAAATGTGCCTTGGCGCTTCCCTCTCCCTTTGATGCTCGCCTTCCCCGAAAAGTGGCTTGCGTGTTTACTCTTTTTCTTTTTTCTTTTTTTTAGTAAAGCAATGCACAAGGTCAGACCTTTCCCACCTTCCATCCTCTACCCCATCTTCTCCAGCAGCATATCTTTCGAGAGCTAAACGAGTTAGCAAGAATATTCTCGCTCACATAACCAAACAGGACTAGGACAAGAGCCAGGACAAGGAATCCTAGCAGGACAGAGGAGCCAGCGTTCGCCTATTTTTATATCATATCTTTGCCATCAAAAATGGAGCGTGTTCTGGATAAGAAAGCCGCCGCCAGGGCCAAGGCTGCCCTCGCACCCGTTAAGAAGCCTAAGAAGAAACTGGCTAGCACTATCGTAGCTTCGCGCTCAAAGACAACCATCTCCATGACCTCAGTATCCACACCTCCAGCATTATCCAAGAAGCGGAAATCTGCCGCCTCAAAACAAGACGACGGCTACGAAGATGTGGATCAAACGCCAGAACACGATCTCGACTTCTTGTCACTCCTTTCTCCGTCTCTTGCCACCAAGAAGGCCAAAAACGCATCATCTTCTTCTTCTAGCACATCCTCAGCCCAGTCATCATCACTATCAACATCCACAACATCAGCCGGAACATCAAAAGCCCCTGTCTCTAAGAAACCCAGGACCGGTCCCGAAGTCGTGGTGTTTGACGCATCAAGCCTCAACCGCAAGTCCACCACAGCCTCGACAGAGTTCAATTTTAAGAAGTTTATGTCCTCAAAGATCTCGAAACTAGACGAGGCACCAGCGCCGTTTGAGAACCCATTGACAGCGGAGGAGAAAGCCGAGGAGATCGAGAACAAACGCAATGATACAGAGCTACATTCATTGATCAAGGCGAGTCGACTGCTGGAACAGTACAATGCCGATCAGTTGGATGGTGCCGATAGGCGGAAACATCAGCGCGAGCAGCTGGAGCGCCTTGGAATTCAGGTAACACGCCTTTTGACTGAGCTCTTGCGATGAATGGTGCTAAATAGTGTAATACGAAAGATACCTTACTGACAGCTGTCAATGGACTTTCTCATTTTAGAAAAAGGAAAAGATCAAAGTGCCTCTTCAGATCAGCTTCGGAATGATGGCCAAGCAGCGTGAGCGGGATCTCAAGGAGCTGGAGGAGGTAGGCCCGATCGTCAACAACCATTTTCAATCACGACGCGGATATTTTGCTCCGGCAATTGTTCGCTTATCGTCGATTTTGCAGCTAACATCTTTTCCTTTTGCTTCCCTCCGCTTAGGCTAAGAACAACGGCACATACCACAAGAGCATTAAGCACACGTTCGCAGCAGCAGGCGGCAAGAAGAAAGAGAAACCACGTTCAGAGCGCGGATTGAAGACATCGATGGGTCGGTTCAAGAACGGCATGCTGACATTGACAGAGCGTGAGATCAAATCTGTACAACGGGAGGGTGTCAAGAAGAAGCCATCCGGGAAGAAGGCTGGAGGCGGTCGAAGCGGCGGTGGAGGCGGAAAAAAGAAGAAGGGCAAGGGCCATCATTAGGCAACATTGGGAGTAGTAACATGTCTGTTTGTTCTACTAATAAAAAGAAGACTGGGCACTTTTAATGCAACTTGTGAGCAGAAGGACCTGATAAGGCTGGACTGGATACTTGTCCAAGATATACAGCCTTGCAACACAATATCCACGAATTTAGACATGGTTATCAAACTTCACGACCATGCCGCTATGGGACACTGAGCCCTTTGAAACTACATTTGATCCAATAACAGCGTTAGTGAGCGGCAGGATGGAGCAGCAAAATGAAGAGGGCAGAGGCGACCCAAAGCCGAAGGAGGCTTTTTGAAAACTCTGATGATCCGAGCGATAGGAAACTTCTGACGAAAGACGACGCAGGCAGCAGCAGTTGGACACAGATGTCCTCTTCTTTCATCTGCCATGATCCAGTACAGCTGCACTGAGTATCAATACATGACGCGCAAGATGCTGTGCATTGTTTAGCCAGCCAAATAAGAGTCAACTAATTTTTCTGTAGCAGCAATGTGCATCCTACTAACTTGTATCTGCATGGCGGACAATACTACAAGCTTGATGGATTATACAGTCTTTATGGACATAGAAAAGTGTCTATTCATAAAAAAAAAAGAACAAGCGACGTGGTCCCAATCCAATCACTATTCCTGCTCCTTCCCCCTTTCTCTCTCCATTGATGATCAGCTACCCTTCAAGAGTGTAGTAGAAAACAAAAAGAGTAAAAGTAGTAACCGAAAATGCCATGCAAATATTTACTTCTTGTAAATAGCAGCTGCATGTGTCAGCTGCGGTGCCGCTGAGACCTTTTCTATGTCGCCCTTGAGTCCATGGAGGTATTTGGCCACAAGCTCCTGCCAGGGCTCTGACTCATTCACCGTTCCGATCTTCCTCGGCTCTGGCTGAAGTGAATCAATTTCCCAAACAGAACCATTGATGTGCATGAAGACGGTGATATGGTGGGCGATCTCCTCTTCGTCCTCGCCCTTGTCATTGCTCTTATCCTGCTCCTGCTTCGCCTTGTCCTTGCCTTTGCTGTCTGTGAGGGCGCCGCCCTGGCCTCTAGAGCTTTTCCTCTGTGGGGCCGGCGCTGTTGACTGCTCTTTGGCATCATGTTCGTCCTCTTTGACCTTCTGTTGCTTCAGGCGCTTCGAGTACGGCGTCTTGTCAAACTTAGGGCTCGCTGGACTCTCATCCCACTCACCGAGGAGATGCGCCTCCTGATGAACTCGGTGCACCTTGTCACCGACGGCGCTTTCGTCAAAAAGTCGCCAGGCCACCTAAAATGCAAAAAAGAAATATAAAAATATGTGCATTCGATTTAGTCCGCAAAGCAGTAGCCGCTGCATTATATATTTTGTGCCGTCAACGAGGATGTAATCCGTAAAATCGCACTTACGGCCGCATTCTCGGTAGCAAAAATGTCTTTAACAAGATCCTTAATATCCTGAGGGCACTGCTCAAGAATGGACGCGTTGTTCATGACAAAATTCATCATTGCCAGAGAGAAACAACTGTCAATGGCATGTCCAGGAGCAGCGGCTCTCTACGAGAATCATATCCGGTATCCATATTAGTGATACTAGTAAAGCAACAGAGCTTCAGGATGATTTTTCAGGCTATATCTGCACATACCTGAGGGATGAAGTAGATCTCCATCGACTCTTTATCACTGACTGGATCAGCTCGCTTCACGGCCGTCAGAGTCACGAACAAAAATGCGATGGCCTTTTCGCGAGACACCGGAAGATAAACATAGAAGAGACAATAGCGAAGGTTGTTAGGAGAATTGTTATATGTATATGTAATGGGGCACAGGAAGCAAATATAAAAAGCATGCTTGATCGAACCGTCGAAAAAATATCCCACTCATTACCTCTTTATCGAACTGACTAGGATCGTCAAATGGGAATGGAATCAGGGATGACTCGGCTTTAACAGGAACGCCCATGACCTCGGCCCACCTGTTGATGACGCGACCTTTAATAAATGGATAAGAACGAACGGGCAGGGAAAAAAAAGAGATCGATGGAGCACCAAAGATCAATAACCATTGCACATGCCTAGAAGCTACTATTCCATACCCATTGTTCGCCGTATTAATCCTTACCTGGGTCTCCAATATCGACGGGCTGCCATGTGCGTACTCCTCGCTTCTTGATGCGATCCTCGTACTCCTGCTCGGAATTGTCTTCTGTGCCTCGGCTATCCCCAGCCACAGGACCAACTGGATTCTTGGGAGGACGACCACGCCCTCTAGGAGGATTCAAGCGCGGCTTGACAGGGGTAGGAGGAAACTTTCTTGGCCGACCGCGTTTCCTCGGTGCATCCTCAGCAGCAACGGGCACCGAAACAAAGGCTGGAACGACCGTCGTGGCGGTGTTCTCTGCCTCTGCCTCCATATCTGCTTCGACCTTGGGTCGTTTCCTGGTGTCGTGGGTTTCGGACATGTGTTCCTATAGTGAGGTGCGAATGAAAGAGATGAGGATCAAGTGTGAAGTGGGCCGATGAGGGCGTATTTTTTTTTTGAAATAAGGCCTTTTTTGGAATCCTCACAGCAATAGGGAACAGCAGAGGGTCTTTTCAGATGTGGTGCAAGACGAGATACCAAAGACCAAGCAAGGCCTGAGGGGAGCAAACGAGTGTCGATGGGCGATTAGTGGCTTACCGCGACAAAAAACCCAATTGAGGCAGTGTGCCACTGCAGCCGTCACGCGCGAACTCATGGTCCTATCTGTAGACCAGTTGAAAGTTTGTATCAAGAAAGCGTACACTTCATGATACCACAGAACGAGGAAGTGTGCCATCGAGAAGGCACGTGCTTTTAATGCTCAGTGTATCTGAACCCACTCATTCTTATAGCAGGTAGAAGCCGGGCGTATCGCAATAGATAAGTCTTTAAATTAGAGAAGATTAAAATGAACAGGTTTGCCTGCGGGATGTCAGGGTCCATGAGCAATAGGCAAAAAAAGTGGATAGAATTTTGCCCGCATTTCCCGCCAGTGCGTGCAAGATAGTTCCGACCAAGGTTCAACGCGTTCAGTATTCGTTCCTGATCTCTCACTCTCTCTCTCTCTTTTCCTCTCTTTTCTCTCCTCTACCCATCACTCGCTCCATCATAACATTTCACATTCATTGCAACCTCATTTCAGTCGTTCACCATGTCTCAAGTAAGTGTTTGTCAGATGAACGACACAGGTCCACGGCTTCTCAGGGCAAGACCAGTTGGAGCATCATATTAAACAGGAAACCGGCCAGCGACAACAATCTCGCCATCGTTCCACACTTCCGACATTCGGGTTCGAATCAGACGGGAGGAACTACAGCCGCGGCATAGCATGGACTCAGCACTAAATTTTTGCTGTCTCAGGATGCCTGGGCTTTAAGGGCATCTTCTTACTTTATGTCATTCCTTGCAAACATCTCAGATTAAAGTCGGCGATACTCTTCCTTCAATCACCCTCAAGTACTGGTAAGGGTGCTAATCTCCGCTATGACTCCTCGCTAGGCGCTTTTGATCACTCCAAAGCAGCTGCTAACTTATTCTTTTTTTCTTACTTTTGCAACAAAGCCCATATGACCCCTCGCTCAAGGATGCATGCGGCATCCCTCAGAACTTGAGTACGGATTCCTTTAAGGGCAAGAAGGTCGTTATCTTCGGTGTCCCCGGTGCATTCACTCCCACCTGCAATAACAACCACCTGCCCGAGTAAGGACTTGTTTTTTGCCGCCCCCATTTAGACCTTGTGAAACAACACTTTAAGAAGATCGCATGCTCGCTTGATTTTCTAACCCTGGATCGATCGTACATTGAATGATGAATAGGTACCATCAAAAGTACCAGGATCTTGTCAACAAGGGTATCGACCAGGTCGTGTGCATCAGCACCGCAGATGCCTTGTAATAGCAATATGGATCGTCTGTTGAAATGTCCCACCGATTTGCGTCTTATTCCTTATCCTCACATCATTGCCTCCATCTTTTTCATATGCCGACGTTAAACATAGCGTGATGGATGCCTGGGGCAAGTGGACAAATGTTAGCGACAAGGTTATCATGGCTGCCGACGGTAACGGTGATTTTGTCAAGGCCACTGGGCTTGTGCAAGGTAACAAATCCTTATCACTGGCGAATCCATAAGCCGTACCACCTGCGGCTGTATATCTATAGCCACTCACCATCTTTTTCTTCTTCTTCTTCTTTCTCTTATCATCATCATTATTGTTATTTTACCCGCCATTTACAACAGATTTGACGAAGGGTGGCATGGGTGCTGTCCGCTCCAAGCGCTTTGCTATGGTCGTCGAGGATATGAAGGTCACCTACATCGGTGTTGAGACCCAGTAAGTCCATTCTCTTTGGCTCTCAGTATAAACTTGACAGCAAAGTCAATTGAATCCTAACTTTGACTTTTTTTAACTTTATCGCAGGTTCGGTGTCTCTGTGTCAGGAGCCGGTGCTGTTCTGGCTAAGTTGTAAAAGTTATTCGAGATAGGCTGCAAATAAATAACAAAAAAAAAATGCATTTTTGTTTTTCTGGAGTATGGGTTATACAAAGTACCAATTCCATTCTAATGATTAAAAAGTACGCGATGAAGAACTCGATTTCTGGTGTATGGGCAGTGCGAAGCAGCTATCCAATAGTTATTGTCAAAACCGCAGTCTAATGAAGATCCATCTTTTTTTTTTTTGGAGACGATCAACGCCTCAGATTTTATTCCATTCAAGACTAAGGTATTGGCTATGTACAACATAGGCTGGGAGGTTTGTCTTTTGCTGTAGTTATTTTGATTCTTGATGGGTATTCACAAAAATAATAGGATATGTATACGAAAGGTAAGAAGCAACCGCGGACCCAGTCCTAACGGCCCTTACTCCCTAAAATTTCTTTGATAAAGTGTCGTTTAGACAGCGCCGTTGAAGACGAGGCGGTTGGGCGAGCCCTTCAAGTTGCCGGTGATCTTGCCGGTGGTGGCGGTCGAGGTCAACTTGTTGAAGAGAGACGAGGCGGTGGGCAAGCTGTTGAAGGAGAGGTACAAGGCGGCAACACCGACAACGTGGGGGGTGGCCATCGAAGTACCCGAGATGGTGTTGGTGGCAGAGGTGGAGCCAATCCAGGCGGAGGTGATGGCGACACCGGGTCCGAAAATCTCGACGCAGGAACCGTACGAGGTGAAGGAAGCGACAGCGTCGTATTTGTCGGAAGCAGCGACGGTGTAGGCGTTGGCGGCACCGGAGGGCGAGCCATCACAGGCGTCGGTGGTGGCGCTGTTACCGGCAGCGACGATCAAGGGAATGTTGGCGGCATAAAGGCGGGCGGCAGCAGCGTCGATGGCAGAAGATTTGCTACCACCCAAAGACATATTGACAACGGACTTGCCGGGGACAGCGCGGGCAGCAACCCAGTCCATACCGGCAACGACGCCAGAGGTGGCACCGGATCCCTGGGCATCGAGGACCTTGACACCGACAATGCTGACCTTCTTGGCAACACCGTACTTGGTGCCTCCGATGGTGCCGGAGACGTGGGTACCGTGACCATTCTCGTCAGTGTTGGCGGAGCCGGAGATGAAGTTGGCACCGAAGGTAGCACGACCGCCAAAGTCAGAGTGGGCGGCGTAGACACCGGTGTCGACAACGTAGGCGGTGACACCCTGACCGGCAGCATCATTGTAGAGATAGGGCTGGGTCAGGCCGAGGTTGCGCTCGGAGACGCGGGTGAGACCCCAGGATGGGGGGGAAGTCTGGGAGCCCTGGAGGGAGATGATGGCATCCTGCTCGATGAAATCAACCTCATCAGCAGCAAGGAGCTCCTTGAGAGCAGCCTGGTTGATGGTGGCAGCGAAACCGGGGAACTTCTGGTACTTGCGGTGGATGGTGGGCTTGCGACCACGGCCGTTCTGGCGCTTGGCAATGTCATCGAACTTGGCCTGGAAAGAATCAGCGTTGTGGCCGTCCTTGAGAACAACAATGTACGAGTCAGCAATAGCCTTGCCGCCGTTGTTGATCAGAGGAGCAGCCTGGACGAGGGCAATGACTGCAGCGAGGATGATAGTGTACTTCATGGTGAAAGAGCTGAGGTTGTTGTTGGTTTGAAAAGACTTGGAAAGGCTTGAAAAGACTTGGAGATACTTGGAGAAGCTGAGGAGAGGATGCAGGATGAAGAAAAAAAATGGAAAGATGGCAGATGAAGGGATGGTATTTATACGGATTCAGGCGCGTTATTTCTTGATGCTTAGAGGGATTCTTTAAGATCCATTTGAATGGAGTGCATGTACCTGTTGTGAAAGCATCCTGGTGCCGTTTGAAATTAATACGCGCGTGCGCAATGAGGGAAAGAGCGAGAGCAGCGAATGCAATCTTGCCGCAATTGTCTTCTCACGCATAATGTTATTTTCTCATGTTGAACCCTGGGAGACCCGCAATCCTGTCAGCGTCCAATGGCGTTGCTTCTCCCTGATGCCGATGTCGTGTTTCTGTTTTTTATCCGGGGATGTGTTTGTTTGCTGTTGAGCTCTGTTTGTTTTGCTGTCTTGTGTCCCCATTCGGAACAGAAGGGTCTATCCCTCTTCAACCCTTGTGCTGCAAGGGTTCGTTGCCAGGTTTTTTAGTTATTGTTTTTTTTCCCTTGATACCAGGAAAACTGTCGCCCTCGCAAGCAAACAAATAAGAGCCAACTATTTGAACTTTATTTATTTGTTGCTGCAGAACCTGAACCGTTTTCGGTAGATTTGTCATGCAGGTCCCTTCATCCATTCTAATTCAGCTTTTGACCATTAAAATACCCCTGCAGAAAAACGGCGAAAATCGTCAAGGGCTACCAAATTGCTGCAGACTATAGTGAAATTGATGATAGCATAGAGGGATAGACATATACATGAGAGCGTACCTTCATTGAAGAAATTACGTGTCTTATTTGTCAAAAGAACGATTGGTTGAGAATGATTGGTAACCCTAGCCCATGGGTAAGTAGGGCCCCTCCGACAAGTTCACTGTAGCTTGCACAAGGTTATTGTAAATGCATGATGATGCCAGTGAAATGGAAATGGCGTGCACTTTCTACTTTCTACGGACAAAAATATCGAGCAACATGCGTATGAGAATCAGCGCTCGATTTCGTTGACTAGAGAGGGCATGTAGACGCGATTGGAGCTAGTATTTTCCATATCTGAACCTATGCTTCATAACCTTTGCATCCAAAATAAGATTCGCATCAGGGACGACTACATGAGCTAGACAAGATTAGTTAGTGCCCTGACCATTATTTACCAACGCTGCTTGTTGGTTGGAATGCAATAGTGTAAACGGTCGCGGTTCACTAGTCTGTGGAAAAACCTCGATCCTCGCAAGTCTCTTCTCAATCTCATGTTTATACTAGATATCGTTGGCCCGGTTTAAATGAAGACCCCGAACTGCATCCTTGAACCGTTGGCCTCTCTATTGATTGTTATTGTTATTGTTGCTGCTATTGTTTGTAAATATTTGCTGTTATTTATTATAATTGCTATCTAATTACCGGGAATTGAGAAATGCAGTAGCCGGTTAGAACCATGCACTCTGGTTTAGCCATCTTAACATGGGATCTACACTCTTGTGGGAAAGTTGTCCACGCTTTTCTATTTGTTGATTACTAGAGGTTTATGTCTAGTTCCCGTCAGGGGTCGTGTGAAAAACGAGAAGTAGCTGCTGCAACAGTGCTAATTAACAACGGCGTACGTGCATATGTAACGGACAACCTCGATAACACAAATCGAATTAGTCGTTGGGAACTCTCATGAACGATAAGTCGATGGTGAAAGAAAACAAAGCCATGCCAGCAAAGTGCACTGGCGTTGCGAAATAGAATATGATGTAGAAATAAAAATGGCATCAGTTGAGGTCAAGGACCTATAGCATATATCGCGTTTTCAATGATATAAATTTCATCTATACACACCAATTGAAATTGCAAGTGCATAATTGACATGAAAGAAGGATAGGATAGATAGGCGCCTCTCAGGGCTGAACATTTTGTCCCCGAGGGATTCTCATACATTTGCCAAGTAATTCTCCCATGTATCACGCCAGTTTTGTTTCGCTATCAGCTGTGCACTTTTCTTGTATTAGAGAGACCGCTTGGCTTTGTTGGGTGGAGTGCAAGGCCCATGAACACAAAAGAGCGCCCATGAGCAAAAGAAGGAGTTATAGTAGGAAGGCTGAGGGGCTATTCCAGCGCAGGGTGGGTTCTACGTCAGGTCGCATTCTATTCTGCGGCAGAACGCGTCCAGGGGAAACTTATTTCAAAAGAGGGACAGAGTGTATCATATTCAGACATCATGGTATGCCTTTCCTACTAGCGTTACTACCCCGCCCTTTTGTCTCCGACATTCTGAATGACAGTGGACGACACCATATTTGGATCCTGTGAATAACTACAGGGCAATTTGAACACACACACGATGCCCGTAGGGATAGAATCTGCGTAATACAAGGGCCAGGTACAACAACACATTTGGCACTCAGTGCAGCCCGTCATATGCACTTGCAGCCCAGAAATGGAGCGCCGTGATTGGATACGAAAACAAATAATGCCCTAGAGTTGCGCGCCCATGCGGCCACACATATCTTACCCCTGAATTCTGTAGGTCCCCCTGCTGCATGCCCGCCGCCCATTCCTTTGACCCTTCCCAAGGCAATCTACGCGAACAATAGATATTGTCAAACTTTTCCTGGTAATACGCGCAAAAAAAAGAGAGTGAGAGGATAGTTCAAGTACTTAAACACTATATTGTACGCATCCCCCTTACGAACCACAGGTTCACCGCACATTCATACGTAGATTATGTAGGCTGCCAGGGTCCAGACCAAGCCAGGTATGCAGGGACATAGTGTTGCCACGATAAAGAAGAGGATGACATGATAGTATAATAATTAACCATCGTGATCATGCATCTGGATAATCTGGCGCCACGGAACCCATCCGACTGGGCGGCTGGAGGTTGGTGGAAATGCTTTGCATGTGCTATTAGTCTACATGTATTTTGCTCACTCACGAATCTGTCGAAGGTGACCCCGAGGGTCGTCGAACCTTTGAGGTTCGCACGCCATAAAGTTTTCAACAAATTAAGTTTCGATAGTAAACTGTGTTTTAGAGCAGACGAGCATCTGGTAAGAGCCTCCCATTGGCTCTCTGTTGTTTATAGTTGCACCCTGCAAATGGGTCAATGGGTCTTAGCGTGCCAGTTCCCCTGGGAAAGTGGATGAGAAAAAGACTGTCAACAACTGGAATTTTTATGTGCGGAGAGATACATACAACCCCAACGGTTGGGGTCGCTGTCCGTTATGGTTGGATGCATCCTATGCTCCATCTGTCCTTTCGCTCCGGAGTGCCTCTCTGCCCTTGGGTCTATACCTCTTTAAAAAAAATAAAAAAAAGAGAGAGTGAACCGTGGAAGACCTTGGATACATAGACTACAATACACGGAGGACACAATGATTGAGAGCCTGGATCACCTCATTCTAACCTCAGGTGCACACTAGGCTATAATAGACTAGTTGAATTCTTAGAAAGTATTACTTTAAGAGCACTCAACCCGCTTCTGGTGCGACGCCAGAGGGCATGCTTTTTCTCTGCTGTGAATGAGTACTTCAATAGAAAAGACCGCAGGTGAATTTATGGTAGAGAGAGCGAATGGGCCGTCAAAGTTCCCGAATGATGCCATCGCCAACGGTCCGCACATCTCCTTTCCAAGGAGACGACATGTCTACTTGTTTTTCGATTTTTTTTTTATTCCATTCCCTCCAACCGAACATCTGTTTTTGAACTTGCACGCGTTCTTTTTTCTCTTTTCACATAACACTTCTCGAGAGAGCGAGTTATCTGTTTATTTCCCTCAATCACACCTATAATATCCAGTGCATCCGACCAAATCCTTTCATTCGTTCGCCTCTGTTCTTTTTTCTCTCACGATCAGGTTCCTGAGCAATTAGCCGCCTCATTATTGGTGACAAACATCCTGGTTAGGACGCGCGCCTACATTTGTTTGTTTCACTTCTAACATTCCAGAACAAAAGATTGTGTGCTTTACATCTATTCTATTCACTATTATTATTATTATTTGCAATGGCGTGCACTTCTCATGCACGCCCAATGCGAGCGAAAACAACCCCCTGGCCTTTCTCACACACATGCTGGTTGATTAAATCTGCTGACGCCATTCGAGACCCTATCCTCCCCTTCATGCATGCATGCCACCTCTATTTCTCGTTTTATGTCTGTGTGTGATCCATTCCCCTCCGGCCATTGGTCAGTTGGTAATGCAAGAGCGCGTGCGCACGTAAATGAATGACTCGCCTCTTCGAGCATCTCTCTGTACGTAGGGGCCTAGGACATTAAGGCGCGCATGGTTGAACCTAGGCACTATAAAGCGGGTCTTTCGAGATCGTCGACTCGGGGGCGATTCGCAGTAGTCTTTCAAGTACTCTTACACGCCACAGTTAAGACTTCAATCGGGAGTCTCATGAAGGCGATTGAAAGAGTATCAATAAAGACATACCGATTTGAACAATTATATCCTTATGTTTGGTCTTTTATCCGTAATATGGCCGTATATGGGCCTTCGCCAATCCCGCCTGGGATAAGACGATTGGTGGACCTACTGCAGTCAAGTTCATTATAAGCAGTGAGCTAAAGACATCCACCTTGGCAGAGCTGAGGGCCTATATGACCCGTAACTCTGTCAATGTCGATACAAGCCTGTTAGTCCTTAGTGTCGACAAACTTGCTCAATTGCCACACAGATTTAGAAGATCGTGGACTACAATGGATGCGACAAACTGGGACGCCATGGGTTCAACATTGCACTCAAATTGGTTGGTCGAGTTCAGGCCTGCAGATATCCCTCGAAGAGATTGCGCGTCAAAGGTAGACCGCGATGAATGATCATCTGGTACCGAAGGAAGGTGCATTTCTCTGTATCATCGGAAGCGCAAACGGGTATTTGAGGCTATGGCCTCGATTATATATATATAATCTGGTGTGTTTGATTCTTCCAATCACTCTTTTACAGGAGTGCCTGCCCCACTTACCTGCTCCCTTCCAGTGTCTGGGGATGACTTGTTCATAGATGCATTTCAAGATGAAGAATTCAGTTTTTGATGAACGATCTCCTGGCGGCGTTTGTAGGGAGATCATGCTAAAGTCTAAGCTTCCTGGCGGAAATTTGGTATGGCATAGAGGCCATTCAATTTGCCTACCGCGAGCTATATGTGCAGTGTGAACCAAGATACATCGCATAGACGAATCTATTTGCATATCAAGTCATATTGTGAACAAAAAAAACAGCGAAGGACCTTTGGATGAGGATGAGCTCAAACTCGTCCAACAAGGAGAATGGGCAAAGGGACAAAAGGTATATCCGGAGAGGATATCGACAGTAGCAGCAGATGCAATCTAAAGTGTTATAGGAAGCGATAGGATCTCCATTGGCATCGGTGGGTCTGAACAGTGATATCAGAAATTCAGGACCACATAGCGCCCAGGCGCCCTGTTTGAAGGCCTACATGGATCAGCAGTAGGAGCAAGCCAAGATTTCCAGGGTTGCCTGTCCATATTGGCCATAGTTAACAATCATGATACGCTTCGAGCCTTTGTTGGATCTTCACAGAGTCTCAGCATGGGTGTAGTGTAAGCCTGTACAAACTACAATGTCGGACTTGACCTACTCTGATGGAGCACCGTCAGCAGTTGCGCCCCGACCAGTCTCCGCCAGACCAATGCTCAACCCCATGCCTCTTGAAGTAGAAGAAACTCACTTGATAGCCATGACGTCCCTGGCAGGCAATCTAAACAGGCAGTGAGTGAACATGGATGATACGTACCGCCAGTAGCAGTATCATCGCCTATTCTGGTCGTCCTGTGCCCATCTGCACATGCGACTCCATTTGTCGCTATATCAGTGGCTGCAACAGCAATAGCCCTCATCGAGTTATGGTCAGCAGCGCTTCTCTTCCCAACCGTAACAGCAGCACTACCCTTCATCGATATGTCTTCAGTCTCAGTAGCATCCGCTTTTTTGTCAGGGGCATGGTCTTAACGGTGTCCTGGACTCGGCGATTGACATCCGTCAATGCTGACAAATTCTTTGGACGCATCTTCTCCGTCATTATTATCCTCAATAACCGCAACCGTAGCATACATTCTTCATCTTCCTCTTAGGAAGCCCCAGGGCTGAGAAATTACATAGGCAGCAAGACCGTTTCGGTTGCCATCAGATGCTTTCTCCCGGAGGATTCACCCCCCCCCCCCCCCCCCCCCGCAACCTGCAACAGTACGAACCTAGCCCTTCTAAGGCCTAGCAACCATTCCAGACACCGTAAGTGTAATAAGTCGCAAGATACCCAGAGTAAGAATGAATGTAATATCACAATGATTAAATACGGGGGCCATTTATTGTAAATGTGGCCATTCTCTCCCCCTCCCCCGACAACAACAGCGCCTTAAAGAGCGGAATGCTCCCAGGAACCGGGAATAGAAGCTTGCTTGCTGCAGGTTGACAAATATTTTTTCCTTCGCGAGCCGTTGAGAGGCCATTGCGCATTCCCTGGACTTATTTCTCCACACGACTAATGTTCTTCTCACTCTTGCAACACACATTTTCCTTCGACTCTCCACCTCCATTCTCTATCCGCAAATGACAGATACACCAGCTACGCAGCCCAGGCCTTCTCCTCCTCCCCTTGTATCTGCCACAGATCCTCAGACCTCGGTTTCTACTCCAGTGGAAGCCAAGGCTCGTTTAAGGGTGGAACCTAATGACATTTTTCTGCGCGACGCCATCAACCGCGCGTGGCTCATGCGGGGTGTCAATCTAAGCGGCTGCTGCAAGTTCCCCAAATATCCCGTCCCTGTTCCCTCGCACGTCGGCGGAGACGCTTTTTTGAAAAGGCGTAACCAGAGGGATGATTCAACCACGATCGAGGCATCGACTGGGAATCGCAACAAGGATGACATTGGGCAGCATGAGCAACGGAATGAGAGTGACAATCCCACCACTACGACAGAGGCCGCCGCCGTCAGGGCTGAGCCGACTGCTGACGACCTCATCTCTTTTGTGGGGAGACCGTTTGAGTTAGAGGAGGCGGACGAACACCTCGCACGGCTGAGACATTGGGGCTTTAGGATGATCCGTTGGGTCGTTACTTGGGAGGCCGTTGAGCACCAAGGACCGTAAGTTAGAAGCGAGTGTGCTATATACAGTCGGTATACATTAGCCCATGTATTATATTTGACCGTATTTCTTTTCATGTCTTTGCGGTGAAGTGGGAGATATGACGAAGACTTCCTCGATTACACTGTAAAAGCCCTGCTCAAGGCCAAAGAATATGGATTCAAGGTCATGATAGACTTTCACCAGGACGTGGTAAGCCTTGAGTTTTCTTTTCTTGCTCATCCTGAACTATGTGTGCGCGATTTAACAATACTCCCAAACTTACCCTCTTTACGGCTACCTCTAAAACAGTGGTCAAGGTTCTCGGGAGGCTCAGGGGCCCCTCTTTGGACATTCTACGCAGCCGGTCTGGACCCCCACAACTTCGCTGCCACGGGTGCCGCTGTCGTCCACAACACCCTCCAAGACAACGAGCCCTTACTGCGAATGGTCTGGCTGACAAACTACTACAAGTTAGCCTGTGCCTCCATGTTCACACTCTTTTACGCGGGCAAGATCCTGGCCCCCAAATGTATGTTTGACCAAGGCGTCAACATCCAGGACTATCTCCAGTCGCACTTTTTGGGCGCAATTCAGGCGTTGGTCGACAGGATTCATGAATGTAAAGACGCCGAGGGAGCCCCGCTGTTGGAGGACCATGTTGTGCTCGGGTACGATTCCTGGAACGAACCGTCGAATGGATGGATTGGACTCGGGAGACTGGATATGTTGCCGGATCAGCATGATATGCGACAGGGAGATATGCCCACGCCACTGCAGTCGCTCATGTTAGGCGAGGGACTTGTCGTGGAAGATGTAGCGACCTATAAGCTCGAACTCGTAGGACCTGTTAAATCTGGATCGAGAACTATCAACCCATCTGCGCATCTCTCATCGCATGGACGGCCGACCAAGGCGTGGCTGAGCCCTGAGCTACGGGATGAGCTGGATCGTCAGTATGGCATTCGCCGGGATCCTGGATTTCCCAAGGCGGGAGAGTGTCTGTGGGCACAGCATGGCGTGTGGTCGATCAAGGAGCGGAAAATACTGCAGCAAGATTACTTTGCCAGAGGACCAGAGTCATCCTTGCCGACTGCTCAACAGCGGGACCTGATTCAATGGGTACCGGATCACTGGCTGCCCTTTGCGAGGCGTGTTACTGAAATAGTTCGGAAGGTGCATCCTACAGCTATTCTGTTTCTGGAACCGCCGGTTTATGTCCCTCCTCCCGACCTTACCCATTTGACATCTAAAAGCGACAAGGCATCGGATGATGAATTGATAACCAACATGGTCTATGCTCCACACCATTACGACGACCTTGTGCTGTTGACGAAGCGGTACCTGGGCTGGATCAACATCGATCTGTTGGGTCTAAGCCGTGGGCGACACAAGAACCTTTTCCGATCAATTGTTCTCGGCAAGAAAGCTACGGAAACCCTGTTTGGGAAGCAGATAGGCGAGATACAAAAGGAGTGCTATGAACGGCTTGGTAAGCGCTTTTTCGTCCTATTCACTTTATTTCGTTCTGCTTACATGCTCTCTTGCTGTGCTGACCTTTCTTTGAAATGTTTTTTGTGAACTCTCGAACCTGAAGGTAAAAGACCAGTTCTGATAGGAGAGACTGGGCTACACTTTGATGTTGGACTCGATAAGGCACGGCAAGCCGGGAGCATCAAACGAAACGACAGTACTAGCACCAATATCAGCAAAGTAACGCAGACGACGCCGCCTGCTGCCACATCCAAGCAGTTTCAGCAGGCCTTTGACAACATCCTCAACGGTCTAGACAAGACAATGGCCCACTACACTCTTTGGAACTACACCATCGGAAATGATGCTTCTTTTGGTGATGGCTGGAACGGCGAAAATCTCAGTCTCTACTGCTCGAACTCCGCATACGTTGAGCGCAAAGACGGTCATAAACTAGATCGAGGTGGGCGTGCCATCGAGCAGTTCTGTCGCCCGTACCCAATTGCAACCGTGGGGCAACCCACTGAGATATCGTTCGACCGACATAAAAAGGTGTTTAAGCTGCGAACGAAATTCGGAATTGAGGAATATCAGGCTGCAGTCAAGGATACGGATGCCGCAATGACGGAGGTTTATGTTCCTGCATACCATTTCCCTGGTGGGCCAAAGAACTTTGCTGTGACATTGAGCGATGGACTATGGGAATGGAAAACGGAGCAGCAGATTCTGTTGTGGGTGTACAGCAAGAACAGCGACATTCCAGACCACTGGATTGAGATACGGAAAAGGCGACGATGATGCGATAGGTATTTTTTATTACGAGAAAAAGACGATCGAATAAACGCTCAAGGACAAAAAAAAAAGGAAAACATTATAATAATGCTGAATGCATGGGGTATACAAAAGATACATGTTAAGAAAACCATAAGAGAAGTAGAGAAGTGGTTAAGTGACCTTTGTAAATCGCTTCTGCTCGTCAGCCGACAACCGCAGCATCTGTGCCACAACGGGTATCAGTTGTTGCTATGAGACACGAATGGGACAAGATGGGAGAAGTTAGTGTCAAGGTCCATACTGCACAACACATAGCGCGAAAACACGACTGCAGTAGCAATATGAATCCTTACCCGACGTTCCTTATGCTCCACAAAGTTCAGAAGCACATTCTTCAGATACTCAATATTCACATCCTCATCCGGTGGTGGTTGATGCCGGACGAACCGAGGTGTCGCAGGTGGCGTCATATTTGGCGACGAGAACGAACGCCCGCCATTCATAGTTGAAGCAGCACCAGGGCTTGTAGAGGCGGAAGATTTGGGTTTAGGCGTGGATGGAGTGCTGTGGTAGTTTGCTGCGGATCCGCCTGGTGCCTGTGAAACGTTGGATTGTGAGTAGGGCGAGTACGGCGTAGAGGGCGAAGGAAGTGGCGAGATGTGCTTTTGGAATTTACGGACTTCTTCTTTCAGTGTCTACAATGCGGAGGAAACAAAAGAGTTAGAGTATTTCTCAAAAGGCAGATGGAGCCCGATACATGACTTCTAGTAAAAGGAAAGAGACGAATTTCGTCTGGTACCTTGTTGACGGTGCGAAGATGGCCCTCTCGCATCTTGAACTCTTCCACAGCAGCTGCATGCGCTACTTTTTCCTTAGCCAGGATCTCTTCCAGGTCCTTAAAATGTTGCTATTGTAGAAGCAAAAGGAAGGCAATAGTATCAGTATCCATCTTTCACGCACCAATTTCAACGCAGACCAAAAGATAGCGTACACATACCAGCTCGAGCTCCAGGTCCCGCTTTCGACTCTTGAATTCCTGGATCTCCGTTTCCAACTTCTCAATCGTCTGTGAGTTCTCCTCCAGAGCCCTACTCATTTCCTCAATCTCATTCCGGTTCCGCTCCTCGTTCGCTCGCAATTCCTCCACTTCCTCTTTCTTGTGCTCGACCTGCTCAATCAATCCTGAAATCTCCTCTCCTAGAACCTCCCTCGTCCCCTCAATGTCCGTCTTCAACTTGCGCACCATCTCACCATACGCCTCCTCTCTCCTCCGCAAACTCTCTTTAGTATACGTCAGCTCCTCGTCCAGCTGTTCACCTCTTGCCTTCAATGCCTCAAACTCCTCCACCTTGGTCTCGGCGACACGCTTCGCAATCGATGTGAGCTCTTCCAGCGTATCGACTCTATTTCTTGCATCTGTCAGCTGCGTCTGGTATTCTCGCATTTGTGACTCAGTAGATTCATGCATCTTCTGCAGGGTCTCCAGTTCCGCTTGCTTCATCTGCATCTCCTTCTGTTGAGCTTCCTTTTCCTGGCTCAGCTTATCCCGCTCCTGCGTGACCTGGTCCCTCTCTTGAAGTATCTTCACATGCGTCGCCTTTAGCCGCTGCAACTCCTGCGCCGTCGCAGATTGCTGATTGCTCGATTTTGCGACCGCGGCCTTGGATTCCTGCTGCGTTTTTGTCAAATTCGCCCTGATCGACTCTACATCTTCCGAAAGTGACTTTCGCTCGTTCTCCAGCTTCGACAGCTTCTGCACAGTCTTCGCCAGATCGGTCTCTGTCTCTTTGAGTTGCTTGTGAATTGCAGACAGGTCTTCGTCCCGCTGATGGATTGTATCCTTTGCAAGGTCCAACGCCTCCTTGAGATCTTTCTCCTTCAGACCTAATGCGCTGATCTTGGACTGAAGCTCACTCATCTGTTCCTGAGACTCAGTTTTGGCGTTCATGAGTCGTGCATTGTCCTCCTCTAGAATCTTAAGCTGTTCGCGGAGAGATTCTGCCTGATCGGCCGCCTCTTGCAGCTGCAGTTCGAGCTCATGCTTGGGCTGGGCATATGAGTCGCACTCAGCCTTGAGTGTCTGGATCTGGTTTGTGAGCTCCATGACCTTATCGGCATGCAGGGTCCGTTGTACTTGAGCTTGACCCTGTGCAACTTCTAGATTATTGATCTTCGTCTGCAGCTCTGTCTTCAGAGTTGCCAGCTGGGCCTCCAGGTCCTGGATCTTAGAGCCATCGTCGATCTTTCCAGGAGCGCCCTTTAGCTTCTCTTCCAGTTCCGAGATCCTTGCCATGGCTTGTTCGTGTTCCCCGACCAACGCAGTATGTTTTTCCTGTAGCTGTTCTTTCTCCTCCTCACTCTTGGCCTTCCAAGACTCGAATGCTGTTTTGATTTCGACAAGCTGTCCTTCAAGGGCGGTCTTCTCCTTGTTCAGTTCCTCAATCTGTCCAGTCAAGCTCTGCTCTTGACCAACCTTGCACTCTCGCAGCTTCTCTAGCCGCTTTTCTAGCTTGGCGACCTTCTCAATGACCATATCCCGGTCCTTGGCCAGCTCTGTGACTTTATCGCTCGCGAACCGTTCAGCTGTTCGCACTGCCGCCAACTCGAGTGTCACGCGTTCTATGCCCTCGGCGACCCGTGCCTGTTCCAGCTCCTTCTCTTTCTCTTTCTCCTTGATCAGCAGATCTGACTGCTCCTGAACCTGGGCCTCCAAGGCGACTTTCTGCTCGACCAACACTGCTAGCTCTTGCTCAAAGGCTCGGATCTTTTCTGAAGATGAGCGCTCGAATCCTTGATGGAGCCGCTCCAGCCGAGTCAGTTTTTCGGAAAGCTCTTCCCGCTCTTGCTTGAGCGACTGAAGCTCCTCGATACTAGAAATATGGTTATCTCTTGCTACCTGTGCATCACTGGCGCTGGATTCAAGGGAACGTCGATGACTAGTACTGTAAGCGAGATGGATCTGCGACTTCATTGTCTCTAGTTCACTCTGCAGTGCGGCCACTGTGGTCTCGGCTTCTTGTCTCGCCTTCCTGACATGATTGAGTTCCTGTCGCAACTTTTTGAGTGCATTCTTGGATGGTACCTTATCAGCGGCTAGGTTCCCCGTCTCCTGACTGGGCTCCTTGTCAGTCTTGTTGTCGGCCTCACTGTCCTGTGCAAAAGAGGGGATCTTGTTCGTAGATAATTCCTTCAACTCAGACTCTAGTTCCTGAATCCTGGACTGACGAAGCTGCTCTTGCTGCTGCTGCGTTATAAGCGCTGCGACAACCTTCTCCTTTTCCTCTCGCAAGGCGTGAAATGCAGCCTGCTGCTTTGTCGCTGTGTCTTCCAATTCCTTCCCAAGCTGCAAGATCTTCTCTTTAAGCACAACAATTTCTTCCACCGCCCCAGAACGCTCTATCATAGCATGCTCTAAAGTTTTGCGCTGCGTATCTGCTTCCGCAACCTGCTGTTCCAGCGTCCGAACCTTCTCCTGCAACCCTTTTTCAGCCTCAATCCTAGCCTGCCTTACCGCCCCATCATACTCTTTCTTCATCGTATCCCTGCTCTTCTCTGCTTCTTCGCGCCACTGCCTCTCCAAGTCTAGCAGCTGTTGCCGTTCTTGCACCTCCTCCTGTGCCTCGACTAGAGCCTGCTTTGTCTCACCCAATGCTATTGCTAGGTCCTCGAGTTCCTGGATCTGACCCATAGCGGCATCAAGCGCTCGTTCGGTTTTAGTCTTGGACGTTTGAAGCGCTGAGTAGGCCTGTTGCAGAGTTGCAAGCTCCTCATGCGCTTTTCGAAGGGCGATCTCACGCTCAAGAGCTGCGGCGAGCTCCAATCGGACTGTACAGAGTTCATTCTGCAGTAGCGATAGTCGATCCTCCACAGAATCATCTTCCACGCCGTCTACGGTTTTTGTCGTAGCTGTAGTCGCAGTCGTCGTTGAGTCAGTAGATGCGTCTTCAGAAACACCTTCTTGAATCGTCCTCCTCGTTGAGGGGCTAGCGCCAGCAGCAGTAGCTTCCTTCTTTCTCTGTTCCTCGATTTCTGCGATCTGAGCCTGCAACCGATCCATCTTTTCGGCCATTGCCTTATTCGCCTCCCTCTCTTTCCCCAACTCTCTCTTCCAGTACTCCATTTGCTCCACAGTCTCCTCCTGGTCCTCTCGTGCTTGGTTCTTCTCCTTCAATACAGACTCCAACCGAGCCATGAGTTCTCTCAATGCTTGATCTTTGTCCTTGGTCGCGCGCTTCGGTTTGGCGACGGTTGAAGTAGGAGATGGAGTGGTGAGAGATGCTGTTGAGGTTGCTACTGTTGGCAGGTTGACAGTTACAGAGTCTAGAGATGGGTCTAAAGCACTGGCGGACAAGGAAGGTGGCTGAGGAGAAGATGGTGTGGAGATGAGATCGATGGAGTTGGGTTTTGTATCCACATCTGAAGAATGGTCGAGGTGGTGCACGGAGAGAGTGTCACTCAGACTTAGGGTGTCTGAGGATGCAGACAAATCCTTTTGCCGGTGCTTGAGACGATCGATTTCCTGTGTAGACATTTAAGCACGTGGATACATATCAGTATCTCTATTCTCTTGAATTGAAATGGATCTGTCGCCGCAACATTAATCAAAATCTTTGTTACCTCCAGGCGCAGCGAGAGCTGGTTACGTAAGTCCTGGATTAATGCCGCTTGCGAGACCGCCTCGGTATCCTTGGCAGCTCTCGTTTCTGTAAAGTTGTTGAGGCCGAATGGGAGGTGGAAAGGGCAGAGTGAGTTGGGCTTCTAGAATAGCATCGATGGATACTAACCACAATAGAGATGTGAACCAAATAATAAAAGCTGAATCCAGTATATCATGTACCTCGAAGTTCATCTGACAGGCGTTTTATTTCCTGCATCGACATCTAGTAATGAAAATGAACGATAACCCCCAGCAATGTTAGAAGACAGCGTATTTTGAAGTGGGTAAACGTTTATCGCAATAAGGTATCTCGGAAACCATACCTCACTCTTGCGAGCCATGTTCTGCATATGCGCCTGCAGCGCCTCGATGTCTCCCAGATCCTCGAGTGCTGTTGTCGCCTTGAGTACAGCTTCGGCCGCAATTTTCTCCTGCACGATTTTCTTGAATGCGCCTGCCAGATCTATTCCCCGAGAAGAAGGAGAATAGGAAGACTTAGTTCCTTTGGAACTCATACGTTCGAGAAAATGCATGGGGATCATCAATGAGCATAACCCATCAGCAGCGGATGAAATTGCAGCATAATACAGTCAAAGAGAAAAGAAGAAAATCAAGTGCGTGCCTCGTTGAGGTAAGAAAGCCGTCCTCGCCCTTTTAGCGTTCATATCGTCCTTCTTCCCCTTCATCATTATCATCACAGTCTGCTTCATCCTTATTTCGCTGCTGCTATTGTTGATGCTGCTCTTCTCCATTTTCATCTTCTCACCTGAGAATCTTGCCTCGTACCGCTGCAAGATCTCCAGCTTCTCAATCACATCCTCCGGAAGCCCATTCTCATTGAGTCCCTGATGCTGCACTTGCCCTTGCTGCTCTTCGTGCTCCCTCTCCTCCTGTGTTTCTTCCTGACCTTGTTTATCCTGCTGTAGTTGTTGTTCCTGTTTATGTACCGTCGATCCAGCACTTTGATACTGCTCCCGGATAGCCGCCAGGTCTGCTTTGTCCGGCGTCTCATCCTTGGGGTCCAGTGTCAATCTCTGCACCAGTTCTGCTAATTTACCACCGCTCACACTGCTGCCAAGGCCAACTATGTTTCCTCCTACGCCTGACCCTAATCCTGCGTTTCCAGAAACAATAAGGCTGGATGGAGATGACTGCGTGGCGGCCTGTTGATGCTGGACAGGTCGCCGAAAGAACAATGAGGATGAAGAAGCTGTAGATGCGACACCGCCACTGATTCTTGACGCAAGCGAAACAAAAGACGAGGCTGTGGGTGGTGGTCCCTGAGCCAGAGGAGTAGACGACGGCGTTGGCGAATGTGGCGAGGCTAACGAAGTCAATGATCCTGCTTTATCGTCATGAATACCCTCAGCTCCGGCCGCGTGGGTGGTGTCTGGTGTCCCTGGTATCGTTGCTTTTATGGACGATGGCGGCGTGGGTGAATTGGCAGCTGTGGCACTGGTTGAGACGCCCTTCTCATGCAGGTTCGAAAGACCTGTATTGAGGCGCTCTTTGAAGGACGAGAACATGGCAGCGAATTAAATTGAGGAGGACGAGGTGGGGCGCCGCTCCTTCTTTCCGTCCCTCCTTCCTATGTGCACGTTCAGATAGATGGTTCCTGCAGGATCAACTGACTGGTCCTGCTATTTATCCTGGATATTAGTAGACTTGATCAGTACTATTGTATGATGCTTGGTCTCTAGTACCCTGAATTGGGTTCCCGAGGAATTGGCTCGCTGATCTATGGGAGTGTGGAGGTGGTGGTATGAGACAACTGGTGTGTGACACGGTTTAGCTTCACTACTTAGGGGTTAACCCTTACCTCTCACAGAAAGGAATGATGAACAAGGGCGAATCGCCGGTTCGAGTGTAGATGAGAGAGAGAAAAGTGGTTCCTTTATATGGGGCAGCCCGAGACCTCGGTTCTGCACTGTTTGTTCAAGAAGTAAAGTGGCGACGGAGGTTCAGGCAAGAATAGAAAAACGCGGTGTAGGCTCAAGATAATGAGGGATGGTTATTTTAAGAGTTGCTGATGACAGTTAGTTGTTAGTTAGATGAAGGAGGGGAAGGCGGTGAGGGATGGGGGGTGAATAGGGTAGATGGAAAGAAAGGATGACTGATGACTGAATGAACGAAAGAGGAAGGAGAGAAGACGAGGGGCTGTGGAGGAGGGAGGTTGTGGAGGGGAAGAAGCAGCAAGCACAAAACATGTGCATGTACGACTTCCCGCTTCGCCATGGGCGTAATGTGTGTGACTCCATACAGCTCTTGTTTCTTTTCGCCCTATTTACCACCTGTTGCGGAAAGTCCAGATCCCTCTGATTCTTCCTAATTTTCTGCTCACGAAGTTATTTTGATCGATCCTTTTGCTCAGTTGAGCATCCACAAATCAATATTTGAATATCTACTAGTAGCGTCTGCATCCAATTCAGAGGAATACGCATATTATTAATACAACAAGCAAAGCAAGTAAAGACATAAAGACTGTAACTTACAAATTGTTCATGGAACTTTCAAGCCCAATAAATCGTATTGCTCCAGCGATGTCCTCGCGGCTCCTACTGTAGTTTGCATGTGGTGACTGATGCGCTGGGGCCTGCTGGCGTCTGACGCTTCTAGCCCTGGCAGAAATGACCGGACCTAGGGCTGCTGCTGTTGTTACAGAACTTTGCAGAGGCTTGATCCTGTAGCCGCACTTGGCATACACGGGCTATGTTCTCGCTTCCCACTGCATCGCGATCGAACAGGACATGGCACCCGGGACAATATTTTGTACGAAACGGCAGCTTGACCAGAAACCGGTTACAGTCCAGACGGGGACATTTTGCGTTTGTATAATACTCGTGTGCTCCCAGCACGACGTATCCCAAGCTCTTTGCCTAGATAGTACAGACGAACACGGGAGTATACATTGGACGCGCATTAGGACTTACTCTGATGATACAGTCACGGTTTGAGTGTTGAATGAACCCAGGCCAAAGCAAAGGACTAAATTATCCTCAATTAGCTTCCTCCGACCCTCCGGTCCACCCGCCATGCTCAAGATACCCTTGATGGAGTAATCCAAACATGCAACCTACGGTTTTTTGTGTCCAGAACATTGATTTCGCTGTTAATGTCGGTGGTGCTCAGAGAATTGCTACTACTACTACTACTACTACCGTCGCTACTGATGGTGCGTTCCAGGCGAGCCTTTGCCTTTTCAGTGGTCATATCGCCGTCAATGTGAATCCTGCAGAGCCCAAAAGTCTCAAACAGCTTCTTCCCCAGGATGTGACCTACTTCGAGCACACGACCTTCGTTATAGTTCTTGATCATCAAGCGCACCATTTCCGAGTAAAATGATTCAAGGAAATTCACCTCAAACTGTGTGTTCGCCAACGATTTTGGATCGACGAAGCTTGGCGGGGCCCACGCTTTTTCATTTCCTGGTACAAGGAAGTAAACCCATCTAAAAATTACTTGTACTTTATGAGTATCCTTTCGACTTTTCTTTCTTTCTGCAACAGGATAAGGTCCTCGCCAGAAAGTGCTGAAGCTAATATGATTTTTCAATTCATTATGTTTGCCATCAGTCTGCCTTCATCCTCATTCTCATCCTCGCCTCTGCAATAAAAAGTGGATTATCAATTCGGGGAAGCCTCACGTCAGCGTTAATGTTCTTTATCTTTTTCGTTAGCAAGACAAATACATATGTCGAACGTCTTGTATGACAGCGCCAAAGGGTCTGTAGCGGAAAAGAGCGAAGCGAGTGAGATGTGTAATAGAAACTCGGTTAGAGCAAATGGCTAGGTGCTTTGTTCTTTTCGTAACGAATTATTCCGCTACAGAAAGATAGGGTTGTTTACCAAGGACGCGACAGTTAGTAGCGTCAGATGAGGTTCAGATTTGAACGGCTTTTAGTCGCTGACTGCGAACAACCGCGGGAAGGATGGCAAGTAGAAGGATATGCAGAGTAGGCGAAAGCAGCGACAGTCGATAGAGAGCAGAGCAGACGGAATGATTTCACAGTGCGCTGTGCTACGCGTCACCCCAAACCTTAAGCGCACATGTCAAAGCTCCATCTTCAAGAAAATAGGTAGCGCGAAGTATTCAAAGAGGGAAAACGAACACGGTTTATTTGGATGGTAGAATGGAGCCTGGAACACGCCATGAATAACAGTGGCCCCTTACTATATCTTAAATGTTTGCCCAGTCATGGATCTTAGGATCCACTTCTTGTCTAGTATCCAACTTTACACGAACCTTCTTCCAATCCTGTCCATGATTAGATATGGGTTTGTTAGTCCTTGATTCTCCGGGTTGAAGATGTACTAGTTTGAGATCCTAATTAAATCGTTGTGCAGACTTGAGCTCATTGTTAGCTCCGTGCCAATGTCGACCAACCACTTTACGAAAGGTCGGTTGAGCGGATTTCCCTTATTCGCATGTTTCCCCTAAATCACAATGTCTGTACGTGCGGCCGGTCTTTCAAGAGTTCTTGAGGCAGGCGTCCTCGACCTGGCCAGAGGTTCTTCGAGGTGCTACTGGTAAGCCTTGACGGTAATCGACTCCAAAATATGATAATCTTCCTACCATACTGGATGACCGGCTTCTGTATGGTGTCGTGAAATGAGGCATCTACCGCTCCAAAGATATGTCGGTGGTGCAATGCTATCTCGTTCCTAAAGATAGCCTCTACTTCAGGTTTGTCTCTATAGAGGCATCAGCTATCTGGTGCTCCGCTAGAGACGCATCAGCAACTGGATCCTTCTCCTCCTTCTTCAAATGCCATATTATCATTTTTTTGGGAAGCATGGACAACAAATTTCCTCTTCTTCTCAGTGTTACCAGCCTTCTTGCGCTTGACTCGAGATGTACAAAGAGCCAGAAAGGAGGTTTTTCACTGGCCATTCTCAAGGATTGCACTTGATGAAGCACCGCTGGGTTCGTAAGGTGCAAACAAAAGAAAAAGAAGAATGAGATAAGTGCACCTTAGACTAAGCAGCCACTGTGTTTGTTGTGGTGCGAAATGAGCGAGCGACGTGGTGACATGAAATATCTTTTCGGGCATGTATAGTAGGTCTGACGGTCACGGTTTTTCTTGCACTATTCGCTCTTGGGCATGTTGAAGGGGTTCAAAGTAGGATGGCGGCAGGCAGCGGTGATAGAGACAGACAAAGAGAGAGAGAGTGGATGAGAGAGAAAGACAGAGAAGAAATATTCTTTATTTTTTATTTTCCTGGCCCTCGGGCATGAGGGAGAGAGGTCTACGCGACATGGTAGAGCATCCTCTACGTGAAAAAATGTAGAGTTGCCGCCTAATTATGGTGGCTTATACCTTGCTTGCTTTATTATATAGTGGAGTTATTTCTAAGATGCCGGGTTAAGAGTACAATAAAGGCGATAGGGACTCTCACATGGAACACATGTCATGCTGATAGACGTTGTCGTCCTCAACTGTTGACCTCCGTGTCCACACAAATGAGCCCAAAACGACAAACATGCCCAGTTGAGCCGCTACGATCGAGACGAGTCCATAGATATACGATGACCTCCGTGGTAAAGTCTTTAGCTCCAATACGAATGTTGAAATTGTAGTCAAGCAGCCTAGCAGTTCACATTGACCAAAAAAGATATCTTCATTAGGTTGTCTTCTAAATAAGCCATCGCAGAAGTGCGTTGACATGTACTGTATTTACCACAGAACCCATCCTGCAGTCCGCTCAGCACTTGGCAGGCCAGTGCACTCTTGCCTCCAGCGACTGGACTATGTTGCAAACAAACAATCACTGCTAAGAACATCGACCCTCCTATATTCGCTGCGAATGTACCCAGAGGGAACTTCTTCATTCGTGGGTTGAGCCGTGAGAGATACCATCTCAAAATGGCTCCCGGTGGCGCAAAACATATCGCCAGGACTACGTGCCGCCATGATGACTGAGAGCCCTCTGGTGTAAAGATGGCAGCCAGAATCATGCCGATCCAGATAATAATAGCTGACGATACGATAACAGCATCAAGGACTGTCCAGTGAGTGGGTGGGAGCGGGCGAATTGGGTCCAACGTTTGGGTTGGTGCTCGTTTGAGTTGAGCTTCATCCTTTGTTGCGGTTGCCTGGGTATCCTGTGATGGTGTTGTAGTAGATGGTACAGATGCAGCAGGTGGTGCTTCTGTACGGATGTGTTGAAGAACAGCCTGTCCAAGATGTGCTCCCATTTGCAATCCTGACATCGATACAGCCAAGGTGACAATTAACTCTGAAATGCCTGATAAAATCTATACGTACAAAGATGTTCTGTCAAACACAGTGCTCCAGATCGCACAACAACATAGCCGTTGATCGTTATACACACTCACATTTTGTAGCACATGGCGCTGGATCTTGGACGGGTTGATTAGCTCTACAAAGACCCCCAAGCTCCACGATGAGAAGGTCGTAATCGATCCGCACAGTCCTGACGATAGTGCTACATAGATAAACGCTCCAATCCAATGCCCTTTCCTTCTGCTCCTATCCTTGACAAAGCCTTCCTCGATCCACGCCCTGGTCGTAACAAACAAACCCATAAGCACACATCCAATGAACTGCGGCCATGCTAGCGCAAAGACCTGCTGTCCCGAAAACGTCTCGATCGATACCAACCCCAAGCGGATCAAAAGTCCCAGGATTGAAAACGGAACAATCAATGAAGGCAGGAGAATCGGCGCCCTTTTAGGCAGCTCTCGTGCTGCAGCAGCCGGTTTGTGCGTATCTGATTCTGTCTCACTCTCTGCATCCGTTGCCGGCAGCTCTGCACCTTCTTCAATTTGCAGCGAGGACGAGGACACTGACTCTGATTTCCATCGGTTATTCAGCTGTTGTTGCAAACGCTGAGATCCTGAATAAGACGCACGGTTTCTCTCCAAACTCTCTGTGTCTGTTGGCGGCATCTCCGCACCTTCTTCAATCTGTAGTGAAGCCGTGGACGCTGATTTTGAATCCCATGACTCATCTGACTGTTGCCGTGAGCGTTGAGATCCTGAATGAGACACATGCTCCTTCTGCTCCATGGGATTTTGGCGCTGGGTCATGTCTATGTAGGTTGCACTTCTGCTGTCTTCGCTCATGTTGGCAAGGGATGGAAAAATAAGCCCGGACTGCAAGTGACCATGTTCCAAAATGGTACTATTCGAGCACGTGCCTGTTTTCCCGTCCTGTTTTAGTAACGACGCATCATCATTGTTCCCCTCTCTCCCTCTGTAGTTCACCAGTCATCGATTTACTTCTTTCGCACAGATAAATGGAAGGATGTATCCGAACTTTTCTTGGTAGTTTTAGTGCCTTACTAAAGAAGCTCTTTGACAGACTTCTACAGAAAGTGACACCAGGCTGTGCAGGTATGAGAGTCCGGGCACAACATCACCCAGTGCTTTATGGAGAACTGACTGGGCTGAAGCAGCGATACAAGATGGGAAGGTCAACTGGGACTTGTACAAGCTGGTGCGTTTCGGCAAAACCATATTGGATGCGGGAAGCAAGATTACGCCCCTTCTCCACAACAAGGGCTGATACATGCGGATATTATTCAGCGTAGCCGAATAAGCATGATGACTAAAGCCTGTTATTCGCAAGATGGGACCCAAACTGTGTGTAGCTTTTCTTTTATCAGAGCCGGAACTCATTCTTCGAAAGCACTGATCCATGTCTTCGAACGATGAATTCTGATTCTGATATGAAGAAAAGATAAGAGTTCCGAGGTGTCGTGAATCCCGGAAATATATCGCATCCAAGCGAATCCAGTGCATTTCGGGCGTAAACTACGTCACCGAAGTGAAATAGGTGCCCTCCTTAATGCACCGAATTCAGCAATATGGTGTGTGTTTCCGGACACACAAAAAACTAGTCTTAACTATGATACTAAAACTCTTTTGCTTTTTTCCCGGGCTTTCTTGGCTTGTTCGATACAGATGGTGTCCTCTTGCGACCACGGGGGAGAGCACCGGTGCTTGTACTGGCGCTGGTCGTTGGTGCACTGCTGTTGGTGTTGCTGGTGCCAACTGTGGAAGAGTTCATGTTTGGGTCCTCCTGCCAAGGGTACCGTCCATCGGCCGTCTTGGGCTGTAGGTAAAGAGGTCGTTCCTGCTTCTCCAGGTGTCCTCTGACAATCCTGGACATGTTCTCAGCCGCCATCGCATCTCTGTGGTGATAATGCTCGCAGTGTGGACAGTTCAGTTCGCGGAGGGTCACCTGTGCCACAAAGTTTTGGCAATCAGGGCACTTTTTTGAGGTATAGTACTCGTTGAGTCCCACAACAATATACCCCAATGACCGGGCCTAGATTTTTTTTTAATAAATTGTGTCAACCCTTCTCTACATATGTCAAACATTTGAACACTTTGCAATCATGATAAATAGCATACATACCAATGGGATAAAGTAGTCCAGGAAGGTTGAATGGAGGGACGAAATGCGCCCTGTACTCTTGAACTGACCAAGACCAACGCCAATCAAGACTGGATTGGCTGGGTCCCGGGGATGGCCAATGCTTCCGCCTACGATACCCAACAGACTCGCCGCAATAGCCTGGTATTCTGCTTGCTTCGCCCTGTCCCAATCCCAACCATGCTTTTTGAATCTGTTGTTGGATCCAGCATAGAACTCCAAGAGTCGTTCTCCTGCTGGACATTTCGACTCCTCCTCCTCGTCGTCATCCTCTGGGCCTTTCTTCTTTAGTTCAAGTGCCTCCCAGTACTTGGTGATGCTCGCGCCTGGACCCCGAAGTAGTGGGAAACGAGACTCCATTTCCGAAATCGACTCTGGTTGATTGCCCTCCTTTGAGTTTTTTTCTTTCTCAAGCCATCTCCTGTAACGAAAAACAGGTTGCATAACTGCCTTTTGATTCACCGCGAGGTTGTAGTGACCGTCGGGATCCTCAGGTAGATAGGCATACGCACCAACCACGAACGCTTGACCAGCATCGAGTGTCAGGATCTTGATATTGCTTGGATTGACTCCTGGCCACAACTGTTCGATGTCCTCCTCGGTCCAGATCACGTTACGAATCTCTTGAAGGTAGTAGTCTGTGCCTCCGACTGTCGACACGATCCTGAGCGGCAGACGATCGTCTGGTAACCTCCTATATCGTACAGATTGCAGCTCCTTCAACTTGAAGGTCGACAGGTACAATCCCAATCCATCTTTCATTAGGGATCCCCTCGAGATATACCCGTTCTCGACGTAGTCTCTTGGCTGGAATCCAGGTTCCTCAAGCTGTTGCAAGTGCTTCTCGAGTTTCTTGAGGGACCGTAGTTTGATTTTGGCTCGGCGACCTGCTCTTCGTTTCTGGCGACCCTTCAGGCCTTTAAGATCGATATCGGCGACAAAGTTCTTGATCAAGAACCCGGGCTCTTTCTCGCCCATCCATCTGTAGACCTCGTCGGTAGAAGCATGGAATCCGTCCTCGGTTGCCAGATCTATAAGCCTCTGCTTAAGCGCTCCACCTCTCTTGAAGAAGAACCCAGCCAGCTCTCTCTCAGAGAATCCGACATACGGTTGCTTGGACGACGTCATAGGGATAGTCCTTCTGGGGTTCGGAGACAACTTGTTCAGAGTCAGGTAGTTCTCGATGGCCGAGAGATCCCCCCGAATCTGGATTTCCGCGTTGGGCTTGCCCAGCTGCCTTTGATTGGCCCTCTTCATCAACTAAAAATTGAGAAACACGTTGTAGAGCCAATGAACACCTGTATTGATGACATGCCACTTCAAGTCTTACCATCTTGTGGAGATCGCAGGTTCCAGTCTTGTACATTCGTTTAAGCTCAGCTTTCAGCTGTCCGACTACGGATCGCACTAGGTCCTTGGCATTCTTTCGTTGATCTCAGCCCAAGTCCGCGGCGGATTGTACAGATGAAGTTCTTCAAGACGCTTGATGAACTTGACGACCTCCTGTTTTGCTGGGATGTTGCCAGAATACAGATAAACAAGAAAGCTTGAAAGGAAATGCCGCTGCGCTTGGTCACTCCCGCCTGATCCTCCCATATCGGTGTCATCCTCCTCAACATTGCCCTCATCCTCCTCGTCCTCGTCCTCGTCCACAATGCCAGCAATCCGATCCCCATCCTCGTCTTCCTCCACGGCATCATCGGCGTTGTTCTTGACATCCTTCATGGTGACTCGCGGACATATCAGATCGAGAAAGGTCCGATCCTGAGCATCCAGTCCCTCAAGTCCTTTTTCGACCAGGCGTTCTAAGTATTTCCCAATCAACATCTGGGCCTTGCGCTTGATGCGAGCCGCCTCACTTGCAGCATCCAAGAGGGCAGACTTCACCTCGTATTGGAGACTGTTTTGGTTGGGAAGAGCTTGCTCGATATTGGCGGATAGAGTGCCGATGTGCAGAGAGGTCATCGGGTGCTGGTAGGCCAACATCCTAGTGATTTTCAACTTGTAGGTTTTCGCTGTTGAAGTTGATAACGATTTTGGCGCAGGCTTTTGCTTGTGCTTTGGCTTCGGTTTCTCAGTCTTGGGTTCAGGCTCCTTGAAAGGCTTCCAGACGTATTGTTTCATCTTTGCTGGCGGTGATCGCCGTTTCGTTTTAGTCCGATCTTGTCGTTTAAACGAGTATCGAGGGCAGTTTTTCTTGGGAACTCGGGTTCATGGCAAAGCAGAGTGACCGACTTCTTCCTGAGGTGAAGACGGACCTTGGGTCGTGGTTAAAGCAAGCTGCTGTGTTTGTTGGGTGACCGCGGCGAACTGCTGTGATTGCTGTCCAGTAGCTGGTTGGGAAAGGGAAGAAACCTGAGAGTCCGTCTGACGATCCTTAATGAACATCGGCGACTCCACAGCCTTGAAACGGTTCGGTGTCTGGGGTGATCTCAGGCGCACGATTTGCACGTTGGTTGAGCTAGTTAATTTGAAAAAAAAAAAAAAAAAAAATCAGTCAAGCAAGTCTCTACAGACAACATGGAATAGAGCAACCACAACAAAAATAAAAATATTACCTCCTTTGAGGCGGACGACTTTTCTTGAGCTGCTCGTAACGGGAGCAAAGGTCTCTGAACCTGTCCCAGAGATTGTTGAAAGACGGGCCTGCTGGAGTGGAGGTTTGGGAGACAAGAGTCTGCTTCTTATCGACAAAGACCCGCAAGGATACATGAAAATCCTCGTTTGTTGTGTTCTTGGTCGAGACCTTGATGTGGTTCAGATAGGCGGCCACAATAGCCTCTGTGTCTGAAGAAGAAACAAAAAAAAAAAAAAAGATATTTTTCCTGTTACATTGTTCCAAGACCATAAATCATAATTGCTCGTCTTATTTTTTTGTTTGAGCTTACTGGGTGCATCGAGGCTCTTGATAATGGAGAGGTTTGTTGCTGGTCCCAGGGAATATATATTGCGGTTGTAGTCGTTCGACGACACCACCGCAAGGGCCGTGAGTTGAGTTCGAGTCAATCCAAGTAGCCGACAAACATCGTTGAGCTTGTACTCCAGGACCAAGCATTTAGAGATAGGACGCCAAAGAGTCAAGACAGAATCATAGCCCAACATGTCGCTGTCAGCAGAAATTACGACATCCTCTGGCCCACAATCAAACGCGATCGCGACATCCGCCTCTGTCTCACAAATGCGTACTGACCAGCCGGCCTGCTGAAGGTACCCGATGAATGTTTGACGATCCTCCAAAGACCAGTAGAAAGTGGCCGAGAGACTTTTCCTAACGTCAACGAAGTGGCGTCTTCGCGGCTTGCTGCCGTCCTTGATGATGCTTCCGAGCTTGTCGAGGCTTTCAGTACATTTGGAGGCAGCCTTGCTCCGAGATTCCTTGCGCTGCTTCGCCGTCTCCTACTTCTCTAGTGCTGGCCCGCCGTCGATGTACAGGACCAGGTTCGTTTTAGAGCCAAACCCCAAGACATGCTGTTCAAGCCTTGCATGGGCCTTCTCTGCGGTACAATGGGCATAGGCGTTTTTGATGACGCCGTAAAAGGACAACACGTCGACGAGACCTCTCCGACTGCCCAGGGCAGACACTATCGCCGACCTGTGTATCACCCGAGGAGAATAGCCTTTTCTTCGTAGAAAAGCGAATCCGTCTTTTAGGCCCATTGTCGTTTACATGAGAAATAGAGAGAAGTGATGTAGAAAGTGAGTCGAGAGATTAATAAATTCGAAAGTTTGTGTGAGATAATGTATGCGTGGGGAAGTGAATGAGAGGGTGTGGAGCAGAGATATCAGAGGATTGATTTTTTTGGTGAGATGCTGTCAATTATGAATATTTTGTTAAGCAAAACTCCTGTAGTTGACAGCGTCCCACCAAAAAAATCAATCCGCTGATATCTCTGGTGTGGAGAAAGGGGTGCATGTGAAGACCACCAGGAGTTTGAAGTGACTACTTCTTGTTGACTTTACTTTTGCGCCTCTATTCTATTGACCCAAACCTCTCCCTGTCTTCCTCTCTCCCATCGGTTGCCCCTGCATTGCCATTCCTCTCTTGTTCTTATCTTCACCATCTACACCTGTTGTCACTGCATTCAAGGATGGGTGGGCTCAAAGTGAAAGACATTTTCATCGATCCCAGCGATTTCAAACCTCGAGATCTCGTTGTGCCCAACCCATTCCCGCGTGAACAGGAGGTGTGGATGGTTAGATTTACACCGGAAGACTTCAAAGCCTTCTGGTTTCAGGAACAAACCGCCATTCAATTTGTTCCCTGCTCCGAACGAGGACCTAATCGCGACATCCGAAAACAGTCCGGCGACACTCTCCTCCCTCTCCATATCACCATTCCTGGTACTAACGGTAGACCAAAGATCTATGACTGGAGCTTCCGCTTTCAATGCAGAAGACACGGTCCTCCCAGACCCTTGGCGATCGACCGGCCATCTATTGGCATTGGATGTCCTGTTGAGATCCGGATGAAAAAACCTGTCGGCATGGATGCGGTGCTCGTGGATTACCGGTGGCAGCACAGCCATGACCTTTCGGCCCAGACCTTGTCAAATATGCCTATGGGCGCGAATGAACGCAGCTGGATCAAGCTGAAGGTGGCTGAGGGTAGCGACTGGAAGGGGATACGAGCTATGTTGCGAATGGATGAGAATTCGATGTCAGAGGTCCAGTACCGTTTTTATGTTATCATGTTATATTGAGTCGAGCCGTTGTCTCACAACTTCTCATTACTATCTCTTGGCTCCTTTGTCCTTTAACAACACATAGATCGAAGAGAAGAAATCTGGCGGCATTGTCCCTCCTGCATTTTGCCTGTCATACGAGGATGTGAGAAAGACGGTGTATCGTCAACGGATAAAGAAATCTCGGAAATCATTAAATACGACGGCGAGCGTGCAGACCTGGATCGAAACTATCAAAGAAGACGGAGGTAAAGGGACGTTTATTGACGGGATTGCCGGAGACGCGGATCTTTACATGTTTGCTTGGAGTACCAAGTTCCAACTTAAGGTACCCTTTTTTGGAGGCAAGAACGTGATATTCTCGATCTTTTACTTATTCTATACTTTTCCTTCAATGATTTTAAGGTCATGAGCGACAGCACTAAAATCGAGTGTATGGACTCAACACACAAAACCGTCAAGTCATTGAAGCCAGATCCAAAAAACGGTGAGATTCGCCTCTGCGTATCTGTTAACTCTTTTGGTGAAGGATGTGAAGACACAATTGGGTGTGCCGGTTGCGTTCATGGTATGCAATTCTGAATCAACGTAAGTTCCGCCGTTTGGTACAAAGTGTGCTTTCTTTCATCTTTTCAAAGGAAAAAAAATAAAAACTATCAGGTTTGTATTATGCTCGGCTGACTCACATTCCCTCGTGTTTTATTTCCTTAATTGCAATAGGGATGTTCTCAGTACCTGGCTGACTTGGGTCAAAGAAGAGTGTGGCCTAAACCCTTCGAAGTTTATGGTGGACTGCTCTGTCGTCGAGACTGAGGCTCTCAAGCAAGCATTTCGTTCCTTGGATATTTACTACTGCAAGTTTCACGTTGATCAAGCTTGGGAACGGAAAATGCGTCAACTTCACAATGTAAGTGTAACTGGCAAAGGAAGAATCCCATGTCGGCCGGAGACGTTCCATTATTCCATTCGTCCTCTAATATTTCCTACTCAATCTCTTTTGGTCTGCTCCAGGTTGCAGAAAGCGATGCCATGCGGAAATCATTGAACGGGATCCTTAACGCTCTGTCAGACGAGGACCGAGGACTGAAGTGGAGAGTGTTCACAACCAATTTTTCACCATCTGCAGACGCTTTTATTATCTATCTCGGGAAATGGATGGAACCAACAAGACTTGTGAAATGGGCTCTATATCTTCGATCGGTGAGCATGGACGGGTCATTTGAACTCTGCCAAAGTGTTGTGGTGATCCAACTTTGCTAATTTTTTTTCATATTTTATTTTATTTTTATAATATGTTCATTTTTTTTTTTTTTTTTTTGATGGCTTCGTTAGGATTACCAACACAACGATACCAATAATTTAGTCGAAAGCTGGCACAAGACGCTCAAATCACAGTACCTGGGAAGAGAACGGAATTTGCGTCCAGATGACCTTGTACACTTGTTGCAAGGGGTTGTGGATATTGACTTTAGAACCCTCTACTTCAAAAGACTCAACAACATGATCCCGCAGAAACTGTCCTCATACAACGTAAAGGAGAAAGCAAAGACAGACGCTGTTGACTTCAACACTGCTCAGACTATGGTCATACTAAACACAGACGAACAAAAGGTATATCCATATCGCCGGTCTCCAGAGCCCTGGACAATGGTCTCAACGGCATTTTATTAACATTCCTATTTTACCTAGTTCAAGGTCCAGTCCTTCGCTGTTATAGACAATCCTATAACTGTCAATAGAGTAACCAGCGACACGTATGACGTCCGTACAGACGAAGAATTCGCCATCATTGCTGCCTGTCACCGCAACTATTATGCTCAACATCAGGCGCCGTGCAAACATATGTATTTAACCGCAAGGGTCTATAAGGGCATGGAGATTTCTTATCAAGGAGAGCCTTACGAAATTGACCACTTACAAGTACAGGCCGACCAGAATGATTTTGATCCTTCATCTGATTCAACACTTCCACCGTCTTTGGAGCAAACCCTTCCACCAGCAATCCTTCTTCTACTTCATAGGCAAAGGGCAGGAAAGGCGGAACAGAAAAGAATAGCCAGAGAAAAAGAACAAGAGCAGGAGCTTCAGGATCTTGAGGCCGATCTGAAAAACATGATATCGGGGATCGTCATTGCCACTGGCTCAACAAAGAAGAGGAAATGTACGCTTGAGTACTTCCAGACCACAATTGCAGGAGTAAGGAAGATCTTGCTTGAGGTGAAGGGCCTCAATGCTGTCCAGGCGGGACAAAGATGTCAGAAATAAATGTGCTGAAGCAGCTAGCCGTTGTCAAACAGGACAAAGATTGTGTTCCAAAATAGGATGGTCCTTATTGCCACCCTTAAAAAACTTATTTCCGTCCAAAAAGTCTGCCAATCAGGAGGTTTACGCCTGAAAAGTCCTGCTTCCATCCAAGCCGCATACGTAAACGAAAAAGTTTGACGTGTGCGTACAGTGTAGGGAGGGGAAACAGTCCTCCGTTCTCTGTTCACAGCCTTGCAGGGAGATCGAAGGGGCGTTTCCATCTGCCTTGTGCCTCCCTCCTGCATAAACTGTGTATTGCTATCTATATGATCCGCATCCGTCTGCGTGGAATGAACCCGGCCGCCCATACATTCCTTCTAAGCGGATTCAAATGCTAGCCATATAAAAAGGAGGGGACTAGACCAGACTAGACCAGCTTAAACAAACTCTTTTTTTCGTATCGCCAATTTTACCCCACGCAGGTTGCCCCACCACGCACAGACCAAGCACTCCACACACGCAAACCATGCGCTCCACACTCGTCATCTTCGCTCTGGCCCTCTACACCATAACTCTCTTTTTCACCCCCTTGGTCCATTCCGAGGCCGCACCAATGCTCGGATCTCAGAGCAGCCCGAACGAAAGTCGCATCCGTAAATGTCTTGACAGCTGTCGTACTAAAGCCAATAACGAGTACTCTGTCTGTTCGAGTACCTCTCGTGGAAGCCAACAATGCGAGTCTCGACTAAATAGCCAGCTGCAGAAGTGTGGTGCGATGTGCCAATAAACAACTCTCTCTCTCTCTTTCTCTTTCTCTGACTGTTTCTTAACGATGGCAACAAGCACGAAAAACTGCCCTGTTTTTGACATGGCTTTTTTTATCGCTGACAAATTGCTAATCTTATAAACGAAATACTTTTTATTACTTTCTCGCAAGTATAACAAGCGTGTGCAAATCTCAAGTTCAACACTGTCATATCATAAAAAAAGGGATTAGGAAGAAGAAAAAAGACAGAAAGAAGCAAAGGAAACGATTTGAATGATGCAAATCGTTTTAAGGACGACAAATGCAAACTTGAGCCATATTTCTAAATGAAGTTCTATAGAGTACACAATAATGCTCGCAAAAAAAATATAATCCTTCACAACTGCTTCTTCCTCAAGATCTCCGATAGCCGATGCAACGACATCCCTCCTGTCGTCTGCTGCGCCGGCTGCCCATCCGGTCCAATAACGCCCTCCGTCCCCGGCACCACCACTCCCTGCTCTCGCCTCGCCTCCAACTTATTGACAGCTTCGTCCTCGCTCAGCCCTTCAAAATCGATCATCCGCTGAATCTCATTGATGATCCTCAACCGTCTCGAAAAGAAGTTCGCCGCCGAACTACTCGTCCTCCAGCTCGGTCCGAACTGTGCTTCCAGCTGCCGTATACTCGGGTTCCCAGATCCGAGGCCCACAGTCCATTCCTTCCACAGTTCTGGTACAGTGTTGACCTGTCGGTTCATCACATAAATTGGTGGTGGCCCCTCTTGTTGCTGGTGTTTCTTCGAATGCATCGCATGATAATTATCTTGCTGATGCTGCTGTGTGATCGGTTTGACATCTTCGTCCTTCTGGTCACGGTAGTTGCTCAATTGCGGTTGTTGCTGCTGCGGATGCGTATGTAGATCATACTCATGATACACTCGAGAGTCATTGCGCTGGTATTGGTGCTGTGAAGACGAATATTGGCTTGAGACCGAGTCCTGGTTCCTGCAGTGCCGTCCACGGTAGCCGTGATTGGTGTTCGATTGAAAATAGGGCGAGTAGTGGTGCTCAATACCATGCGAGTCGAATGCAGCGGCGGAGGACTCATCTTCAGGATGCTGGAATATATGGCCCTGTTGCTGCTGATGGAACATCAGATATTCATCGTCCAGATAGGGCACCGAACGCGAGAGCTGAGATGTATGCGAGTACTTGTGTCCGCGAATCGAGCGTGAATGCTGTCTGTAATGTGCTGTCTGACTCTTATGCATGTCTACCGTACCGTACTGGATCGAGATCGATGAGCCATCCTTTAAGGGCGCCGATGTGTCTGAGACCGCGCCACTGAACGACTTGGAATACGTCAGAGATGCTGACGGCGGGACTGAGGCCGACTGAGGTGGCTGAGATTGCGCATGAATATGGCCTTCACCCCCTGGTACGTTGTTACTGCTGTCATGACTAGCTGTCAGTGCCAGGCTCCCCTCCCGTGCGGTCGCACCAGAGTTTGTCCTTGGTCGCGGGGGTGAGCATGAACGCGCTTGCTTGATGTTCTCTCTGATGAGTGCTCCCGGTCCACCCATACTGCTACTCCGTTTTCGATTGCGGATCGGCGGCTCAAGCGATATAACCCCCAAGGACTCCCCCTGTTGAAAATCTACATGCTGTGGAGAGTGGTGAGAATATGGCTCATACTGTATGATCTCCGAGTGTGAACGTGCACCTAAATGCGGACGGTGCAAGAGGACATGACTGCGAGGAGGATGGATCACCTCGCCAGGGGGAGAAGGCGATAGGGGACGTTGGAGTCGACGTCTCTGGAGGTAGGTTTCATCGTGATCCCACGACCGCAGTCCCCTCTCTTTGTCTCGCAAAAGGTACCGAACTTGCTCCTGTAACTGCGAAATGACGAGAGTAGTATCCCGATGCGACCGCTCTAGCTGGATCAATCGCTCCAGATGATCTTGTTGCCGTTGTGTAGCTGTGGTTCCGTTGAAATCATGTGTGGCCAGGAGCGCAGGCGGTAGAGATGAAGTTTGGAGTTGATCTCGCTCGATATTTCCTGGCGAGGTTTCTTTCACTTGAGGCTGCTGTTGCTCCCAGAGTTGCAGGATGGGTTTAACGTATGTTTGGACCATTGGTTTCGGTTCTGAGGAGAGCTCCATTGGTAGGATGACGGCGTTCAAGTATTCCAAAAGCAGTCGAGGCGTGATCTGAGGGTTGGTCGAATTAGCTTTGTTTTGTTGCTGTGCAATCCATTTCTTTGGAGAGGCAGGGAAGAAAATCAGGTGGTTGAGTGGGTTAGGGGTTGTCCTTCTGATGGGAAGTGTGGCTGCTTGACAATGAGCGCAAATGAGGGGCTAACTTACGTGCCACAGATCGAGGCCTTCTTCGTTGGTATGGCCATTGTTGCGGTGATCACTCGCCCCCAACGGCTGTGCACATGAGGGAGACGATATGGGGGCAGTCGAACCATTGTTTGAGGGTTGCTGTTGCTGCGGGAAATCCTCTTTGCTCTTGGTGTTACAAAAGCCTAGATCTGGCTGCTGGGCGGTTACAGAAGGTGCTGTGTCAACATCGCGGCCTGATGCCGGTTCCATTTGGATATCGGTGATTGTATCGCAGGCCTTGTCTTCGATGGTGATCCCAAGGCGTACCACATCTGCGTCTTGAGAGCGGTGGTGTTCCTTCACATGGACCTTGCGCCGTAGTAGTTCGCCGTCTTCTTTGTCTTTGTCCTGCTTGCTGTGGTCATATGCATTGGTGTGGTTGTATATGTGAGTGTGGTCATGGAGAACTGGGGATATCTTTTCAGCCTGACGTGTGTGGGCAATTGTGGCACCTTGATTGACCCTCATAGGGAGCAACGAGGGAGCGCTGATAACGAGGGGTATGGTTGGAACAAGAAGTGGGAGCTGTCAGTCAGATAGGGGAAGGTGGAGAAAGGTAGTGTGCAGTAGGGCGAAGCACTTTTTTTTTTTTAGAGCAATTGTGGGAGAAGAAAACAGAAAAGAAGGTTGGACTAATGGAATGACAAGAATGCAATGACAGTGGAACGAGGGGACGATGAGGAAAAAGGAAGAAGAGAGAAGTACAAAGCGAAAGAAAGAGAGAGGAAGAGAAGAAGAAAGAAGAAGAGAGAAAGAGAGAGAGAAAGAGAGAGAGAAAGAGAGAGAGAGGTGTGTGTGTGAGTGTGTATGTGTGGGAGAGAACAAAGGGGACACACATCATGTCGCTGCTTATCATTGCACCATCGCTATTCATCACCATCATCATCACCATTACCATCGCCATGTCTTTTCAGGAAGAATGAAGAGAGCCGGGCCATCACCATCATCCCTCTTTCCTTCACTCTCATTTGGTGGAGTTTCCGTTTTGTTCTTTCATATTCGTGCTCACCCTCTCATCCTTTCCCCCTTTTTGGTCTTCGCTCAACCTATCTCCTTTCTTCTCTTTCTCTCTCTCACTCTTTCGCGCACTCCTCCCACTCCCCTCTCTCCCTCCCTCTCTCCCTCTTTCTCACACGTGTCTGTACAACAGTCGCGCAACACAGTTCCCTTCTTTTCTTCTTCCCTTTCTCCTCCCCCTCCCCTCCCCTGTCTATCCATCTGTCTCAATTGCTTATACTCTTGATATTTTCTGTCCCTCATGCGGCAACATGGATGAAACGTGGCATGCAAATACACCCTCCTTTCACGCGAATTTAACGCGTACAGGGTCTAGCAAAGAACGCCACCAAATGGAAACAGCGAATCAGAACACGCTGAACAAAAACAAAAAAAAACTTTATTCTTGCTTGATGCGCTTGTTCGTTCGTTCGACTCCCTCCTCCTCGCCCTCCTTCTCCACGTCAACACCGTCAGATTCAACTACGCCGCTGCTTGTCGTCTCCGCTACTGTTATGTCTTCTGTTGAAGAGTCCACCGCAGGTGATACCGAAGCGCTCTCTGCTTCCTCGCGTGCCCGCTTCAACTTTTTGACCTCCGCATTCCTTTTCTCCATCGCCATGCGCTCCCTCTTCGTCAATGCTGCCTGCACAGGCTGATCAATCACCTTTGTCGCTGTCAGCAAACATCCGCCAGAGCCCCATGTCGACATCTCCGGATGAGTCCTTCCTGGCAAGACTTGCGATTTCCTCAACCAACTCTCTGTCAATTGCGGAGCCAGCAGATCTGGGCACTTTCGCATCCATGTGCTCGTCTCCAACAGAGCTTCCTTATGAGGATGATACACAATCACAGGTCTTGATCCACGCACATACGGGAGAAGCTTCTCGAGAATCGACTCTGGCTGATACTGCGATGCAACAATCAATGCATCAAAATCTCCCTCAAACAAAATCTTACGTGATTCCTCTACGATTGTATATGCCTTTAGACGACGGTAGTAGCCTTCCAGGTCCTTTCCTGTTAGCTGTGTCACATCCTGAAGTTCATCCGGTGACTCTGTCAAACAGAAGCGTCAAGGAGGAGAACAATTGGCGTTAGTTACAACCAGTTTCTTCCTTTATAAGCAATCCACGAAATGATGACCAAAGTCTAGTCCATGACCTACTCTCGTCTTCTGCACGGTGAATACGGAGCCACGATAACACTTTTACTGAATCGAGAATCTCTTGGTTAAAGTTCATATATTTAAGAACGTCATAGTGTGGGTTGTCGCCGTCGTACATTCCAAGAATCGTTCCCTTGCCTATGCGATATCAGCATCATGGTTAACAAACAAAGAAGATCTGTTTCGAACAAAAAGCACACGGGCGCATGAAATTGCACGAGTTTTTGAAGATATTAAGACATACCTCCCATACGCTCAGCCAGGGCCGAGACGACCATCCCCTGCGTATCGTCAACAACGAGCAACCTGCATCCAGCATGCACGTTCGAGTACGACAAGAGCTGCGAAAGCGTGTCCATCCGAATGTCCCTGATCTTTGCTGGGTTCTTGATGTAAAAATACTCGTTGACAGAGTATGTGGTCGGTTTGATCGGTGTAAAAGTCTTGTGGAATTTCTTGCCCTTCTTCTGCAGATACTTCGCCTGTGAGTACGCCGTCTTCTTGTCGAATGTGGCATGGCTCTCCTTCAGTTTGTTGACAATTTCCTGAGATGTGATCGAGAGACGAAAAGAAAAAGAAAAGAGATTCAGCATTAGAATTCCGATAAAGATGCCAGGATGATCTAATTGTCTGTGGATGGTTCAACAACATCCTTTGAAGAACTGTCCTGTTGTCATGCGTACCTCTCCCGTGAGTTCTCCCTTGAGTCCCTCGCTCTTGAGGGCCTGGATATCTTCCAATGTTAGCTTCTGTGAGGTTGAGTCGTCGATGATCTCTCGGTTGTTGTTCTCAGTCTCTTCGATCTCACTGATCTCGTCTGGATGGTAGACCCGGGTCTTGTTATCCTTGTCGTAGATCTCGTATGTGTTGCCCCATGCTCGGCCGATAATGTCGTTAGTCTTGAACGTTCCAAACTTTCCCAGTGAGACGGTCCTATTTTGATGGTGCGGATGAAATTGTGAGGGTGAAAAAAGACAAACGGAGGTCAGATATGAGGAATGGACCAAACGCAGAGTGCTTCCTGCAGTAAAAGATAGCAGTGCAAAGACCATACGAATTGGGCTTCAAGACGATGCATTTGACATTGTCGCTGGGCATTTTGATGAAGACATGCTCGCCTGCATTGATGGTATCTGAGGTGCTGACAGTGGCCATGGCGCTGATGAGAATGAGGATCGGCGGAGGCAAGCGTTGAGAAGGCAGGCAAAAATGGACTGTCGCATCAAAAGAGTAAAAAAAAAAAGTGCTTTGTTGTTTGGGAGCACTCGGAGGCTTGGTTGAATCAGGACGATGCATTCCGCTGGTCCCTTGCTTTATTTTTTTGAACGCGTTTTGTCCTGCTGCCTCTGCTCTGGACCAAGTCTCCTAACCCGTAGTTTCTCTACAACTGCTCAATCAATAAATGGGAAGCGGATAGCATTGCCTTTACATCCACTTAGTTAAAAAACTACGTGTTTATGATATAAAAATCCTGACAAGGCCGCATTATTTGAATTTCTCAGCGCTATAGAAGGCGCCCATATCGTAGTCAAAATCCAGACTAGACTGTCGCACACCATTATATTCTGGAAACTTTAAAAAGAATAGTATACCGATTCGGTAGGCTATTTTTTTTCTGCAGAGATGAGGATGAAGATGGTGGCAGAACTAGAGATGTGGATGAGGATAGGGCGCGGGTAGGGTATATTGGTGGCAAATGTATTGAATTAAATTAGGTATTCAAATGGTTTGACAAACCTCGGACCTGAAGAACACAAGAGGCTCTAGCCCCAGCACTCTCCCTTTTTTCTTTTTTTTTTCTTTGCATTACTGATCACCCTCTTCTCCTTCCATCGACATAACCTCGAACTCAGCTCAAGTGATCTTCGCATCTTTGTCATTCCTCAGTTGTCAATCTTGCGCGCCAGGGCCATCCCGGAATTGCCTCTCGCACTTGAGACGTACAAATGAGCGGCTCGCACAGGCACCGAGACGAGGATCGGCACAGAAGGAGTATGCAGGAGGATGAAGACAGCGACAGGGACATCATTGACCGAGAATACCGCAAGCGCAGCAAGCACTCACATGTAAGCAATTGCACTACGTTTCTCTATGGGACCCGTGCGAGATAATGTCGAATGACCTCTCAGTTTTTGTATATGTAGCGCCGTTCATCGCCCTCGCGCGAGCGATCGCCAAGAAGAGAGCACCGTAACAGGAGAAAAAACAAGCGCAGGAAGGAACGGGAACATCATCGAGAACAAGAATACGAATTGGGCTTGTCAGTTGACAAGAGATATCGCCGCCGCCGAGAACGGGCGCAATCGATGTCGCCAATTGAGGATCATGATTTTTTCCCCGATGCCTCGAATGATTTCGTTGACGCACTCTGGACCCCCGAGGAAGAAGACAAGATGCTCGCGCATGCAATGGAGCGCCAAGGTGTCAAGACATGGAAGGTGCGAACTTGGAGCAAAAGGCGATCTGCGGCTACACATTTCTGAAGCATCATTTCATTCAGGGAACAATGGACAACCATATCGCCCATGTTTTCTCATCACGGGCATGGAATGCTAAAATATCTCTCTATAATGATAGAACTGGTGTCAAGCACGCATGTTCAGCGACGGATATTTTGTCACGCTCGAAAAGTTTATCGAATATGTTGAGACGACAGTGCTACCAAAAGAAATTCAGGTGCTCAAAGCTAGTACCGACCGATCTGCCCTCCCAGTCCTGGGCACTGAGTCGCTTGTTCTGCCAGTTTTACGGCTGTGGCGCAAGCAAGAGCACGGCGACGACGACACCAGGACATCCGGAAGAAAGAGACGCCTGTCAATCCCCAGCATGTCGTCGCCCGTCATCCCATCTCTGTTCAACGCTATATCCCAATCAGCACTGGCTGGTGCTTCTTCGCCCTCTGAGCAAGTTTCAATACCTGCGAATCAAAGTATTCAACCATCCTCCGACCATGACTCGCATGGACACATGTCGACCGAGGCTCACTATCCTGATGATGATAGCGACGATGATATTTATATGATCTCGAGCTCGGCGCCGAAATCGATTGAGGTGATTGACTTGGAAAGTATCAAGACGGAGGAAGAGGATGAAATGGAGGGCACCCAGTGGAGACCTGTAAAGCTGAGCCCAGAGGAATCCCCACCAGCTGAGTCATCAACCGCCGAGAACGACCTATCGCGCCTCGAATATTCTCTCGACATCACGCATTCAATTTCGGTTCTAATCGAGTCTATATCCAAGTATCTCAACCTCCCAGACCCAGCAGGTGGTCCGGTCAATGTTCAACAACTAATATCACCATCATTCTTTGAGCAATTGCGAGTTTCCCAGAGCAGAGCACAGCAACTGGGCCTGAGTGGACTCTATTGCGATCCCCTGCTCATTACTGTTCTTGAAGAGCATGTCAAGACGATCCAGGCGTTGTTTGTGAGATTGGAATCCAAGGATATTGATATTATTCCTGCAAGGCCTACGAATAGCGGCGCTCGAGGCAAGCAGCGGCATCAGTCTCTGGAGGGCGCTGATCAAGACAATATCCTGCATCTGGAGTCTGTGAATTCACGTTCATCATCCAGCCAGTCAACCACAGCTAGCACACGCAAATCAAATGGCCAACTCAAGTACATGATGTTTCAGGGTGACCATAGTATTCAGCATATCTGGGATCAAATGACCAAAGGTATCAATGGTAATCCATCCATTAAAGAACTGGACGAGCGCTATGGTACCACTTGGGGGGTCGAAAAGGACAGACTTTACCTGCTCCATTCACGAACGATTGTGCGGGAGATCCAGCGACTGATGACGGACAAAGGCATGACGGAGAGCGAAGCGATCGATTCGCTTCAGCAGAGACTGGGAGCCAAATCGCTAGCTACGCTGGCTCAGTGTATCGTCAGAGAGCATCCCGGCATGAAGAATATTATGCATACTGGTGTAGGGACAATTCAGCCCAGGATCTACGCTACAACGGACCAAGTCCCATCTTCGGAGCCTTCATCGCCAGACTATGCGCAGGCGTGGAATGAGGTCGTGGTGGAGAGCCGATCGAATAAGCCTGCCCCGAGGTCCGCCGCTCGGTCGCTTAAGAAAGAAACGACTTCAAGCGCAGCATCGCCTGAAGCGACAGCAACAATTTCAGCTTCGTCCGAAGCAATCTCAATATCGTCTGCAGTGGTAGCAGCAAAGACGACAGCATCCCTAGCGGCAACAACGCCGCCCATACTGATAGATGAACAGCCTGCAACGACATCAGCTCCACCCACTAGATTAGCAGCACCGTCTACGCCAACCATCATATCGCTAGCAGCTTTGAGTGCTGCTACCGATAGGTCAGCATTGATTGAGCTGCCTTCCTCTCAATTGTCGCCAAGCGAGACCTCACAGACGGCAGACGGGCCGATAGCTTCAGTGCCTGACTTATTTCAAGGAAACACTTCTCCTGCGGCTGCGCCGGATTTGCACGAGGGGTCAACCCTTACTCCAATTGCAATCGCGTCACCACCGGTACAGAGCCCCACCACTACTACAGCAACAGTAACAGCAACAGGAACAACGCTGACACAGGACTTGGATCTCAACTTGCCGCGCATCAGTACCTCTCGGTACGGTCAAATGGCGCAGGATCCCATCCTCATCTCCGCATCCGTATCTCCTATGATACCTACTTCTGCCTCGTTCGCCGAGATTCCAGTTCAGACGGCAACGACTCAGGCAGCATCGGTGCAGCCGACAGTGACAGCGACAGCCGCTAGTATTACTCCACCGACGCAGATGGTCTCATTTGCCCCTGAGGAACACATCGCCAACCCCACCCCAACAAGCATCTCCCTATCTAAGCCGCCCTTCTCCACTCAAGCCTCGATCCCTGCTCTTGTCTCGGCGCCGGCGCACATTCAAACCAATGGACCAAATGTGGCAGTATCACAGACTGGACTAAACTTGTCAACGTCACAGGCTTTGCAAACAGCACCGACCACGATTCCAGCAGCGTCCCTTCTATGCAGCAACAACGCCTCAAGTCTCGCTATGTCGATGATGACACAACAAAGAATGACTAACGCAACAGCACCAGCACCAGCACCAGCACCAGCACCAGCACCAGCACCAGCACCAGCACCAGCACCAGCAACAGCAACAGCAAGTCATCATGCAGCTCGAGCTCTAGTTATGGCCAATGCAAGGCTATCTCGTCTGGAAGCTCAGTCCTCAGCACAGTCCTCGGTGCAGTCTTCGGCACGCTCTTTAACTCTATCTTCAGTACGGTCCTTAGTACAGTCCGTGTACGCACAGCCTTCAAGTAGTCCCACTAATGTAGATTCAGGGTCGCAGCACATCGCCGCGACCACGCCCACAACCGGATCTTTCTCGCTGGCCGCCAGCCAGCCTGGTGCAAACACTGCAACGAGATCAGAATCGGCGGCGGCGATGATGGCCACCTCAGGAACTGGAATATCTGTAGAGGCTCGGAATAATAATATGGGCGCGCTGTCCACAGAACTTACAAATACGACAACAACGACTGCAACTACGACAACAACAAGTATAACCTCTGGCGCCACTTCAACATCTGCCCCAGCTCAGGGAACAGATTTGTCACCCTACTCTCCTCTACCTTGCCCTCCAATCTATCGCTTAAGCACTAATACGCAGACCGTACACGACTACTGGATGGAATGGACCGTCGGCTGGGAAGGCGGGCCATCGATCGGTTCCTTAAACCAGCAATATCAACTCGGATGGCTCGCGCCCGAGGATCGGGTCACTTATATCGAGGCTCGCTCTGTGTTGCTGGAGATCGAGAGGTTGGTACGGGTTAGGAGTATGACGATTCGGCAAGCCGTGGACGAGTTGGAGAGGATTCGTACCCAGGCCAATGTTGGAGTGAGAGTCTTTGCGAAAAATTTAGCATCGGCGACCACGAATAATCTTTCGGCCGTAATACGGAACGCACAGCATTAGCATCAACATCATCAGCAGCATCACTAGCAACATCACTAGCAGTAGGAGGAGGAAAGGTGGGCGGACATGAAAAGATGATGGAGATAGAGGATGCTTTGGGGACGTAAGGATGGAGGCGGAGATATGTATGATTAGGGAAATTGTAGGATATATTAAAAAAAAAAAAAAAAAAAAAAAAAAAAATCGAATGCCAAACAATTCTCTTCTGAAGCGTGTTTTTTCAAAGCTCAAAAGTCATGAAGATGTTTGCGGTCAAAAATAGTTTCAGCACGGCCCCTCAAATTGGTGCCTGGAACAAATAAGGTTAGCAAACCGGAACAATCATGCAGCCCGCCTCCGGCGTTGCATTTCCATGCTTCTCAAGTCTCAGCTGAATGCGCGTGGGCCACAGATAGCCAACTTGACTTTGCACCACCATGCCTATGTGATATATATCTCTGATTCCACAGGCAAGCTCAGGGGTGTGATGATTAAGCATGGCGGCATAATCAACATAGTCTCCCATCAACCAAGAGAGTTTGACATTGATTCTTTGAGTACGGGTCGTGGAATACACCTCACCGAGTCCCGACCACAGTGAAGCTAAGGTATTCATAACGCTGGCTCTCGGTGCGTCGCTGATCTTGGTTCACAATCATTTCCGTCGCGATCCTCGATTGTTCTGGGATTTCTTGAAGGGGCAGCAGACCACGCATATTTCGCTCACTTCATCCCTGTTACAAGATTGCAGGGATCTGCCGGTCTTGGATCAGAAGCTTACAATTACCACAGTGAGCCAGACGCTTTCGGCAAAGACTCCCATATCAATGCTATCTGTGAGTCCAGTCCTAATGTCACTATTTTCAGCGAGCACAGTCCTACAGAGACGACTGTTGCTGCGACCAACATCAAGTACTCGAAGGGCTATGCGGCTGAAGTTATGGTCGTCGGACGACCACTTGCAAACAAGCGTTTCTACATCCTAGATAATCGGTAGAAAATGCTCCTACTGGGAACTGCTTTATAGGTCTTAGCTCTGGTTTAGTGATACAGGAGAGTTATTCTACCCTGTTGTAATATGAGGATGAGCTGATATAATCCAACTAGCAGAACTTGCTCAGGCATGCACCAAATGCTGATGGTTCTCTTTTATTATTATTTTTTTATTCAATGGGACACTCCTTGTGTGTATCTTTACTTCATTCGCATAAAAAAATAAGTATATCAAAATTCGATTTGCTAGAGCTCACATGGCAGTAAAAGATGAATCGCCTCCATCATTCCTTCGAGATTTCCTAGGCAACTCTGTCGCCTTGATCATTCACTCCGGAGAGAACTAGGAGCTCTGGGCTCCTCAACAACATACGGAGTCTGTGCTTCCGATACCCCTTGTCCTTGATCGTCATTACCCTGATCAGCTCTTAAACTGCGCGGCTGGGGTTGCAGTTGAGGTGCCGGCCGCGTCGCTCCACGCGAGGCGACGCTAGACTTCTGTGCAGTAGCTCTCAATGAAGCACTGAAAAAGGACGCACTTGGAAGAGACGGAGTGAAAGAGATAGATGTGGGCTGATGAAAGCTCTCGACAGGGCCAACCTCATTGTAGACAACATTCACGTTCGGATAAGGTCTGAATTGCCTAGACTCTTGGTCATCTCTACTGTTGCTGTCCATACGGCTGTGAATGTCCGGTTGCGGGCGATGTAGAGAGAGAGGGGTTGATGAAGTTGGTGCGGTAGATATGGGTGCTGGCCAGGTGTATTGGTGCAAGGACACTTGATCCAACGAAGAATTCCTGCCAAAAATGTGGGGTGTAGTTGACTGGCCCAAGTTAGTTGGAAGAGAGGCACTGACTTGACATGTTGTCGGCTGGCCTGATGAAACCAATGTAGAGATGCTCGCGTGAGATGGTTGTTGTTGGCTTAAAGCGGCCAGGAAAGGGCTGTTGATGTGCGATACAGTTTGTTGCTTTGAACTGGATGAAGACCTGCTACCGAAAATATGAGGTACAGTTGGCTTCTTCAATGGGGCGGAAGAATGAGGTCTCGAACGAGGATCCGTTGGTCTATTCAAAGGAATTGGATTGCAAGCAGGCGTGCTGCTGTCGGATGCAGTTGGCTGGTTGAAGGGAGCAGAAGCAAGGGTAGGAGTGCTGAGATGAGTTGCAGAGTGTTGATTTGCAGCCGTTGTGGGGGTTGGAGTCCTCAAACCTGGGTCCATTGGCCGACTTGCACTCACTGAAGAATAATCGCTTCGTCGACGGCGCTCACGGAGAGCCTGTCGCTCGTTAATGGCAGCCAATTCCTTGGCAGTACCGCCCGTTTCAAGGAAACGTTGTCCATTGATCTCGCGTAGTCGTCGTTCTTGCTCATCGTTATCAGGATGATCGTGAACTTTCAGGTCACTGGCCACTCTTTCATAGAGCGTGTCAAACATATTATTGCCCAATAGGCCGTTCCTGTGCATTAGTTCCAACAAATCGACGCAGGAACTCGGACTAGAGAATCCTGCGCGCAGCTGCCCTCCAATATCTTGGACAAGTCGGTTGGGTAAATGTTTGAGGCTCGCCACAGGTGATGCTTGGACTCGGATAGAAAGACTGGGCGAATTCCTCGGGCTCATCGAAGTAGATGTCTGCTGGGTCTGCGCATATGGACTAGGCATCTTCCTCTTTCTGTTCGATCTGGTTACTTTGGTTGAAAGTTCAAAAGCCAGGGCTGATGACGCCGCAGAAGATGCAGATTGGGCCGAGGCCGTTGCAAAGTTTGCCGCGGCAGCGGCAGAGGCGGCGCAGGCGGCTACATGAGCTGCACAAATCGTCTGGGCCAGATTAAAACCCGATACTGAAGAAGGTGACGATCGCTGACTTCCTTTATCATCATCTTGGTCTTCGTCGTCATTGCCTTCTTGGGTAATCTCGTCATCAGGACCATAACTGTCGTCTCCGGGATAGTTGTGGCTAGACCCTGAGCCGTCTTGTTCATCACCAAACTCGCTTCGATCATGGTGGCCGAGTTTTTGGCCGCTATCTCCGTCATGACGTTGGGTGCCAGGACGAGGCGACTGAGCCAATTGGGACCAAGAAGGAACTCCAGAGGTCTGAGTGGGCGTCGAGGACTTTGCTGGGCTGGGTTCAGAGAGTGCGTAAAGGGCGCAGAGAGCAGAGGAGTCGAATCGAGGCTGTTCCATGAATGGGGAGCCAGGATATTCAGTGGCATCTTCACTGAATAACTCGATATCGAGGTTTTCAGGCGAAGCACATTGACCTTGCCCAGCTGCGACTGGAGGTCCAGCTGGGGCGCTGCTAAAGTACTTGGTGAAGTCCTGTAAAATGGGTGGCGACTGGGGATTCATGATTTCTGAAAAAGAAGGGCTTGGGCTAGCAATCTCAGCGGCATTTGACATTTCTTGGTAATCTACAGCAGTGTTGATGAATTTGGGAGCTTGGGGTCTGGGTTTTTCACCAGGGGCCGCGGTGTTAATTACGGGTTTGACAAGATTTGCACCCTTGATCATAGTCTTAGGACTCGAGACCGGGTCCCAATAAGGGTGGTGGCCGTAGATGGGGGGTCGGACTTCAGAGGCCTTGCCTTGCTTTGGGATTCCACCTCGGACCTTGGTTCCGTCATAAGACGAGATCCTCTTGGCTGCTTTGTGGAAAATAGGAAAGATATAGATACCTTCTATATGTTAGTTACGCGTTGAATCTGCCAATCACGTCATAAAAAAATACAATAGGCGACACCTGCCTTCCTCGATGCACGTAGCAAATGCCTCTTTCTTTGATTTGCGCTTTTTACCCCGCTTAGAATCCTGCTTGACCTTCACTCGCAAAAGATCAAGTGACAATCTTTTCGGGTTTGTCTGCCTATTAGCGTAACCCTGAGAAGCTTTCCCTTTTGCCTTGGATTCGTGAACCAAATAGACCATCTCGCGCAGGATCTCCAGGGGCGCCTGGTAAGTGGGTAATTGGCTCAAAAGCTGCGAGTAGGCACGCTTTGGGGATGGCATGGGGATTGAGAGAGGTATGAAGAGCAAGGCAGCGGTTATATGAAGTGAAATGGGGGAGTGTAACGAGAATGGAAAGGGTTGTGGTAAGGAACAATAGCGAAGGCGCGCTGGACGAAACAACAAGGGCTCCTAAGCGAAGATGCAGTGAGTGAGGGTGCAGAAGAACTGCAAGCGCTTTCTGTAGCTCAAATGGAGAACGATGGACGAAGGGAGAGGGGAAAAAAAAAAGAATTGACCACCTTTATACAGCTAGAGTAAGTGTTTTGTCTTGATGGTGGTTAAATGGTTACATGCTGAAACTAGGCAGGGTGTAATAATGAGTACACAATAGAGATGAGAATAGAGAAAGAGTAGGAACTTGGAAGATCCACATCAAAATCGCATGCAGTTGCATTGAAGAGCCGTGGTACCCTAATGTATTTTTGTAATTCACGCAGATCTTTCTGCTGGACACAGATGACTACAATGCCGTGTGCATTTCCTTCCATCACGGCGCCACGCTCGTTTTGCCTCCTCTATGTATTCAGCAAAAATAAGTAGTAGGGTATGATGTATTGGAGGCTAAGGTGGCCGCAACATTGAGCTTCCAAACACAAATGCGAAGTCTTCAGGATCACATACAACAGAGAAATCGGCGAGCATTTCTTAGCATTCCCTTTATGTAGCTGCATGACCGTTGGTTCGGATTTCTCCCTTTCAACTCCGGTATCTTTACGAGGAAGCCACGCGTCTAGTACAAGGCGTAGTTTAAACAGGGGTAGCAAGTACTTTTGACGCAAGTGCATTTGATACAGGTCGTTCTTTATTTGCTACATCAAAGTGGACTACGGGATTACACGCACCAGTGTCTACGACGCGTCTTTTTAAATGCCCATTTACCGTTTCAGCTTCAAATGATCGTTCAGCCATGACCACGCGCTGACTTCGGTAACAAGGCTCCAGCCTGAGGGCTACTGCATAGACATATCTTCACGAGTGCCGTTCGCTCATACTCTAATTACAATCCATCCTACCATGCTGCCAACTCGAATGCTCCACCCACAGCAGCACCGCGCACTGATTCGGATTCCAGTCGTATAGATCGATCGGAGTCACAACCACTGTCATCTTTCCTACAAAGTATAACGGAAACACTTGCTGTCGCTGTCGATCGACTGGAAGAGGAGTCATTGGTAATTGCTGCTGCTGGAGGATGAAATATTGGGAAATTAGTACGAAGGTCAGTATGGTACGCACTATGTGGGCTCATAAACCCGACCTGGCACTTGTGTCCCCTGAGCAGAGTCCCTGACTCGTGGGGTGTTCCTCACTTGATGACGTTTTTCATGCGATGCCATGCCATCAGCCCTGCTGCATCCATGATCGATCCATCGCTGATCCATCCTCATTTCAGAGCTGTGGCTCCCTTTCTTTTCTGCCCTCTTAAATTATTGTGGTTCCGTTCTGGTCACACACCGAGACTGACCGACTTATCTCAAAACAATAACCGTTGAAACTTCGCCTTGTCTGCTGTTAGATGAAAATGAAGATGAAAGAGCGATATGTTCGTGGCCTAACTAGGATTGACCCTTGACTAGTAGGGAAAAGGGCACTTGGTCTTTTATTTTTAGCACGTTGTGTCCATGGAGGCTGTATGTCCTGTCGAGGCAGCACATATCGCGCAGAGAGGTTTTTACTCTACTACAGCTTCTTTTTTGGCGGTGGCGGTGGCAGCGGTGGCGGCAACTTGAAATATGAAAACCGTAACTGGGCAAGGAACGCCCCGCAGACGGCCATGGATAGAAGGAAGCTGAAAGACGTTTCCTATGCATTTCATGATAGATGATGATACTGTTTCTTTTTATTTTGGAACTCGATAAACAAAAGCTGATTCAATATACTTGCGTTAATGTGTGCTGTGCTCTGCTGTGCTCTGCTGTGCTGGTGCTATGAAGTTGTGCTGTGACACGATCCCTTCTCTTCAACGCGTGTCCTCCTTATTTAACCCCTCCAGACATACTTCCCCGGCCTAACAGCTCTCGGCCCAATAATTGCCTCGTCCAAGAGCGTCAACAACGCCTCCGCAGACGCAAACCTCTGTGTAATAGCCCTATCCATCTCCCGGTCCCTCTCGCTCAATTCCCTTGTCTTCATATAAAATTTCCCCCTTTTAGGCGGCCACATCGGCATCACCCACTCTCCAAGCTCCGGTAGCGGCTCCACATTATTCCTCTCGCACTCCTTGTACCGTGCAAGATCGTCATCCTCAGCCGCATCCAGGACCTTGCGTTCATCCCTCCAGACTTGATAGTACGTCGTGATGGTGAGAATCACCCGGGGAAGGTATTGTGGATAGATTTTGTTGCGGCATGTGCCTTGTACCATCGCTTGGAAACCTGGGATGGTCATGTCTAAGGATCGGGCAGAATCTTCACGACGGGTTTGGTGGAACTCTACAAATGCCGCATCCAGATGACGGAGAATCATAAGACTCTTGTTCCTATGGGACGATGGGGTCAAGAACTCGACTTGTTGCATCATAATCCAAAGTTTTTTTTAAAGAAAAAAAAAAAAAAAAAAAAAAGAAAACTTGCAAAAGAATCAGTGGGCTGGTCTGAGAATTGGTTTTTGTTGCGTCGTGAAGGTGAAGGGTTTGAAGGTATAGATGTAAGAGGATGGGCGTGTAAAAATGAAGATGAGCACAGAACGACAGGCCCTTGTTATATATCTAACTCCAAGCTCAATCCCACCTTTAGTCTCTTTTGTGCCTTTTTTCCTTCATTTTCTTTGTACAATGTTTATTGCTCACGGCTTTTATAAAAAAAAAAATGAAACGGCTAAGCAAACTGAGGGACTAAGAAAAAAAAGGAATGAAGACGACTGAAGTAGAGAAAGTCCAGCTTTCTCCATCTCTTCTTGTGGTCGAAATATCGTTTCTTGCTTCTTGCTATCCGTGGTACGATTGATGGCCCATTCCTCGCCTGCCTTGTCCCGCAGTAGGAGGTCTCCCGCTATTATCTCCAGACGCATAAGGCTGCAACCGCATGGCGATCCATTCATTTGGTATTGGAAGCTGAGACCTCATATCAAATCCATCATACGCCATATTGCTATCTTGCACATAAGGATGGATGTACAAGTTCTGCATGGCTGAATTGCTCAAGTCCATTTGACTGAAGGATGTATATGGAGGGTATTCAAACAGAGGAGTATTGACGGAATAACAGCAAGATTGGCAATCGATATGTCGGTTTGGCACCATGTACACAGGGGGCCATCGTACTATCGTCGCTTGGGGTGCCGAATGCCTGGACGGGCTGTCGTGTTGATCGCGGGTGTTAGAGGTAAACATCGAAGACCGTTGCTCTGAGTCAACTGGTACCCTGTATGCTGTACCGAATCCTTGTAGCTGAGAAACCGTGACGGAAGGAATCGAAAACGATGAGGGATTGGAGACATACTCCTGTTCCTGGCCATGGGGTACGCTGATGGCATTTCGACGTTGTTCCAGCCGACTTTTATTGGCTAATACTGAAAGAGGCACCTCCCAGGGCCAGGAGGGGATGTCATGCCATCTGCGGACTCGAGAAGCGGAAGATGCACTCTCACCAGACACAGTTGGTTGCTGGCCGCAGAGCCATATGTTCGGATGCAAGGATTCTAAAAAGTCGAAAGGACAGGACCGACTTTTACTTGGCGAACATGGTTGCACAGTAAATATATTTTGAACAACAATAAAAAATCATTCTTACCACCATTCCATATACCGTCAGAGAGCAGGAACATTAGTCTTGTACATTGGGGTCGAGTTTCAGGCGCATCTCCAGGGCGACAGATTTGTGATGTGCTGCTACCACTGCGCGCGACAGGATCAATAGACGTACGTATGGTAGCTGGCGGGCTCGGTGCTGATTCTCTGGTGAAAGACAGCCGTCGAGGAGGCACATTTTGACGACGAAGAGGACACATTGTTGTAGATGGTTGAGGACAGAGAAGAGAAGTCAGCAAGGGCATAGTAAGGCACGACAGAAGCAGACGGGCTTATATATCGCTCACAAGCAGTGGGTCGAAAGGACCTCATGTTGGATCCTTTCACAATGCCCGAGATTGAATATGCCCTGCAGGTGAGGAGATGGCTGTGGTCAGCAGAGTCCTTGATTGAGTCCCCCACAAAGACACCACGCTTTCTGTGGTCTTTCATTAGGAAAGTATTTGACGAAATCGCATTGCTCTTCGCGTATCGTCTATGCGCCCGTATTCCTGAACTACACTTTCGCCCAGTCCATTCAAGCGATGCAACGAGATGAAGACGCAACTTGGGGTTTATTTGAGTTGTATGACATGGCTGCGAGCGGTAAGGGGAATGTTACTGTATCGCTCTATGGTTTCGTTCGAGGTGTCTGCCGTATTTACTCGGTAGTGTACTTGGCGGAAATATCCTTCCATTGGCGCTAGAGAAGACACAGCACAGAAGTAGCTCGTTAGTCGTTGCTGAACGCGCCATAAAGCCGAAGGAACAGTGGGACGATGGAGAGATGTCGGCCATATGGTGTTTGCTGAAGTTGGTCCAATTCTGATCAGTTCCGCACTTCCTGTCCTGCTTCGCACATCAACTCAAGATTTAAACCTGGCATGCGTTAATTGCAAGGCAGCGCTAAGGTGCGAATCAACAATGACGATACGAATATCAAGCTGAATTCTATTCCCGTATCATCGTTTTGGAAGGCGCGTTCCTGCCTGGTATGCATTGTTGTTGCTATTCCGACATGCCGGACAATTGATCTGCTGAAGATGCGAACATGGAGGCCGATAGCGAAGTTGCGTGGAGAAAAGAGAAAGTGGTGTGGCGCCAACTGGAGAAGGCAGAGAATCACTTACGCCCTTGTTGAGGTTGTCCCAGACACGTTCAGAGATCGTGTCGAAGGCCATCTCCGCGGCGAAGGCGCTGACGAAGATGGTGGTCATGAAGACGGAGTTGCGCTTGAAGATGGTGTTGTAGCCCAGGCGGGCGAACCTGTTGGCGGCAGAGCCGTTGTTGGACTTGACGGGCATGATTGAAAGACTTTTGCGGAGGTGACAAAGAAAGGGATGTGAAGGATTGGATTGATCGGCACTTTCGCCTGGCTCGGAAAACACAGGTCCGAAAGACAGCTTTTGCTCAAACAGCGTCCTGTGACGTCTACGTCTCGTGACGTATTTCGCATCCGGCGGACCGCGTCTGTCAGTGCAGGTCTAGAATACCCGACAGGTTGCGTAGCGGTTTTGGGCCCCGGCTCAAGTATTAGAAACCATACGACTCAGAATGTTCACCATAGGTATTTGGTTCCTCATTTTACATTAGTTTAGTGGGGGCCTCTTGATAGCTATCTTTAGGTAACTATCGGCCGGCTGACAGTCCAAGCCGAGGCTTGGACAATGCAGCCTGTGGCACGCCTGCACGCCTGGGGGGATCTGGCGTCAATAAAAAAAAAAAAGTCAGTGCAGGTCTAGAATGGATAACTCCGGGTTGCGATCTCTCTTTTATTAATCCAACACTGTACAGAATCCTCTTCATTGCTAGAGACCCTGCACTGCATGGCAAGTCAGAGGTATTAGGCAATCCGACGCATAGTCGAGCAGACACTGGTAGATATTGAGATTTTCGACCTGTTTACTACGACTAGGTGGGCGCAAGATGTCTGCTACACTATCAGTTGTGCATAAGAGGACAAGGACATCCGCGTCCAGCGGATACATGCTCCGACAAGTCCATTGCCAAGCAATTAGGACACTAGCGCGATTCTCGGTAACTTGCTTGCTTGAGCCCTATCCACTTCAACTATCCCAATTAGTGATTCTCACCGGTGAAATGCAGTGAAACTCAATGATATAGAAGTGCTATTACCATATGTGGAATTCACCGGTGAAAAAATCACAAAAAAAGTTGTTCACCGCGGTTAACCGTTCACCGGTGAGAATCACTAATCCCGATTTTGGAGTAGACTAAACACCACGAGATGGGCATAGGGACAGTCCATCAGAAATAAGGAACTCCATGAAAATACATAGAGCAGAACAAGGACCCACTCTTACGGAAGGTTTGCTCTTATGTTCAAATGAATAGGACTCCAAGAAGCATGAGAATTAGGGAAAGGGCCTTTTAGCAAGCGCGTTGAAAGATCCATGAGAATGTCAACAGCACTCCATCAAAGAGGCAACGCCTTGAATATCGCAAAGAGGGGCTGACCTGGACAAGGCCCTTGAATCTCAAAGTAAATATTGTATTTGCCATACCATTTCACACAAGTATAACCACCTGAAGTACCAACTAACTTTATGAAATCAGTAGATGCTTCGACCAATTTTAAGACTTTCTAAAAAAACTGTTGACTAATTCAAAGGTGCAGATATGGATATAGAGCTCCTGTATAACATTGCTTGCGACATCTCTAAAATGACTTTGACACGATGATGCTTGAGCGCCGACCTTAACAGCCGCTGGGCTTGGGGGAGATTCCACTAAATAAAGTATATCAAAGTTAATATAAACTCGTCCGAAACTGAAAATATATAAATCAATAAACCTCAGGAGAAAAACGTACGTGCATGTGGGAGCCGTTCCACCGGTGATGGCAATCTTTTGGAAGTTGAACTTGCTGCAATTGGCGCAGAGAATGTAGACATCCTTTCCCTTGGTTCCCTTGGCCATACTGCCGTGGATGTTGTTGAGGTTCACATTCGTGATTGGGGCAGCACCGCCTGGCTTGCCAGTGGCACCGTCGTTGGTATAGTCCTGTTGGATGATGATACCGTATTTCTGAATGCCAGACATCGTAATGTCTGTGTAGGTGACGTTGTTGACTTTGCCGCCCGTCGCGTTGGCGTAGGCCTTAATGCGAACAGCATTATCGGAGTTGGTGACGGTGCAACGGGTGACCGAGACACCATCAACAATTTGACCGGCTTTGATAGAGCCCTTTGTAATTCAATTGCGGAATGAGCGGGCATGTGAGAGACTGGTAGCTTAAAATTGCTTGCTGAGATCCCACGATGAAATGAAAATGTCAAGTATGAAAACGTCCACTTACAATCGAAATACCATGGCCACCGTCACAGAGGTTATCGGTGAAGGCGATGTTGGAGCCGCTATTAACGGCAAGGCAGTCGTCGTTATTGTATACTTTGGCGCCAGTGATGGTAATGTCCTTAGAGCCCCCAATATCGAAGCCATCCGTATTGTGGCCAAGGGCATAGTTGGTTCCACCTTTTTTTTTTTTAAGAAAAGGTGGAGGGGAGAGGGACGAAAAGATCCAAAGGAGAAACAGTGTGAGAAGAGACCGTTACATCCAATCTAATATTGAAATCATCTACATTGGCAAGCAAATGTATGGCTTTGGACTTACGATTGTCAATGGTTACACCCGTAAGAGTAAGTCCCTTACAGTTGTTGATTGAGAATGTGTGGACAGGAGACCCAAGAATAGTCAACCCAGTGATTGAGCCGCTCAAGTTACTGAGTCTGACAAACTTGGGCTTGTTAACGCCGCCGTTGCCACCTTTACCGTCCCAGTATTTCTTAGTTTGACGATGATTAGAAAAGGAATGTCATTAGGCCAAGAGGCTATGCATAATGTCGTTTAACAAATGAAGTAACCATAAAACTAAGCAGTTGAACATACTGGTCCACTGCCGTTAAGAATGCCATTGGAACCATCAATTTTGATGTTGGTGCCGCTAATGGTTACGAGATCATCGTTCTTGCCAAGATTTCCCTTGGCGAAGGTAATGGTGCCGGCTAAAAACGAGAAGGTCGATTTGAATTATTGTTAAAATCAGGTTTTCTTGGAAGAAAGCAAACCAGCGCAAAAATAAAAGAAGAAAAAGACTGCTTGAGCGTACTAATCTTGATCGTGGTGCCAGCCTTGAGTCCGGTGAGATCAACTTTCTTGTTTGCAGGTACGGTGAAAGGTCCTTGAATGACGATTGCACTGCAGCTTTTGGTACCAGCGATTCCGTCGTAAGATGTAGCTGTGCATGCAGCGCGTTTCTAGAAAAATTCGACAGTAGGTAAGTCAGATATCCTCGCGGAAAGATATGCAATGTTCTCGCGATACACACCTCAATGGGGCTAGCAATAGCGGTGGTGGCCACAAGGGCAGCAACGATGGCAGAGATTCTCATGGTGAAGGAGTCTCGGTGGGTTGAGAATTGCAGTAGTTGTAATTGGAGTAGGGGAGTTTTTTTTCCTAGCATGCTCAATGGATCAACCTTTATACTGTTGGGTCCGTCAAGATTAATAATACGGTGACTATACATGTACTCGCTGGAGTATTATTTTGTATATGAGAGCCCCTGGGGTCAACAGTGCATAAATTATCATTGTTGGTCTGGGCTGTCTTAATTACAGTAGCTGCATTATCATTACTTCCATTTCTGTAATAGCGTGTCCAAAAACAAGGTGGCCTGGTCGGGTTCCATTGCCAACAAGGCGCCTCATGGCCTGCAGTACCACAGCAAGATTTCCCGACAATAGCATTCAAGTGTAGCGATATCTGAAAGAGGAGTTGGACATCGATATCTCAGTCAACAGAGTGAGGTTGATCCTCAAGGAAGAGGATATCACCGCACAGTACGAGAATGAACACCCAATATCGACCAGGGTTACATCTAGAAGCGGATGAATTTGTGCGCGGATATGAGCACTGGGCAGCTGAGCACTAGGAGAAGGTTCTGTGCACTGAGAAGTCGGAAATTAACCGTTACGGTTCTGACGGATCCAATGAGTCTGGAAAAACAACAAAATCGGTATGTAGGCGCAGTTAATTAAAAAAGACTCCAGTATAGAGGAGGGCCCCTTGTGATTTGAGGCCGTATGACATGGAATAGTCCTAGCTACATATCCCTTAATCGAGGCAGGATTGGACACAAGGCTACACAGTGAGTTTCTCGACGAATGTATTCCTTGGATTCAAGACTGTTATAACACCGGTCTAGCGGATATGATTTTTTAGCATGGCAATGACCCAAAACACACCGCCAACATCACGGCCCGCTTTCTCGAGCATTATGAATACCGGTTTTTCTTTTAGCTATCCAACTCACCGGACCTGAATCCAACAGGACATCTACGACGCGTCTTAAAAGGTTGTTAGCGAGATACCAGACACCACCAGGAGGGATTACCAAGCTGGGACGCCATTCCTGCTTCAATCTGTTAGGGCCTTCTTGAAAGCATGTAGCGCCGGATTTAAGCCGTCCAACGTACAGAAGAAAGCCATAGCAAGTATTAAACGTAGTTTGGAGTGATAGTACTACAAAGACCATAAAGAAATGTACATGTAGTTGAAAATGCGTGTGAAAGAACGGGACCAATGAGAGGTGAAGTACTAATCATGCTCCTTGTGAAAGTTTTCGGACGGGACCCAGGCTTCAATGAAGGGTAGCTGAGATACTGAGCTACCTATACATATTTCAGAAGTAGTTGGACACTGATACCGAACGCATGCATATCGAATGCATGAGCAAAGAACCCGAGAAAGCTCATATCACAGACTCGACTATTGGAATTGCTGTATCTTGTAACTGGTATACGTTGCACACGGCGACCCAAATAAACGTTTCTTTCTGTGCTACTATATTGTTGAATGCATGGAATCACGCTGCAAAGAAGTGAAAAGATGACGGGAGCCCGCCGACGGACTGAAGCCCGAAATTAAATTTTACCCGATCACGCTGGCCAACATACAGCATTCTCGCCTTTACTCGGATTGGTCGATCATCTCCGTTGCCAGTATGGATCGTGCCCACATAGAATGTCGATATGGTTAGCCTTGTCCAATCTCACCTAGACCCGGCCGACGCGCCATGTTATTCCAATACCTTGCAATCTCACACATTTAGCGTTGGCCTGCACGCGTCTATTAGATGGCTCGCAAGCCGCAGCAAGTCCTGACTGATTTGTCCTTTGATACAAGCCAGGAGAGATACTATCGACGCTGGGGTATAGTCGCTGAGGTCTTGTTCCTTTTTTTTTTTTTTTTTTTTTTTTGCCGAGCTTTTCTGCAAGTGCAGCGAGATCAACATCCTACCTGCGCTCGGTACTGGATAAAGATCCAGGCAAAGAACGTGTTGCGTTTGGAAGCTTTATGCGTCACTTCAACTTGAGTGATAGATCAGACATGCGAAACTACCACGCGATATCCTGGGTGGTTAGCTAGGCAGTATGCCATACGATAACAATCTCACAGGAGATGATCGTATGTGTTCATTCGCAGTTTTGATGACTGTGTGTCCTTGGGAGTTAAATTGACCGTTGATTCCGAAACTTTTCGTCTTGATACATTTTGCAACGTCTAGTCTCTCCCGTAAAAATCATTGAAAGATCCCACGACAACGCCCTTCGAGCTGTTTACCTGTATGTACTGTACATATCTCTTGGTACCTTGATATATCGTGGTATGGGCTGCTAGTTAGATACTTTTGTAGTTGATATAGGTAACACCGTTGATGCATTAACGAAAAAGAAGCAACTGCTTGAAGATCCACTCGTGACTCATGCGGAAGATAACGTTAACAGAAAGAGGAAGAAAGGTGATAACCAGATAAAGAAGAGATCGGACTTGTAATTTCGTACAGCTATCTGACTTGGATCACTGAATGCACTACATTTTCGATCTGTGGTCCATAGTTTTTTGATAGCGCGCGGAAATCATTGCAGTGGCGGTACACTTCCCTTGGATCAAAGTGGACATTGGGGTCGGCTACTGTCGTAGAGGATGCGCTTTCATAGCTGGACAGGAACTCAGAATTCGCCAATAAGAAGTCCCTGTCCGTATGTTTAATTTCTTATAAATTCCTGCTCTCGTTTTACATGTTGATCTAGCCCAATCCATATAGTCGCGAGTTGTTCAGCAAGAAGGGCTAGACGAAGATCGAGAATGATATTCCTAGTGCTATGCCTTATGCTAATGCGACTTCGACACACTTGGGTACCTTTGATACAGTGAAGATCATCGGGGACCTCAGAAAGAGGATCAGTCACCGTTCCGAGGATGCGGAGCTCGAGCTGGTTCATTTGTGCTTGGTCGATTGGTGAATACAGAAGTGCCTTGCTTCATTATGCGCTAGTTTTCTTGGTTAAATTTGTATGAGATGACAAGTCCATCTCCTTTTGCGATTTAAAGTAGCCTCTCCGAATCATAGTGGTTGTTGCGGGCAAGGGGTATCTGCAGTCAATTGACAAAAAAACTTCTGGATGCTTCATACTAACAGGGGACATGACCTATGGACTTTACTAACACCGCAGAACAAGGAACGCCTGATCAACGTCACACCACGAACAGCGAGAAAGAAGATGGGGGTTCGAGCAGACCTCATATGGCGTACCATACTCGCGCCCGAGAAGGATTGGGTAATTGGTGAGACCGCAAAGGCATGGGACGACCCGGGACTGAAATAAATCCACGAAAGCCCATTCAAGCTTCCTCAGCAATTGCACGATGTAATGCTGGGGAGGTCAGTGGAGGTAGGAGGGCCGACAAGATGCGGGATGTCCTAGTGCCAGGGTTGGTCATTGGAGGTAAGATCCCGATGCATAGTTTTTTTTTTTTTTTTTTATCATCTGGACTCGCATTGGTCACTCTATCATTCGTCACGTAGGGCTATGCACACAGTGTATCGCCTTGTGTTGGGGCCCAAATGGAAATAATGTAACAAGGCTGTTGAAATGGAAGGCAGTAAAACTCGGCCAATCCATGAAGAACATGTCAACATCTCTCTTGGCGCTTCACCATCTCTTTTACTTCGAGTAAGTTTTAACCTCAAAGTCGCGTCGATCGCAACCAATATCATTATTCCAGCAGCTTGATGCTGTTTTCTCCTTTAGTCATCCACCATGCATCTTATGGACACGTACGATCATACTAATGAAGAGCGTAACGAAGAGAAACGTCAGTATCGGCACCAGGGGCTTGAATCGGAAGAGGCATACACCAACGGGACTGGCGATTGGTTGACTTGCAGTCCTCGCCACTAACAGTTTCGATCATACTGGGAACGAAGGGCAGAATTAGAAAACATCATTAGGAGAGCACAGACTGAAATTAATCGAACAACTAGTCCACAAGAGCCTTAAGTGGCTGTCTAGTGTCTTCAATCGATTGGTGTAGTGTTCCTGTGCCCACAAATGGTTTGAAGGTCTGGTGCCTCAAGTGATCGGCGTGAAATCCATGTAGTACTTTAATGAATGTACCCTCTGGATCGGGTGGTGTTCCGGTGCCCCCGAATAAGACTTGTAGTATCTCTCTCTTCATCGCCTAAGATAACGGACTTGATTATTTGTCAACCAGTCCATTTTACATATTTTAATGATCATATTTATCGACCAGTATATTTGATAGGATAAAGTATGCTAATGGACTAGTAGATAAAAAGACTTTATTAGTTGCGCTGCGAGCGGTGGTAAAGGCGCCTTGAAGGCTATTTGACACGTAAATGGTTAAAGCAATGGCACTGCTGCTGCTACAGCTGTGTACCGGTCGATTAATATGTATGTAAAATGTGTCGGTCGATAAGCAGATTAACCCATTATGTTATTGTGAATTTTAGATAAAATTACCAAAACAAAATCTATTTATTCGGGGTTTAGCCCAAAACGGATTATTGTTTATCTGAAAATTTATTGTGTTTTCCTTTATTTTATTTTTTCATTTCGCCGTCATTCTCAACATGCCACCCAGAAGGTTGACCCGCGCCAGCGCCAACAGGATGCCATTTAGGGTCTTCAGAGTAGGCCATTGTTAGCGGAGAATTTTTGTGAAGAATTATTTTTGTCGACAGTATTATTTTACTCCCACCCTCAATTGCCTCACCGATTCAACTTAGTAAAACCTTACATTTTTATCAAAAAAATGATAAAAGCATAAGACGTTACTAAACGGGGTGCGTATCTTGAACTATGGGTCCTGACTTAGAGGATGTTCATATACATAGAATAGACATTGTAATGTCAGTTTAGTCTTCTATTCTGGGTGACCATAGATTCAAAATTAAGTTTAACCAATCTGAAAAAAATTATATACTCCACTTAGCAAGACGAATTTATAATTTTTTCTGGAAGGCACAATAAGTGTAATGTGTTTGGAGCAGAAGGAAGTCTTTTTATCTCCCAGCTTACTGATCGAAGTTTTTAGCAGGATATTTCAGGATTAATGAGGTGGTAGTTTGAAAAGATTGGAGCATGGAATGCAGAGAAAACGGCATTTGAAGGACGATGCCATGTAGGAGACTGTATAGACTTGTACATCACATTAATTTGATATATGTATGCTTTCACTACATCACAACATAATTGCTTCAAAAAGCGGACCTTTTAGCGGCCAGTGGCGAGTGCACGTCCTTATTTGGCATGGAATTCTTTGTGCATAGTTGAATTGAAGACGAATTGTTATCAGATAATAAACATGCTTTACTTTTATCGCTTTTCTGTTGTGTCCTCGTTCACTATATTTTGAGCCAGGAAGGTGGGTATTCCGTTGCTTGCAGCCTTACAGCGTAGCCTGGTGCTGAACTTGCTTATACGATTTACAGCACCCCCGGGGCCTGGCATTGGGAGTCGACGCAGATGCCCTCGGCTTGCATCCCAATGCGTCAGCATAGCGACAAACTCATGTCTCGTAGGCACTAAACAGTATCTTGTGTTCGTTGTTAACGATTTCGCTCTTGGGTGTTTTTTTTTCGCTCCAGTTCTGCTTGCGCCGATGAAAGAAATGAAAAATCCCCCCCTTCTCAATCCGATCGAGGTATGAGCACTCGTCCAGGAAAGAGACCTTAAAATCATAGCGAAACTTGGGCGTGATGTCCCAGACATTTGCAATGGACGTTATAAGCAGTAAATCAGCCCAAAGAGCATTGTACCTGGGGGGACCCTTTAGTTCAAATGCGATAGGCATAAAGCACTCAGTGTAGGCTTTTATTTCGGTCTTGGGGTCGACCTTCCTAGGGGTCAAAACGGCCTCTTCGAATGCGGATGTGTCTTCCTTTCCTGAAGTCTCATGGATGATCTTTGCCAATCCAGTAGCAATGATATCGTCATCTCTGACGCCACCAACACCACAATGTAAAAGGTGTTCAGAGGAAGGTTGAATGCGTTGTCTATATTGATTGTTTTCATAGTTTAAACAAACGCAAGTAGAAGGTGTTAGATATGCGTACATACTAATACACGCTAACAACATGAGGCTTGTGGCATATAGCCATATTACATGCTGCCACCGCGTGTATTTAATTAAATCCAGCGAGTCCTATCAATTTACTTAAGCCACCGAGTAACATATAATGTTCTCGGTGGATTAATATTAAAGATCCCTCTCTTGTTCTCATTGACTCCTGATTCATATATACTTCGCAAGGCTCCTGTACAACCTTCGCACTTCCAATTAACCAGGGAATAAGACCGAATATATGGAGTTATGACTTGAATAATAATGGGGGATGATGGAGGATCAAATGGGAGTGAAGGTTGGATGAGAAAGAAAGTATGGTGTATACGAATTCTTTTGTTTATAATTGACCCCTCTCTCCAGCCATAGGTGGAATGTTTTCGAAGAAAGGAGGCCACGCCTAGAAAAACTAAGCGTATTCGCACAGCAGAAGCCTGAGCTTCAGCGACTGTATACAGTAGCTTGTTGCTCTATTCCGCGGACCGGGATCGAACCGTCAACTCTTGTAATGTGGAACCATATGCGACTAGTTATTAAACCTAATTAGAAATTTTAGCTGTGCCGCCTGAAACAGTCGCTGTGCTCTAAACGCGATCGTACATACATAGTGCATTTCTCTGCCCCTTAAACAGCCAAGACCTCGCTTAATACTGTTGAAAGAGCAACGTCGCTCTGAACGCTGCCTCAAGCCATTTATTATGCATTATATGCAGACCTGAAGGTCGTTCAAGCAGTGGACATCATTGTTGATTCCCCATTGATCACAATTTTCCAACCAACCAGCCAACCAACCCCTCCCCTCTTTTTTTAAGGGGATAAAAGTAAACTGGCGCAGTTACAGGAAAAATTAGGTCTGAAGGGGGACTAATGAACAGGGCTTTAATCAAAAGGGTGGTGTTGAACAAGAAAAATATGGCGTAAACCAAGAAAATGGATAAAAGTGTGACTAGTAAGTGCTGTAACTTGGGGTGGTCAGAGCACAATAAAGATGGTGAAGGCAGCCGAAAAAGGCCAAAGGGCTGCATGCCCCTGATAAGATGTGTGTGTATCTGTTCTTTTACTGTCATGATCTTCCAATAATAAACTTTTTTTTATGTATACGGCTTGGATACGACATACATATACATACAACTCTCAGTGACTGCTGGCCAACAACATGTTTAAACAGCAAACATCGGTATCGTGGCTTCGAGGGTCGGTCAAGTAAAGAGACGACAGAGTCCCCTTCTCCCCTTTTTCATGCAAACCATAGACTATGCACCCCAAAGTTTTGCTTAGACAATTACCGCAGGCACCGTATCGCTCATGCCTTGTTTTAATCCGGACATGCACGGATATTTACCACACAAACACACATTCGCTCTACCAGTTTACGGTTACTGTAGACAACTCCTTCTCCCTCTTCTCTCTCTCTTCCCTTTCTCTTGGTTGCCAGCTAGTCTCTACATTAGCTTCAAAGGTGTGCAATCATGGTGTACCTGTGTCTATTGACGAGGAACACTACTTCTTATCCTTCTCTGTGGATGAGGTTTTATTCTGTCAGGAGAAGGAAGCGAGGGCGAGGGCGAGGGCAAGGGCAAAGGTGAGGATGAGGGCAGGGCATTGGGGGACATCATGACATAAAGTTGAGCGGGGCGCTAAACGACATGAAGGAATGTGAGAGCAATCAGAGTATGCAGCGCGATCTCTCCAGACACAAAATGAGTGCCAAGAAGCCATTTGAGCATCGATATCCTGAACATGCACCTCATCCATCAATCTAACGACCTTCTGGCGATCCATGGCTGCCATACCCATATAAAAAGGATCGCAGTTCTTTTACCTTTGCTGCCTTGCCCACTGTCCATCCTCTTCAGTAACTCCTCCACCACACCCTTGCCATCTTGGTATGTCATGAATATCATTATAACGGCGCTTATCGTGTTCATTATCACCAAGTGAAATCGCCAATGTATTTTCTTTTTTAACTCTAGCACGCACGCTCTTCATTCCTTCTCACAATCATACTTAATGGATGGCCTCGGAATAGAAAAATGGCTCGCCTCAACCAAGTGTCTCTCTTCCTGGCCGTCCTGCTGTTGGTCTTCAAGACAGCTAATGCCAGTTACGCATACTGCATCGGCCTCCACTTCGACAACGACATCCTTTACTCAACCAAGGCTTCCTTTTCTCTTTGGGACGACGCAGGCGATAATGCCGCCCAGTACCGAACCATTTATTCCGCCTCCAAGACTACCTTGCAGAACAACGGCTGGACTCTTAATCTCGGTATCAACCAGGGAAATATTATGACTTCACTGATGATTTCTTCTAACAAGTACAGCGGTCTTCCCAGCTCGGCCTATTACGAGAGCCTTTGCTCCAATGGGTACACCAACTTCTACTATGGCTGCTTTGAAGACGGCAACAGTAATTGGTGCGTCAACAATGAAGAATGGCACAAAAACGATTGCAGCTCGAACCTCAATTTCGGTTCTATTCCCTATAGCTGCTAGTCTCCTTTCACTTTGCCTCTACTCCCGCCTCTTCCTCATATCTCCCTGTAACGTGAAAAGTATTCGTCTCGTTCCTCTTCTTTCATCACGTAAAATAAAGTTTTTGAAAAGTCATACTCGGTAAAGTGGGTTCTATCTAACATCTTCGGTAGACACACTAGTCGTCAGTTATTAAGTAGAGGATTTTTTGAGTCTCTCACTTACTCACTACTCCAGCCAACTCCCTGCGGATGCAGTTCAGATACAGTCAATACCCATTTGATTTAAGTAAGTAGACTCGCCTTAGGACTCTTGAGTATGCTGTGCAGCATATAGCTTAGATCCGGCGAGCCCTATCAATTTACTTAGGCCACCGAGTAACATATAGTGTTCTCGGTGGATTAATATTAAAGATCCCTCTCTTGTTTTCATTGACTCCTGGTTCAAATTTACTTCGCAACCATCTCGACTTCACAATCGATAAAACCAACATGACCCTCTTTATTCCTCGTATCAAGGTCAGGGACACCCGCAGAGAAGCCGACAAGATCCTTTGTCTGGGAGAGGCTTCCCTTCGCCACCTTCAGCATTCATCGGAAAGCCATGGCGATGTTGGCAGTAGTCTTTCCAGCTCGCATACGCACTCGACGCCTGACCCAACTACTCAACTCGGCTCTGAAGACATGCAGTTGGATGGTCCTGGTGAAGTTAACGGACAAGGCTCGCCAAGGGCTTCCCTGATGATCATCCAGCCTACAAGGATGGAATGGCCGATGCTCCCTACCGCAAGCAACGGATCTGGATTCTTACACGAACAGCTCGGACAATCATTGGGGCATAGTTGTTAAGCGCATGATTTAGCAGTATAAATATTATCTTCATTATGTAATAAAGTATATAATAGTGATAGACGGAGGTCATCAGTCAGTCATGGTTACCCGAGGAGCAGGATCGCCTAGCATCTTATCCGGCATCCTCGAGCCAAGAGAAAGTTGGTCAATGTGATATTGGACAACATGACCACAGTAGCACATATCAGCAAGTTTGGCGGCACGCCCCCCCCCCCCCCCCCCCCCTCCCCTCCCCCCAGCTCACGTCACAGATATGGTCTTATTGTCTCGAGACCGGGACGCGTCTCAGGACCGTATAAGTATCATCGCTGTTCAATCCAGCGGGCGCTCCTTTTTATCGGGTGAACACGCAACTGGAGTGGTCCGTCAGCCAGGACTTCTTCCAGGAACTGGACTCACAGTGGGGCCCACATACTATAGATCTCTTCGCAACGAACGCCAATGCGAAACTACCGACCTACGTGTCCTGGAGACTGGAGTCCGAAGCGATGGCGCATGATGCGTTCAATCTTACATAGAACAACGGGAGAAAATTGTACATCTGCCCTCCATGGAACCTGACATCGCCAGTCCTGCAGAAACTGCAAGAGGAGTCAATGGCAGCGGCAATAATCACCTCGAATTGGCCAAATGCCATATGGTGTCCGAAGATATCCAGATGGGCGACGACTTCTCCGACCCCGATCCCTCGATCAACGGTTCTCCCAGCCCCAGGGAACCAACCCTCTGTCCTCGCCAAAAATCCGATGTGGTCTCTTGCGCTTGAAATGTCGACAGCAGACACTAACGGCAGCAAGAGCAAGTGAGACCGTCATCTCGCTTCTTTTCGAGGACAACAACTCCATTTGCCGGCGCAACGCTTACGCTGGCCGCCAACGCGGTTTTGTCCGATAGATGGGACACTTCGTACTTGAATCCTCTAATTCCTCATCCGGTCGAGCTCATGAATTTCTTGGCCTATGGTTACACCAATAACAATTGGTCTTTTACCACTGTCAAGGTCTACAAGTCAGCCATCTTCGCTCTCTACAACGACACTACGGTTTCCACATCCTATGCGCCATTTGAGAAGCTGAAGACAGCATTAGCGAGGAAGGGCATGAAGCGCATTCGACACGCTGAAGTTAACCTGGATCCTATTTTCAATTTCCTCAACAAGCTCAAGAACAACGGTTCATGCAATTGCTCGACCTCTCACAAAAGATGTGCTGGCTTCTGGAAGTATGGAGCTTCTTGCGCCCCGACGACATTGCGTGCATCGATCTCAGCGGATCAAGGATGGTTGACAACAAGCTCGAACTCTCTGTTCTATTGCCGAAGGAACTTCGCCAGCAGCAACGCATCCGTAAGACGGCGATAATTCTTCCACATCCCGATCTAGTTTACTGTCCTGTTGCTGCCTTCCAGGAGTATTGTCACCCCATTGCACATGCCTTAGTTCCCATCCCCACTACAAGGACCTAGAACAAATCTTCGTCCCTTTGGTCCGCAATTTAAGGGATTTGAAGCAGGCTATCACGGCGGACCGTACCAACAACCACCTCAAGCACTATCTCGAGATGATATCTGGACCAGTTGGTGCCCCACGTCTCAAGGTTCGCGCCATCGGTGACACACACGCTCTTATGAAAAGCGTATCTGTCGAGGATGCCATGGTTCAAGGAAATTGGTCCTCTCCTGCAATTGTGGACTCGTTCTACCGCGCGTCACGACAGACGGCCAACAATTTCACCACTGCAGTTTTTCCCTGATTTTCTTTATTTTTCTCTGGATCCACAGGGAGAGTCCCATCGAAGAGCAGAATAATATTCAGCGTAGTCGAATAAGTATGAAGATTAAAGCCTATTATTCGACCAAGATGGGACTCTAACTGACCCACCCAACCCGCCCTGTCTTCTATTCTGGAGATGATAGAGTTCCGAGGTGCCGCGAATCCCGAAGATATGTCGCATCCAAGCCGCATACATGAACAAAAAAGTATATTATTGGAAAGGTCATAATAATAAAAGAAACAAGCGCTATGCTCTTCTCTGAATGGGATAAAAAATTGCTTCATTTTTCTGTTGTGATGAGCCGTGCTTCGGCTTTCTGTTGGTGCAAAAGGGATGGAGAGAAGTTTTTAGTCCTGCTTTCGATATTACAGGATCCTGTTCCTGGTTTCCTCGTCGCTACCAACCTCAAAAGTCGAAACCTGCTTCTCACAACAAGGGCGACACATCCTGATCCTCCAGCGCAGATTAACATTTTCACCCAGGTACTTGACATTGCCCTTGGTCATCGTTGGCAGCGGCGCCCGAACCAACTGCGGCATCTGGCGGAAAAATTCGGCGTCGACTGGGGCCAGATCGAGACACTTCTCACAGACATGAAGGCTGCTCACGCACATTCACAGCATGTAGCTCTTGGATTCGGGAATATTGCGAAGAGTACGAAGTCGCATCTTGGGTCCAAAGGCGACTGAGAACATGTGAGACCACACCGGCAGAGAGGACACGATTGTGTTAAAGTTTTTGTTGACCATTGATATCCGGGAGAGCTGGGACGGGTAGAGGCGGTTGAAGGTCCGTTGCCAGATCTCTGGAGGGACTCGCTTGTCAAACTGGTCGTGCGTTCGGAGTGCCGACTGGGTTTCGGTGCCCATTTTGAAGTGATGTGTGTGTGGTGTGCTCTTGGGACTGTCAAGAGAGTAGGGATAGCCTGGGAAGAGTGTGGACGAGAAAGAAAAGGAAGTGGGATGAAGGGCGAAAGAAGTAAAAGAGAGTCGACTGCTTCGCTGATCTGTGCTGTCGTCATCATTTTGCTTCTGACTCCCTACCTCTCTCACTATCGGCATGTGTATTTACTAGTCTATCCATCTTACGAATTGTATGTCTTTGCATCAGGTCCGCGCATCTGTTTGTTTATTTGTTTGTATGTTTGTGTCTGTGAGTGTAGATTGCAAGCTAAAGAAAAGGATGTCCAGCATCTAATAAGCGATATCCATCAGGATAAAGTCAAGAGGCGGTCTAGTCATCAGGGACGTCAGCAAGCAGCCACAAAGAAAAAGTGTCCCTCAACACCAAAGACACCTTCCACTCTCGCCAGAATGAACACATCCAGCATCATAATATCCTCCTGAGCATCCACGTCTACACCACACTCCTCTATTTCAAGTAATCCCCAGGCAACGTGCATCACAGTGGGTATGAGAAGTATGTGGGAAAATGAATCTGTGAAAAACGAGATTCTCTTTAAGAGTGCACGAGCCGCGCCTTAAATACTGGGGAATATCTAATACAAGAGACACGACTTACAGGTCGTAGTCTCAGAGGCGCTATGCTCTTGATAAAGGATCGGCACCGAGTGGTGGCTGATTTAAAAGAAAGAGGGCACTTCCAACAAGTGAGACAATATGGTAGGTGAAATACCACACTTCGCGAGCGCTTGGGGTTAAGTGAGCAATTGCGGTATGATCGTCGCGAGTGTCCTTGTTGACCGCAACTACTGCATGTTACTGTTGAGGGTTGCATGATTGGGGAGCTGAGGACACTGTATGGCATCTCAATTGGAGAGGCGGATGAAAAGAGTGGGAGAGAACGAAGAGAGTGAGAGAGGATGAATTAAGTGAGAGAGGACGGAGAGAGTGAGAGAGGACGAAGAGAAAATTGTTCTCGTTTTATACATTCCCTAAGGCGCTCAGTGGATCCCAAGCATCATCGTCGAGTGCTCAACTATGATTCCCAATTATATGTCATCTGAAATTGGGTCCACCTGCTTTCGAAAAAAGCGAAAGTCGCTTGGTATCGACGCTGAATCCATAAAAAGGTTGAATATTTGAGTCGCACATGCGTCGAGGCTGATGGCAGAACCCGAGGAGGCAGAATTATTCAGAGGAGGCAGCAGAGTAACCTTGGCAGGAGGCGGAGGTTCAGGTGTTGCAGGGATCTTGATGATGAAGGATGGGTTTTTCTCAGGACCCGACTTGAATATGGACTTCATGAAGCGATCCTCAGGCGAAGAAGGAGTGCATAGAGCTTTCGCTCTCATTGAGCTTATGGTTAAAAACTCCACACCTCTATCAACCGGAGTCCCTCCAATACGGTGATACATCTGGAGATTACGCTCCCACGATTCGCAAGGCGCTGGCATGAGACACCTTGCACAATCGTGGATTTTGGCGTTCTCTGGGCTGCATACCATCATCAAAGGGACAGGTCCCTCCCTTGGGGGCACGGCCCACGCATGCAGCTGAGCGGCATCCAGCGGTGACAGAGTGGGAGAGGCGGGTTGAGGACTGGAATCAATTTCCTCGACACTGGGCTGCATGACCTGGGTTAGCTCGTCGCTGGGCATCTCGGTCTGTATCTCCATGGCCTTGATCTCGCCAACCCGAGGTCGCTTGGCAAGCGTCCTCTCATCTTCATCTGATGACTTGGAGCTTGAGTACGCATCAAAGATGAAATCTATATCCTCGGCGAATAGAGACTCGGCTGACTCTCAACTGACCATTTCAATCTCGAGGTCCTAGGAATTTCATCCGCCGGTGGAGGACATAGGTAACCCAAGGCATCTCGCGCAGCTCAGCGCCTTTGCAGCACCGAGTTTGCGCCTCAGCCCTGGAGGAGGGGGGCCGCGAGTATTGGTTGCGAGCTAAACAGCGGCGTCCTGCGCCTTGCGAGCACTCTGGGTTTGCTTAGTCGGTGACTTTTTACCGGTCTCTTGCGATCGTTTGGTGCGGACCATGAATGAACCCTTAGCTATTAATTTCTTCGTGCTTGAAACAGGAGGAAAAAGCAGTTAGCAACATGAAAACGCGAAACCCACCCATGGAAGAACGTGTGAAAGTTAAATTCAGGACGTGCCTGTACGGCACAGGCACCGCAAGGTTAAAAAAGTCCGATTCTAATTTCTTTTTACCCGCGCTGCCGTCGGGGAGACTGGGTTATTCGATTGATCTCTCCAACCGCACAGACAGCTTCATTTCTTGACAAATAATCACATACCTGCTCGAGATACGGCCTTCCACCTTGGCGTCATCGCCGTTCTCAGGGCCCGCGTCGTGCCTGGGTCTTTTGACCGGTCTCTTGCAAGGAGGGCCGTTGCGAGTGTGAATCCGGCCGCAGTGAACGCACTTTGCCATGTTGAATAGTCAGGAGAATCAATGGAAGAAGGACTATGGGTGCCAATGGCAGGAAAAGATAAAGGATATAGGTAGATTGTGATAGCGAAATCGACGGCGGAGGAGAGAGAATGCATCTTATACAGGGCTATCTGTCGGGACAACCTTGTTGTTCAACAACATCGTTGCTCAGGTCAGGTCGCGAGTAGTCAACAACATTGTTACTCAGGTGGCGCTGCGTTGCGCCAAAGAGAGGGGCCAAAAAAAACCTGTTTGGGCCAAGAAAGCAGTTTATTTCTCTGTGTGGTTCTGAAGGAGCGGGAGTTGTACGTAACTACTGCTTCGCCTGTGAGCGCCGTGACAACTTTATTGCCCAGGTCAGGTCGCGAGTAGCCAACATCATTATTGCTTAGGCGGCGCGTTGTGTTGTGCCAAAGAGCCAAAGATAGGGACACAAAAACCTGTTTAGGCCGAGGAAGCGGTTTACAGTGCTGGCTTTCTTAAGAAGCGGGTGCTGTAGGTCGTAACTACTACTGCACTTTGTATTATTAGACTAGTAGAACTGCCCGTGGCACACGCCACGGGCCCGAGACGAAAAATAAATAGCTCACTGTTATAAAAAAAACGAAAGCTTTATTGGACGTTCAGCAGATTTCTACAAACGATATTTCACGTATAAACACCCTCCTTTCCATCTATGGCACCATACTTGACCAGAGCCTTGGGGTTGTCTCGGTGTTTGCAACGCGAGAAGCTGACATACAATTGCCCAGCACCAAAGGCGTGCTGAGGAAGATACACACCAACATGGTCAAGTGATTGTCCTTGCGCCTTGTTATGGTCAAGGCAAACGCAGGCTTGACAGGAAACTGGCGCCTAGTGAACTTGATTGGCGTATATCCATCGTCCAGGGTTTTGAGAGTTATGCATGGAATAAGCACCGTTCGTCCCTTGAAGTCACCGTGAAAGATCTCTGCACTGATGTATCTCCGACGGAGTGCTCGAACAATCAAACGGGTACCATTGTAGAGGCCGTATTTGCCGCCCAAGTTTCGAAGAAGAATGATGGGCTGGCCCCCCTTCAACAGCAACTCGCGGGGAGGCATACCTGGAAAATTATTGCACGTTGAGCTTTACATGATCTGGAACGGGATTTTGAAAGTCGAGTGGGCTGTACGACCTCCTATCAAGGCCCGAGCAGCAATTCCAGATGACGCTTTTTTATTCATGAGACTACTGAGCTATCTAATACTTCAAGCCCCAGGTCGTGGCTATAAACGCCCCCTACCGGGAGCATAATAACCAACAACTATCTTTTGTCTCCTTGAATCACACTGAGGTACATAAAACATCACAAAGTGTCAATCGATCATATCGTGTACTCGACAAAAACAATGATATGCATCCGCTCCCTGCCATAGTTTGTACCAAATGCTCAAATGCTGCGCCTGTCAGGATGATGACTTATACATGACTCACGTTTGACTCACACTTCCCTAGCCTTTTCCTAAGCATATATATATAGGACGCAAGCGCCTTCTAACCTTCTTTCATCCTATCATGCCTTCCGTTTCACCTCTCGACATCCCGATCATCGTTGACGCCATTTGCGACAACCTTGACCTCAATGACATTGTCAGCTGCAAGGGAGTCTGCAAGGACTGGAACAACGTCTTTGCACCCTACGAATGGCGATCTCTCCATCTTACGAACCACAACTATAATCAAATCCGCCCAGGCCCATCACCCGAGACACGTTCCTTGATAATCAAGCATGCACATCGCCTTGAGTCGCTGACGATCTACCAAGACGATGTTGCCTGGTTGCCCGACATTTCTTCCTGCGTCAATATCAAACGGCTTTCATATGAAGGAGGCGGGTTTGAATTCCATGAGAGCTTGGACGAGTTTCACCAAGAATTCCGTAACCAATTAGCTCTATTGGCGACAAGGCAGAATCCGAAGGAACAGAGTTGCCTTGAAGTCGACGCCCCCAAAGTTGGCATCATATTCTCTCCTTTGACGCTCTTCTCGGCACTTCAAGGGCTCTCGAACTTGACCGAGCTAAGGCTCTGCTTTGGAATCCAATGGGTGAGCTTTGGAGATCAGTCACCAGACTTGGGCGTAAAGTTTGATCCAGCGGTACTTGCTTTGGCAATGGCGAATTGCCCGTCGAGTCTGGAATCGTTCCATATCGAGGACTGTTTTGAAGACGAGATAGATACGGGCCCGCGTGCTCCTCCTCGGATCGACTCCTCTACTCTCGTTCTGCCATGGAAGCCTTTACCGAACCTCCGCAAGTTCCATTATGGGCCCAAGCTTGACTACAGTTGCAACTACAATACCAAAGATATGATCGACGCTACCTTGATCCCGTTCCTGAGGCACTGCTGTCCAGTCCTTGAGGATCTATCCCTACCAGATTTCCCCGAAGATTCCGCCGAGTTGTTGATGAGGACCATAGGACAGCACTGTCCCGGAGTGCGATATTTGCGATTGAATAACGACGGCACGCCGGGAGAACCGCGCGGATACGAGGTCTATCACTTTGATCATATCTCCCAACCTTTGAAGTTCCTCAAGATCGATCTTCAATACGAGCACGACACTAAAGTCCTTTTGACGCTCATGAGAAACGGACCGGATGCGTTGGAGGCACTGGAGTTCAAGCACACAGGCGACTATTTTGGGCACGAATATATTCCGCCCGCTAGGTCGTTCCCGAACCTGGCAAAAGTTGATTTCACTGGCTCCTACAGAAACTCTGCTGACACATTGTATACCTGGATAAGGCCGGCTGAGATCAGTCATTACGACGATGACGAAAGACGTCGTTACTCCGTAAAATCAACATCTGGTTTTTACAAGATTCCTGATCCAATAATTTTGATATGAAGCATATGTAGAGCTGTCGGCGAGAAGTATGTGGAACGATAAGTCTGTGAAAAACGATATGCCCTTTTAATAGTGGCAGATCGTGCCTTATATACTAGGGAATAGCTATAAATGCATCTAGTATAGGGGATTAGGAATATAGGAGAAAGTCTCAGAGGCACTATGCGCTTCATAAAGAACCGGCACCGAGTGGTGGTGAATCCAAAGAAAATAGGGTGCTATATATGTATAAGCAACACAATGTGGTGAATACACCACAATGCACAAGGTTCAAACCCGGTGGGGATCCTACTGGAAAAATCAAGGACCAAGCCAGACGCAGTAGAGCCTATTCGAGTCATTATCAAATCCATTGCATATCTTCTTTTCATACTTGAGTGCATGCCAGAGCTGGAATTTCTCCACCCCGATTTAGCTTTGAGGGTTGCCCGAGAATTCGCGTATTTTCTTACGCCAGACAGTTTATTGTCAATAACAACGCCATTATCAGTCCGCCAACGCTACCTTGGCTCTGGATCCCAGAAGAACACGAACTCTATCGATGCAAAAACCCAATCTTGCAGTTTCATTACGCTACGGACAAGCCTGGCAGGCTAAATGCATACTTCACGGAGGGTGTATACGTAGCTCCCGTCAGCCTTCTTTGGTCTATTGAAAAGCCATCAGACGGATTTCAGGACGAATTCATTGAGATCAATCCCCTTCCAGGAGACACATGGTGACGGAGAGCATATCAACTTATACGGCTTCAATTCAACCTCAAACGCGACATATATGTTGTCCGGCCTCGATATTATGGTTTGAATATCCTTAACAATCCTGCCATAAATAAACTAAAATGAACTTTTGATCTCGTTCGGAACCCTACTGGACCTGCATCTTCTTTTCGTTCGCTCGGAACACTCATCCGCACCTAAAGCAGTATCACTTATGTCCTCTTCGACTTCCTCTACCCCTGACGCCCTTGCATCCCTTATCCAAAGCGGTGATTTTAAATCAATTATGCGATCCACGCTTCGTGAGGTCCTGGATTCAGCGATCCTTGACCAGGATCCTCCGGAGCGAGATGAACAGATCGCTCCCCCAGTCGTCACTGAGCTGCATACACCCTCAGAGAGTGAACGCGAGCGCTGCCCTGTAATATGGCCGGCTGATCCCCACGCCTTCTTCCGCAGGACAGTATCGAACGACGACTGGAATAACGGGTTACGCCATTATCCCAAGAACACGCGGGTTACCTACGACCCTCCTGTCCTACCCTCGGTCGTACAATGCTCTTCCACTTTCAAGGCTCACGACAGTTAGCTTTCCAGGATTCAATGCGACATCTCTCATCTTACGCGCCCTATCGACCATCTCCTCCACCAGGTCCTCTCAGCTGGCGACATTCCAGAGGAGAGCGAGGAGTTGTTCGTCAGTATTGCTAACCACATGCGTGAGCAATTGGAGTTGCTGGCGAGCAAGATCACGACAGTTCGCACAGAAAACTTACGCAAGTGTGGTGTGGTAAACCCACATGGAATATAGACGGGGTATCCAGGTACAAGGAACGGACACAACACCTGATATGATACGATGGGAGGAATAGGTACAGGACACTCATACGATCATACTCAAGAAAATCCATGGTATGCTGCCAACCATGCAGTACATGCACAGGTGGAAGCCGAATCTGTATACCACAGACAGATGCCAAGTGTGCCTTACCATGGTGGAGGATACCCAGCACCTCTGGGTCTGCAGAGTCACACAGAACAGACGACAGGAAGAATGGAGAAAGACACTTGATGGGGTTCTAAGTCTTGGACGCACCTTGGTAGATAAGGCGAGGAAAAAGTGGTTGTGCGACATGGAGGAGGCAATCAAGGATGGTCGACAATTCACACGCACCGAACCGAGTTTTACCCCGTGCGAGTTAGACACCCTTTGGTGGAGTCTGCGTGATATCCGGGGAGTGGAAACGATGGTGGATACGCGGGATGATGACTGGATAAGGCTGCTGGAGGAGCGGCGAGACAGGGACAATGGTGGCGAGGACAGAGAGAATGTCCATGAGGAAGAAGGAGAAGGAGTGAGCAGTCAAGAAAACGTACAGCAGGCAGCACCGCCTACCAGGCTATGGACAACGACAGACATATATCACGGGCTCATACCAAAGTTCCTGACAACGGATTGGGCGCTACTCTTGAAGACGTCGAAGAGCATCGCGGCTTACCTGGTTGGACGTTTTGTAGAACGAGTTGAGGCTTTTGGCCGAGAGGAGTTATGGAAGGAGCGATGTAGTGCCACAGTGGCATGGGAAAAGTCCGAGGGCATATGCACGAGGATGAAGAAAGCCGGGGTCCAGGTAGGAGGTGAGACCCAGGGCTTTGTGAGACAACAGCCCCAAGAGGAGGTTACGACAGCGGCGAGGAGGAGAGCAGACAGCCGCTTGGTGGACCATCTCCAGGGAAAGGTGGTGTTGAACGAGATGGAGAGAGGAAGGAGGATAAAATTCATATTGGCCCGTGATCTTGACTAGGAGAGGACCCATCGGACCCGACAGGTTGCGTAGCGGTTTTGGGCCCCGGCTCAAGTATTAGAAACCATACGACTCAGAATGTGCACCATAGGTATTTGGTTCCTCATTTTACATTAGTTTAGTGGGGGCCTCTTGATAGCTATCTTTAGGTAACTATCGGCCGGCTGACAGTCCAAGCCGAGGCTTGGACAATGCAGCCTGTGGCACGCCTGCACGCCTGGGGGGATCTGGCGTCAATAAAAAAAAAAAAAAAAAAAAAGACACTCATACGATCATACCAGGCACGTGCCGCACGTGCAGTTACAGGATGTGCAATTAGAAGGACATGCATTTAGACAAGAGTCAATATGGTTTGCATTTATAGAGATTTTCTTTGGTCAATAAATATCACAGAACGACAGGACCAAATGATTCCTGGTCTGTTTCCTCACTATACTTTGCTCAACACTTGCCCCCGCACGACACTCCAAGTCGCTCCACGCATCCCTGTCCCAACACACTGTACCCTTCGACTGGTATACTCTGCCACAGCTGGCCTTCATAGCATATCGCCCAGCAAGAGTAGAGACGGGACCCGTGCGTCTGAACTACTGCACCTCTAGTGCCCCCCAAGTGTTCCTGCGAGTCCGCTCATACTACCTGCCTGCCCCACGTCAGGTAACGATCATGGTCTCATAACGAACAAGAGCGGAGGATCAAGAACAGTACCCCTCGATGTCGCCGTCTGGACACAGGAGTCAAGACAGAGTCCCTTTGACCTTGCAGATCCCTAACCCGAGCGTGTTATCGCCTTTCCTATTCTCGTAAATAGTTTTATTGTCTTTATTATCCTCACCGTTTAAAGATCTCTTACCAGTGCCCCCACATCTGGAGCTTTATCCATACACCGTAAGATAATTATTATGTAGAGTCTTCGTAAAGCAGAAGAGACTTTTATTGAGCAACATATTCACAGCTAGTACTTTTACCTGATATAGAGCCACTACACCACAGCAAGGACAAGGGGATCCCGGCTTCAGACAACTCAAACACGCTCATTGGTCCCCACAGTTTCAACGAGGAGATCAAGACAGCCAAGGCCCTGGCTGCAGCATTTGCTCCCCCGAAGACCAACAACGCCAACAGCAACAACGGCCGTCGAGGCAAATCGGGAAATCAGGACCATCAACAGCAACGGCCCCGCAGATGCCACGGCAAAGGCAATAACTCCGACAGACACGGTCACGACGATCGCAAGAGTTCCGCCTACCAAAGCGATGACGACAGTGATCGCGGCCGCCAACGGTCTTCTTTTCACAGGGTCAAAGGAAAAGACACCAGGAGGGACAACTGCTACCACGGACGCAGCAGCAGCCGGGAGCCCTCCGACCGACAGTAGGGGGGCGCATCCAGCGACATGCGTCCGCCTGGCTAGGACTTTCGCTGGATCGGGAGGTAAAAGGTATCATCAGAGAAGGCTACAGGATACCTTTTATCAGGAACCCTCCGACAGCATCCTTCCCCAAACACGACCCGGTATTGGCGAAGGAAGACATGGATGCCATCGACCAGGAGGTGTCCGCTTTGCTGACCAAGGAATCTATCGAATTAGCGACATCACCAGGATTTTCAAGTCGTCTCTTTTGTATCCCCAAGAAGACAGGCGACCTGCGTCCAGTGCTCAACCTCCGACCACTGAACGCGTACATAGCATCTCGACACTTCAAGATGGAGACTCTAGGGGTAGTAACATCGGCAATAGAAAAGAATGATTACCTGACATCGCTCGACTTGCAAGATGCCTTTCATCATGTGTTGATTCACCCCGACTCGGGCAAGTATTTGCAGTTCCGATGGCGGGGCAAGAACTATCAGTTCAAAGTACTCCCATTCGGTCTGTCAATGGCGCCGCTTGTGTTCACAAAGGTCCTACTGTGGTGTAGTAAATGAGAATCAGTTGGTTGTTCTTGCAAAGTTAATATTAGATCACGGGGAAGAGCACCGCCCCCAGAATAAAAGAATAAACGGTCTGGTACCTGAGCCAAAGTCTTCTTTCCACCTAAATCATTTGTATCACACATTGTATTCGTTCAGATTGTCCGGATAACACCGCATCAACGACAGGTACTGACTACCACCGTCAGTAACCCATGCAACGAGATACAATCAACAAGGAATGCCGATCCTGATCATTCGCCACCTTTGCACCATCAATCGCTCTTATTTAGACATTGTACTTGCCCCGCAGCGCTTCCCCGATTACCGATCGTCTCATTGAGCATCCGACATCGGCCCACCCTCGTGAAACGGCATTATAAAGGTACAACGGAGGCCTGATCAGCGACTATTGGCATACAACGACTCCAGAGGGGTGGACTTCATTGTCACGACTCCTCACCTCCTCGGACATCACAATATGCGAACTCCTTGCAACTACCCCAGTCATTCCCAAAGGAATATAGTCCTAGCTCGCACCATTTAGCTAAATAGATCCCCATCTTTATTCCTTTCCATTTACGTCTCTGCTACGCTGGGCGCGAGCGAAGGGGATCCGGATCTTTGCATATCTCGACGATCTCCTGATCGCAGCCTTGTCGAAGGATCAAGCGGTCAGGGACACGGCACTGGTGCAGGCCAAGCTACAGGAGCTGGGGTTCCTGATCAAGTTGTCGAAATCGCACCTCACCCCAACGCAGAGAATACAGCACCTAGGCTTCATCATCGACACGAAGGACATGTCGCTGTCGGTTCCCGGGGACAAAATCAGAGATGTCCGGAGAGAGGCGTCCAGGATGATCAACAAGGGAGCAGCGACGATGAGGCAGTTCTCATCCTTCATCAGCAAGACGAACACGATAACCGCAGCAATATTCCCAGCACAGCTGCGTTCCCAACATCTGCTCCAGTTGAAGAACAATTCCCTGACGGCGGGCAAGCAATGGACCGACAAAGTGGATCTCACGCTGGAGGCAAAGGAGGACCTTCTCTGGTGGAGGACGAGCCTCCAGACATGGAATGGACAATGCTGGATCCCACCCCCGACAGCGATGGACGTTTACACGAACTCATCGGAGACAGGATGGGGCACTGTGATCGGGAGCCGCTCTTGGTCAGGATCGTGGTCGACGCATCAGCGACGTCTTCACATCAATGTCAAGGAGCTCCTCACGGTATACATGGCAGCGGATCTCCAGGAATGCAGGGGCAGGACGCTGAGCATAGTATGCGACAATACATCGACTACTACATACATCAATCGCTTCGGGGGCATCTGATCACCAGAGTTGCTTTACTGGGCAATGAAGCTCCGGTACAGATGCCTCAGGATGGGAACGCGCCTCAAGACCACGTACATCCCATCTGCATTCAACCCAGCCGATGCGCCATCTTGCCAGCTCGCGGCTCAGTTGGAATGGTCGATCAGCCCCGACTTCTTCTCACGGATGGATCGGAAGTGGGGACCACACAGGGTGGACTTGTTTGCGTCGGAACAAAACCACCGCCTACCACACTTCGTGTCGTGGAAACCATGCAGGAGAGCAGTTGCCTGGGACGCCCTGCAACAACCTTGGAAACGCCTGGGATGCGTCTATTGTTGCCCTCCATGGAACTTCGTTCCAGCAGTGCTACAGAAGGTCCGACAGGAGAAGGTCTGACAGGAGAAGGTGGATGCGACAGTCATCACCCCTTTCTGGACGTCGGCACTCTGGTTCCCGACGATACGGGCCATGTCGACCGCAGCACCCACTCCGATTCCGAGGGAATCAGTGACACCAGCACCGAGAAACGCACCGGGTATTCTACAGAAAAATCCGATGTGGTCGCTTACTGCATGGAATATAAGCGGAAAGCGTTGATGCGAATGGGCGCAAACGACTCGGTTATCGCCATGTGGAACAACAACAAGGCTCACAAACGTACTTTGGCGCAACGAGCGGGATCCCAGCTCCAGTACATACGCTGGGCACTGACGCGGGACATAGACCCTCTCACTCCCAACACTGCCAGCCTCCTCAACTTTTTGGTCTCGGGGGTTGCATTGGACAAATGGTCAGAGTCGACAACGACCACCTACAAATCGCAGATTATCCAGCTCTACGAGGACCAGTCAGCTTTCCAGACAGAGCTGTTTCGGAGCTCGATGAGGATGCTTCAGACCCGCACTATCACCGACTTCAAGGCACTCGACCTTGACCTTACCCCGGCGGTCCGCTATTTGGAAGTCCTGCCAGCGAACGCACGGTTGTCTTTGGAGCAGATCACACGCAAGCTCTGCTGGTTACTGGCTGTGGTGGGCATGTTCCGCGGAGACGACATAGCCTGCATCGACATCGCTCACGCGCACTTTCGAGTCACCTCACAAGTGGCAATCCTCCCCGTGGCCTTGCCCAAAGAGAAGCGACGTCATGGACGGATCCGCAAGTTCACAACCATACAGGCGCATACCAACGCAGCCCTTTGCCCGGTAACGACACTGCAAGAGTACATTTCTCGCCTGCCATCAGAGGAGGACCTAATGCCGCACCACAAGGACTCTGAGGTGCTCATCCGCCCTCTGGTGCGCGACAGACGCAACGTCTCCAAGGCCGTTGGACCCGATACGATCAACAAGCATATCAACGCGATTACCGATATACCCGAGCGGCCTGCCTCCTCTTCCCGTCCTCGAGCGCGGGCCATCGGTGCCTCAGCCGCGTTCACGAACGGTGCACCCAAGGACGACATCCTGGTCCAAGTCAATTGGTCGTCGTCCGTCATGTTCGACAGCTTCTATAGGTTGAGTGGCACCACCTCTACCAACTTTACGACGGCTGTCCTCCCCTAGTTTCTTTTTGTTCTCTGGAGCCACATATGGAATCCTCGCCACAGGATGGATAATGTATCAGCGTAGCCGAATAATATGAAGGTTTAAGCATATTATCCGACTACGGCGAGGACTCCATATGTCCCGCCCATCACCCGCCCAAGGCCTTCTTCGTTGTCCGCTCACGAGTCGAAGATGCAGGTCCAGTAGGGCTCCGACCGAGATCTAAAGTTCATTTTAGTTTATTTTCTGGAGGTTTCGAGCAATCTACAATAAAAGAAGATTACACATATGGAGTTCTCGCCGTAGTCGGATAATATGCTTAAGCCTTCATACTATTCGGCTACGCTGATACACAAATGGTAAAAATGCCATAAATGAACGCAGATGAACGGAAAAAATGAAAACGAAATACTGAACATCCCACCTGATCCAATGCTTCCAGGAACACGTTCGGCTTTGCTCTTTGGCTTGTCCGGTTCTCCGCTGAATGTTCCTACTACGTGCTGATCCTGGTTGCAGCATTCATACAAGTTTATTCTAAGGATCCGGACTCTTTGTTCGGTGTGTTTATCGCAATCATCGTTCTCAGTCTTTGATTCTTTTGGCTTGAGATTCTTCAAATGCGGGAGAGTTTCGTCGAGCATCAACGCAAAAGCTTGCAGGATCCTGATCATCTCCAAGCGACTTTGAGTCATCTCCCAAGCGAGGGCGATATATATTATATGAGCGATAATGACTCTTCATCCGTGAAATCCCAACGATGGAAGATTATGGAGTTGATCTTGCGCTGGAAATCCAAAGATATTTTCAACCTCAAAAATTTCATGGGAAACTTGAAAATGGACAACAACGATGACGATGTCGATGTCGATGAAATCAGGAGGCGGAGAAAACAAACCTCGAAAAGACAGTGGAAACTGCCCCGCTACTTCAGGTATTAGAGTATCGCACAATATCAGCTACAGATTTTGCTGCTAAGCTCAATACCTGCTTTGGCTTTCAATGTTACTTTTTTTTTTTTTTTTTTTTTTTTTCTGCAGGACGCCGTATAATTGGCTCGACCTAATGGCGTTTCCTACCCCGATGGCCACGAGCTCAAACCAACTGGCGAATATTATCCATGAGAGCTCTAATGGAGCTACTTGGGGCCTGAGTTTCTCGATTATTTTATTTTTCTTCACTTGGTATGATTTTTCTCTATATGATCCCTTCTTTAGTTTGCTCATTGCTTAAACGATTCACACATATTTACTGATCTATATTTCTCCGCCACATTGATGCTTCATAGTTAGCTGAATTGCGAGTCAATGAGGAAGTGTGTAAATACGTTGCCATCGTAATCAGGGTCATGATCGAGATTCAAGTGTTCTTTGTCATATTTGCAGTCGGCATTGTCTTCTACTCGCTCGCGATTCAATGTATACTGCGAGGATGTGCCAGCAAGGGGTGCATAGTCTCGCCAACCTCCTTTCCAGAAAACTTCTTGGTACCGTCGCCTCGGTTTACTTCATCATGGTAATTGCACAAGGACTACTCTTCACATATAGAACAATTTGAAATTGGCACAACTGCGGTATAATACTCTATTTTAATGCAAAATTTATCAGGATGGTAGATATGGCCCAATAACGACGGAAATAGGGAAAGAGATTGGCTGGCAATTGCACATCATGGTCATGGTTTACTTCTTCTTCACTGTAATATTGATGCTCAATGTTCATATTAGTAAGACGGATTCTGATTTTTGCTTCTGCAAGCACCCCAGTATCTGAGCGATTATCTTATTGTCTGAAAAACAAGTGCTCTAACCGTAATACATCATTTCACTTGGATTCAATAAGGCCGACGGAACATGGCGTCTTATCTGGCTTGAGAATCGTCTCCCTTATGTTGAAAGAGCTGAGAATATGGCGTACCACATTCCAGGTAATGATATGTTGCAGCCGCTCTTTTATCGAACTAGTACACCTCTACTGGAGACATATTTTTAACGCGCACCATTCCGCTCGACGTTACATCTATAGGTTTCCATCAGAGTCGCAAATGGTTTCCTAAGGAAATATACTATACTGCCACTACTGATCAGGTCAAGAAGTATTGGAAGACAATGAAGAAAGTAGACAGAAAGGCTGGAAGACAAATATATCCTGAGGCGACTGTCGCTGAAGATAACCACGAAGGCCGCAAAGAAGTTTCAGATGATACATCGCAGAATAAGAACATTTGACCGGAGATGGATCCGTGCGACAAATATCTGAACAGGTTCTTGAACGTTTGTATCATCGGCACATGCTCACACTTGGACGAAGTAAGTTCTTTTATAACTGCCGACGAATAAGCATATATCTCAAATCGATAGTACTTACTGGCCAATGATCTCTCTTACTTGACTAAATATCTCAATAGATGCGGACGCCAGCGATTCGGACGCTAGCGATTCAGGCTCTGACAATGTCGATTCGGACTCTGACGATCGAGTAAGGATAGCGAGGCAACAGGATGTTGTGAATGGAACTGAAATGAGCAATAGCCATATTAGGAATGGCATAGTCGATGTTAGTTCTGAGGCTAGCTTGCCAAGGGACGAAAGTAGAGATAATGCAGTGACTGCAGGCAGATCAGCGGCTGGAAATATTATACAGAAGATCAAGAACCAGATGAGACAGCTGGTGGTGGAGCAGAATCAGTTCCAGAGCGGGCAACTTAAACGCGAGCAAACTATGGAGCGACAAGTAGCACAGCTGCAGAAGGCGGTAGAAGCGCTGGTCAAGAAACTTGAAGAGGTGCAATAATGGAATAAGATAAATAAATCTCGTTCCCTATTTCCAGATTCCCATTCTCAATCTTCGTTTCATCGTCATATTTTTGCGTGGAAAGATAAAAAGGTGCTTCGGTACTTTGGAGCTGTCTAATTTTATTCACTTCAACACTCCAAACATTAAGTGGCTGTGGAGACTATGCAACGGCGTATGAGGCATACCGGTGGGAGAGAACAGAGGTTCACAATATGGCGAGTACAAAACTACCACACATTCTCAATAGCTAGAAAAGCAACAAGCAGCTCATAGAATAAGGGATAAGGAATGAGAGGAAAAGAGAAGTACTCCAGATCCGGAGGAACGCCAAAGCTATTTTACTTGAAATGGGATGCTTGTTTTCCATTGGTCCTCATCTCCTCTACAGCGCCGAAAGATAGGTTGGCATACCACACTATCCAATTAACATGCTGCGTTGGCTTTTAGTAATCAATTATCCATAGAGATGTTGCTTTTTGAGTCTCCAATGTCGGCTCCTCTATCATACTGAAGCAAAATACAGTATGCGTTGAATTGTTCGCCTACTAGTAAGGACCGTGAATTGAGTTTAGGCCGTTGTGAGGCATGTTAAGTTCGCTTACTTTTATCTCTAATCTGTTCATTTTCCTGTCTCAAGCACTGTATTTGTCATCCAAGATCCAAGATCAGGCAATCTCCAGAGTCCTGTTAAAGCTAAAAGGATATATATGAGAGTTTCTTTTGAACATATTGGAAGAGCATGCATTCGAGGACAGTGAAGAGATACATGCGTGTTGTTTAAGGCAACCTGTGTGCAACATAGTGCTGGGCGTCGAATGCAATTCCTGCTCGTTGGCTTTAAGGAACAATGGCCCAAGTTCCATCCTACCACCATTGCCATAACATCGCGCTCTTGTCCATATACCTTGTGCCCGCTAAGACGCACTACTCTGACTGCTGAAGAATGGCGCCGCATGCATTTGTCATTGCCCCTTCTGTTTACAAAAATCACGATTGAAATATGAAAGATATGCTCAATGCAGCGAATTTAGGCTGGACCCAAATAGCCGCCTATGAATTATGGGAAAATAGTTTTATTACATATAAAACATTCGGTTGTAATGTTCTCTATAGAAATCGTCTTCTCCGTCAGGTTCCAGAGGTCTTGTCCATACTTTCCATTGGCATCCTTTGTGTATCGCACCCTTGTTAAATTGAGGAACCAGTCATAGAGGGGGACATACTCAAAACGACTCCCCTGACGTAAAAAATCTCTCTTATCTCGTTACTTGGTCGTGTGCGAATGTCAAATAAGGTTTGCTGTATTTTACACATTCAAGCCTCGCTAAACTTAATTTTTAGAACCCATTGTTGGTGTTGTTGGCCAGCAGCCACCGAGGGTACGCAGGATTTGATATTAGGTTTTGGGGTTGTGCCTGTATAAAAGGAGGATCGAAGCCAGCGATCTTTTGTTCCTTGTTCCAGTTGAACAAGAAGACCGTTGTGCTGATCACTCGCTACAGGTACCCTTTTGCTTAGATATATCAATAATGAATTATGGTTCCAGTTGAACAAGAAGACCGTTGTGCTGATCACTCGCTACAGTGTGCGTAGTTGTGCGTTAGACCCTTGTATTCAGTGTGGAACACAAATTATTCGAGCATTCAGATTGGGAGTTTCCTTACTCCATACAACTGTAAAAGAACTATCTCCAAGCGCAATACCATCCAACCCAGCCACGCATATAGAATATCAATAGGCTCACTCGATGTCCTCCAGACGGGACGGACGACAGTAATTCAGACAGCGCTTGGTCCTCTTGACATTGCTCTCAGAGTGGACTGGGGTCACTTCTGGTTCGGGTTGCAATTGTGAACCTCTTGCGCATTCTGGGTGATACAGTGAGGGTGGTCGTGAACTGCCTGGTAATAGATCTATGGACGACAATGATGGTTGTGGATCACATCGTCGGCAGATAATCTGTCTGAATGCACCTGTAGCTTAGAGATATTAGAAACCGATATGCGTCCATCAAGAGGCCCCCTTTGGTGTATGCCTTTTATAGCCCTTGCGCACCACTGCTGCACTTACGAAACACGCAACTTCCATCGTTTTGCTACCAACAATGACGAATGCTCGCTCTTTTCATACTCCATCTCCTTGATAATGACTAAATTTCCTATTTATTTCAATTGATTGTCTACTAAAGCATTGATTATCTATCACTACTGCAATTCCTCAAGCTTCGAGTAAATGACGCGTCCGATCTCTGCTATCGGCTCGGGCTGGTCCATCTCAAGATGCGCGCAGTTGACCTTATGCACCTCGACCTTGCCAAGAGCCAAAGGCGCCCAACCGGCCGGATCTGCTGCATGAGTCTCGTCGTCAGCCGCACGAACCGTAGCACTGAAGTAGAGTAAGTCGCCACTATAGACAGAGGGTGAGTATTCCTTGGCAAGCTGGATATTGTTCCTGACGATATGTCGCGCCTTTTCCAGTAGAGCACGCCCATCTTCGGGTGCATCCTTATTACTGAATCGAGAAAGAAGATCAGCGTATGAATCTTCATCCTGACCGTCGTCCAAGTCCTCAGAGAGGACGGAGTAATCTGCTGTTGTGTCCATCAAAGCGAGCAAGCCAACTTTATGGCCCTGTGCCTCAAGTTGAACAGCCATGCTATGAGCGACGGTACCGCCGAAAGACCAGCCCAATAGATTATAAGGCCCTTGCGGCTGAACGAGGCGGATTTGGTCAATGTAGTCTCTTGTCATGGCCTCCAGTGTCGATGCCGGTTGCTCTTTTCCATCGAGCCCGCGTGCTTGAATACCATACAGAGGCTGATCCGCATGCAAATGCTTCGCTAGGCCGATAAAGCTCCAGCTTAGTCCCAATACAGGATGGATACAGAACAAAGGCGAGCGACTGCCGCTTGGGTTGAGTGGCAGCAAAACGCTGAATGCGTCTCCTTGAGTGCTATCCTGTTGCTGTAGTTTCCGTGCCAACTTCTCAAGCGTAAGAGCCTCGAACACTGTCCGCAACTCGAGGCCGAATCCCAGTCTTGAGCGGATTTGGCTGATCAACCTCACAGCCAACAGCGAGTGCCCGCCAAGCATGAAGAAGTTGTCATGACGGCCGACTCTGTCGACCTTGAGCAGCTCGGCCCAGATGGCAGCCAGCGCCGTTTCAATCTCACCCTCAGGTGCCTCATATTCCTGAACGACAAATGCATCGCTGCTTGGTTCCGGAAGAGCCTGGCGGTCGAGTTTGTCGTTGGGCGTCAATGGGAACGCATCCAATCGAACAAAGGCAGAGGGAATCATGTACGCGGCCAGGTTGGTGGCGAGATGCGCATGTAATGCAAGCACAAGGCCGTTCTGGGGCTTTGAGACGACATAGGCAACCAATCGCTTGTCCACGCCTTCACCAAGTGCGAGCACAACTGCGTCGCTCACCGTTGGATACTCCTTAAGCCGGGCCTCGATCTCACCAAGCTCAATGCGGAAGCCGCGGATCTTGACTTGATGGTCGTTACGGCCCATAAAGACCAAATCTCCGCTAGGAAGATAGCGCGCCAAGTCACCAGTCTTGTACATCCGAGACTCTGCATCTACTGCGAAAGGATCAGGAATGAACACCTTGGCTGTCAAGTCGGATCTGTTTATGTAACCACGCGCGACACCCACTCCACCAACGTGCAGCTCTCCGATGGCGCCCAAAGGAACAGGTTTTCCGTACGAATCCAGAATATAGGTCCTCTTGTTTGCTATTGGACGGCCAATTGGGACAATCTCGCCGTCGAAATCGCCAAGGAACCTCCAGGTGGCTGCATCAACGGTTGTCTCTGTTGGTCCGTAGGCGTTGACGAAAGAACCATGAGGGATCAGCGTCTTCAGTGTTTTCAAAAGTGTCAATGGAAGCGCTTCACCTCCCAAAACGAGTGTTAGAGGCGAATTCAATGGCGGCAGTCCCTTAAAGTCCAAGAGCATCGACGGGGTGAACATCGCAATAGTGATTGAATGTTCCTCCAAATATCTCCACAACTGGGAGCTGTCGAATCGTGTGCGATTGGGGAGAAGATACAAGCTTGCACCCACGCATAAAGGAGGGAAGATCTCGTCCACGCTTACATCGAAGCTGAAGGAGGCAAACAGCAGTACTCTGCTGGAGGCATTCACTCCAAGGACGTTAGGCCGGGTAAAGGCAAAGTTCGTAACGCCTTGATGCTCGACCATCACACCCTTTGGCTTTCCAGTGGACCCGGAGGTGTAAATAACGTAGGCGAGGTGGCGCGACGTCAGGTCTGGGACATGTGGATTTATGACGGCTGACGCAGGTTGGTGATTTGGATCGAGTACCGTGAGCGAAATAGGGCCAGCCTTGCTTAACGCAGCGCGACCGATGTCGTCGGCAAGCAGGAGGGTAGGAGCTGAATCGGCTAGAATGTAGGCCAAACGGTCGCTGGGATAGGCGGGATCAAGAGGCACATACGCGCCTCCCGCTTTCATGGTTGCCAACAGCCCGACGATCATAGCCGGAGTACGGTCGACACAGATTGCCACACGCGAGTCAGGCCGTACGCCTAGTTCAATGAGACGGTGTGCAAGACGGTTGCTGCGTGCATTCAGGTCACCGTAGCTAAGCACTTGATCTTCAAAGACGAGCGCACAGGCATCCGGTGTCTTTGCTGCTTGCAGCTCGAACAGTTGGTGAATGCATCGGTCTTCGGGGTAGTCCTGCTGTGTTGCGTTCCACGTCTCAACCAACAGTTTATGTTCCTCAACGGGTACGACATCCAAGCGGTGAACTGGCCATTCGGGATTGTTTTCGAGTGCCTCGGCTAAGCTTTGCAAAGCTTGATGCATGTAGGAGCAGATACGGGTCGCGTCAAACGGCTGCACAGCTTCAACAGTTAGCTCGAGTGAGGAACCCGAATCATCTAAGTCCAAACTGAATGGATAGTTGGTTCGCTCCTGCGCGTCGAGCATTTCCATGCCAACGATGCCATGGGTATCTTCCGATTCCTCGGCTTGGTGACGGTAGTTCAAAAGGGCGCTGAAGAGTGGAATACCAGTGGGGACGCTGCTGCATCTTTGTGCCAGTGCCAATGACGCGTGTTCATGCTCAAGCAATGCAGCCAAGGCGGCGTGGGTTTGAAGCACACTCTCTTGAACGCTGGCACGGTCCAAATCAATGCGAATTGGTAACGTATTGATAAATGGTCCCATCGAAGTTTCCGAGCCAGACCCTGCCCGCATGCGCCCAAAGAGCACAGTACCAAACACCACTCGCTGCTGTCCGCTAGTTTGCGCAATTACTTGCGCCCAGGCGAGATGACACAAACTTGCGAGACTCACTCCAAAACGCTTGGCGTGGTCACGCAAGCGGACATTCAAGTCTTGCGCAAGCATTCGTTGCGCGACCAGGACACCAAGACCCTCGCCATGAACATCAGACAAGCCATATGGAAGTGACGGCGTATCGATCTCAGACAACATCTTGGTAAAGAATCGTTCATGCGCCGCATCATTGGGTCCAGAGCGCGTTTGAGCAATGAGGTTACGGAACGGCTGAGGTGCGGGAAGCGACTCGCCCCGGCCTTCGAGGAATGCTTGAATCTCAAAATTCATCTGCTTCAATGACGAATTATCATCAATGATATGATGCATCAGCTGAATTAAGATCCAACGCCCTCCCTAGTAAAGTGATAAAATAGTAGATAAGAATGTAGAAATTGTAAGTATTTATCACCGCAAAAGAGCCGTCTACACAGATAGCATGCGATCACAAAGGACATCAACTATTAGCGAAACCTACCTTCAATCCATTGCTAGGCTCATTTTGTTTATCGTCGACATCCTGCGCAACCACAAAGCGCAATAGCGGGGCCTGGGTTAAGTCGATACGATGTTGACGGGGATCATAAAGTTCAACCAGTTGATCAACAATAGGTCCGTCAGCGGGATTCAATGAAAGCTCGGTGATGGATAGCGGAGCATCACGCAAGACGACCTGAGCAGGAGAAGATAAATCTTCCCACATAATCGCAGTGCGCAGGATGTCGTGACGATTGACCACTCGTTGGACCGCATCCAGATACCTGTCGAGAAGCTCCTTACTGTCGAAAGCCATGGAAAGAATGAGTAAATAAGGATCTCCCTTGGTTGCCAACAAATGATGGAACAGAATGCCATCCTGCAGAGGAGCCAAAGAGTAGATGTCTTGGATGTTGGACACTCCGCCTTTGACCTGCTTGGAGATGTTGTCAATGTCGTCTTGCGTCAGGTCGATAAGTGGCAGCATTTCTGGAGTCAGCCTGGTGGTATCAGGAGTGATAAGATTCTGTGGTGTGGCTGCCTCTGTTTGGTATTGGTTGAGTGATAGGGCCAATGCACTCAGAGTGGGCTTCTCAAACAGAGCACGGATAGAGAGGCCGAGTCCAATGCGGCGGAGGCGCTCGATCATCTGCACAGCCAGCAGTGAGTGTCCACCAAGCATGAAGAAGTTGTCATGACGTCCGACTCTGCTGATCTTGAGAAGCTCTGCCCAGATGACTGCCAGTGCAGTCTCAGTCGCACCTTCTGGCGCTTCGTACTTCTCAGTGACAAGAGCCTCGCTGTCTGGCTCGGGGAGTGCGCGACGATCGAGTTTGCCATTTGCTGTCAATGGAAGGACGTCTAGTCGAACAAAGGCAGTGGGGATCATGTAGTCAGGTAGTCTTGCAGCAGCATGCGATCGAAGTGTCTGCGCAAGGTCTTCCATAGGCTCAGCAACGACATAGGCAACAAGCCGTTTGTCCGATCCATCACCGAGAGCAAACACGGCAGCATCTTTGACCAGTGGGTGATCGACGAGACGCGCTTCGATCTCACCGAGCTCAATACGGAATCCACGGATCTTGACCTGGTGATCGTTGCGACCCAAGAAAATAAGACCCCCATCAGGGAGGAAGCGTCCAAGATCACCGGTCCTGTACATGCGAGCACCATCCTTCTTGGTGAAAGGATCGAGAGGGAACCTCTCAGCTGTCAGCTCTGGTCTGTTGAGATAACCTCGAGTAACGCCCGAACCACCGATATAGAGCTCTCCTGCAACTCCCAAGGGCACCGGTCGACCATAAGTATCCAAGATGTACGTTGTCAGATCTGGAATTCTCGCACCAATTGGACTGATAACCTGTGTGCAATCCTGCTGCTTGATCGCACGGTAGGTAACGTGGACCGTGGTTTCTGTAATACCATACATGTTCACCACCACGGGAGAGTCCTCAGATCGTGTTGCATACCAGGGCTGTAAGATAGCCGGTTCAAGCGCCTCACCTCCGAAGATTACATAGCGCAATTTATCGCGAAGGTTACTCTCCGCCTGGCACACGATCAATGGTTTGAAAGCACTTGGAGTCATATTCAGGACGGTGATGCCTTGTTCACAGATCAAGCCATACAGGTCCTCGGGCGATCGGGCTATATGATGGGATGGAATGATCAATCTACCACCATAGCGGAGAGATCCCCATAGCTCCCACACTGAGAAGTCAAAACTGTAGGAATGTAACATGCACCAGGTATCACGTTCGTTGAACTGATACCAGACTGCAGTTGCATCGAACAACCGGGTGACCTGCGCATGCTCCACCATGACGCCTTTAGGTTTGCCTGTGGATCCAGACGTGTAGATGACATAGGCAAGGTGGTGTGGATCCAAGCTGGAGACTTGTGGGTTGGAGATGGGTCCATCCAGCTGCAAGGTCGGATCGACCACCGTCAGCGGAGCCAAGGCTACCTCGCCGATTGTATTGCGTCCATGCTTGTCGGCCAAGATAATGGATGGAGATGCATCAGAGAGAATGTCACTGAGACGCTCACTCGCATACACAGGGTCAAGCGGCACATAGGCACCACCAGCCTTCAGGATAGCGAGGATTCCGATTACAATAGACATCGATCGCTCTACGCTGAGCGCGACGAGGGTATCTGGCTTAACTCCGAGATCGATGAGATGATGTGCAAGGCGATTGGCACGTGCATTGAGTTCGGCATAGGTCAGTGTCTGGTTCTCATACACGACAGCGACAGCGTCTGGCGTGTGGGCGGCCTGGTCTTCAAAGAGCTGATGGATGCATCTGTGCTCAAGGGGGGGCTCGTCGACGACGTTCCATG